TACAGATCCCAACACCTCTGCAAATCAATAAAATCGAAACGGTTTCCGCAGTATTTTGTATTTAGCATTTTTATTGGGTAATGCAGTCATCCATGTCATTGCGTTAAATTTCTTGGAACGGGTAAATTAATCAAAGATTTTACTTGATTTTTGTTTTATTTTTTCTTTTAGGGTATCTTTAAGTTGACACTCTAAACCATTTATCGTTCTCACTGGTTTTTGCCTTATTTTTTGGTATTAAATTTTAACTGCTCAACCTGGTCGCCAGCAATTAGCCGAATGAATGGGGGAAGTGGGTGGTGAGGTGGTAGTAACCTGTTTGCAGGGAACCGAACATTCAGCTAGAGAGAGAGTGTCGTTTCAAAAATTTATATCTCAATTTCACATCTAAATGCGAATAATCTTTTTTCATTTTTTTTTTCTATGCCGTTGTGTGTGTGTGTTGTGTCCATTGAGTGCTATGGGTTCATTTGATTTGTGTGTGAGAATCGCTGCAGCTGTTTGGCATTGGGGCGCGATGCCCCCAACCTTCTCTGACTTTTTTCAGAGACTAACCGTTTACCATAAGCCGATATAGATCTAGCTCTTTTTTCGCATTTTTTGTTTGATATTTTCGGTTATTCTTTTAACCACAAAACATTTGAGGAGCGGTGTTGCAATAGAACAAAATAATAGAGATTAGGTGATGAGTTAAGGATACAAATAGGTTTTCTGGTGATTTTAAAAGGTTGTTTTCTACTTGATAGGTATAAATTTAACCATAAGAAATACTTAAAAAAAAAGGAATTATTTAAACAAATTTATTTCTTCGAGATTTTTACCTTTAAGCTAACATCCTCGAACCTTCTCGAAATCCACTTGTTCGAAAATATTTCCAGCGACCCAGTTAGCGCCACATGTCGCGATTCCGCCGCTTCATAAGTCCCTCAAATGGCCCAATGAAATATGCATATTTGATACGAGATGACAGCGTATCATGGGATACGATGAGCAGGGGGGTTGTCCTCGGGCAGGGGAGGCCAAGAGCCAAGACTGATAAAGCCTCAAGTCACCCCAGAGCGCAAAATTGGAATGCTCTTTGTATGGGAAAGGCTGATTTAATATATTTTAGTGCTCCCCCTGCCTCCTCCGTGCTTCCTTCGCCTATCTCCCCCCCAATTACTCATATAAATTATAAAGAAATGAATCAGAGCCCTAGATTCCACACCCATAAATAAAAGTTTTGCTGTAATAATTGTAATTGGTCAACGGGAAAACTTTAACTACGTTTTCCACCCATCGATTTTGGGTCACTAGTACCAGAATTTCCTGGCAACTCAATTTGGTTTAGTTCCATGTGATTCACGCTCGATGCACATTAATTGTACACAATAAGGATCCACATATCCTTGACTACGAATGGCAAAAACCCAGAGAAATGTATGAAATTTCCATTTCTGCGTTTTTGCTCATTTAGCGCTCCAAGTGAATTCAATGGAAGCCCAGTTTTTCCGATTGCTTTTCCTGCGTTTGCCATGGATGCGAATTGTGGAGCGAGTAGATGAGGTGACCTACATACATGTGCACTGGGAAAAAATATAGTAAAAATAATTACATATGATTTTATTTAGAAACTATAAATGTTCTCACCTAAAATATAAATTGGACTAGAAAATTTGTAAGATGTGAATACTAGTTTTTGTTCTTTATTTGTATTTTTTCTCAGTGCAATCCATATTTCCATAGTACATAATGCAGCTCCTTGGTAACCACTATATGGTCTGTATATCTGGTCGGCATGTGGTCGCTGTCGCCGAATCGCGCATATATCTCTCTCGATTTAATAGGCCCAATTAGTTAGATGAATTGAGAATGTTCTCAATGCTCTCGCGTTCTTTAGGCTTTTTTCTCCGGCCGAGATTTAAGTTTATGAATATTCAATGAAGTGTGTGCCATAAATTATTAATGCCATTTGTTTGCATTTCGCCTTGATTTAATGGCCTTGAGCAAGTGAGCCAAAAGCACACCCCTCTTTGGGTTTTTTTCTTTAAGATTTCGCGAAGCTTTAAAGTGTATTTTATTCAGCATAAACTAAGTGATTTTATGGAAAACTCTTAAGACCATGTGACATACGCAATAGACATCTGCATGAATAACAAAAAATACATATTCGAATTGACAATGTTCGAAATGAGTTGAATGTGTTGGAATGTGTAGGGAAACTGGCTTGAATAAATAAGTGTACTGACGTAAAATTCAGTCGAACCAGAAATGGTGATGGAAAACGAATCGAGTAAATGAGTACACGAACAACTCAGACGAATTTATTCGAATCCATTCGAGTTCTTACATGACGTCATAAGGGCAAAATGGAAAATTAAATTTGTTTTGAAATACATACATAAATAATTGGCTTTATGTCTTTTTTTTTAAATTACAAATCTACCTTTAGTTTTAGCTCGCCACTGAATCCAACCATGCCATTTTTATATTTAAATCCTAAGAATTCGCGGACCAAGGAGGAGAAGTATAAAATAGTGTAGTGAAGAGGCAGAATGGAATGGTCTTCCTTGGACCGCAACTTCTTAAGAATTTATCTAACAAACTCCAGGATGACTATACTAAGAAGTCTCGGTCCAAGGAAGACCATTCCTTTCTTTATCTGTGGCGATAGAGGCGGATCTTTTGGTTCTGAGATATGTTCATAAAACTAATTTTTTTTCCATATTTTTTTTTTTTTCTCGTGGATTTTTGCATGTGTTTTGAGTTTAAACTAAGGGGAGCTTGGTAATTTCGAAAATAAGAAATCACAAAAATACTTATTTATAGACATACATATATGTATATCAAAACAAATTTAATTTTCTATTTTGCCCTTATGACGTCATATAAGAAAATCGAGTGGATTCGAATAACTCGAATGATTTCAGCCTATTCAAATATGACATTCTGTTTTTCGTTATCACTCGTTTAACTCTAGGCCTTTTCTGTCATACTCTATACGGACCAAGATGCAATCCATTCTAGTCATAGTGTGCTGAGCATTTACTCAACTCTATTCTATTCGAATGGAATCATTTCAAAGCCTGTTTGATTCCAGTCATGCAGATGTCTAATACGCAATTTGGAAACCACTTTAAATTATTCTTAGATAATTCATTAATTTGTGTCTTTACACATTTTTTAATTTATATTAGATAAGACAATTTAGTTCACCTCCCAATAATCCTTTCCTCTTTAATTCTCATACATATTTCGCTTTCCATACCAAAAATAATTTCTCATTACTCACCCACCCACACAACCGAAGGCATCCCGTTCCTGGGCGGAAGTTGGTTGGATAATTCCGCAATCTGGCCATTAGCATAATCAGAACGTTTGCCAAGAAAATGAAAATGTTTGAACACGACAAGGGAAGAAGCGACTCAGACGTCGGCAGCGCACTTAAACATTTAAATAAAAATGATAACTTTATGCGAAGGGGGTAAAATTAGATGTGTGGGGGCCAAACCAAAAATGTCATTACAGGACTAACTGGACGACAGACGCAACAGAGGCAGCTTCCACTGACGCCAAGTAAAAGTTTTCGCCCAAATAAAAAGGAAGGAAAAATGCGAAAATAGTAAAGCAAATCCAGAAAAGTATTAGAAAGTCCATGGGGTCGGGGGCTGTTGCTCCTGTCTGCGAACAGGTTTCGTCGTCAGGCGGGCGTCGAGCGACAGACAGAGCCCAAAACCACCCCATCCGCCTCCTAATTCCCTGCCACCCACTCACATGTCCTGGCAACGGTGATAAATGGCGCCAATGTGCCGCCTGAAGTCGCGACGCGTCGCAATCGCTTTTTCGGTGCCTTTCCACGGGGATGCGCGGAGTGTCTCCACAAAGAAAAATTAGAAAATTACTATCTAATGTCTTTGATACAATTTGGACATTATATAATTTTTTTTCGTATAAAGTATGAACAAGTTTGTTTGATTAAATAAACCATGAGAATGTCAACAGTTTAAAACAAAACACTTAAGGTAACATGTTTATAAATATTTTTGAAATCAAATCAAAGTAAATAATTGTACTGAAATATTACTAAATATTTTAGGAAATATTTTGAAAATATTTAAAAAATTAAAAAGGAACGTAAATAATTTTAAAGAAGCTCAACTTAATATTGACAAAAGTCTGAAAACTTTGTAAGAAATGATTTAGAAAGTTGTAAGGGTTTCAGACTAATAAGGCTTATTTTGATTTTTATGAAATATTCACATAACCTTTTCTCTTTGTGTGTGTGAGTTTTAGGTGGGTGGAATCTGCGGCAAGTTGCCTTTTACAGTTAGTTTAGTTTGTAATGCTCCATTTAGCCTGGCTGCCAATGTAACCCATCCAGATTTTTTCCCTGATACCAATACCTTTACCAAAAAATAAAAGAAAAACCAGCTGATGACAAATCCACACTAAACGTGTTTGATTCTATTTGTTTCTGGCATTTCGCATTTTCTTTTTTTTCCTGCACCCGATGACATGTAATTGTCGTTGGGACTGTTCTCCTTTTTCCTCTTTTTTTTCACCTAGACAGGATTGGGAGTTATTTAATGGTGGATTGAGTTCGGTGTGTAGACGATTGTCGATTCGCTGTCATTACGCTGCTTACACGCGGTTATTTATGACAATTGTTGGAAAATATGAATTGACAGCGACGACGGCGACAGGCGACGAGGTCTAGTGAAGACATCTTCCAATTAGAGAGTGGAGAATCTATGTGTGTGCGCCTTCGTTCTGGTTCTGCGGGCCATAAAAATGTCGACAGACAATTGAATGGCACAAGCCCCGGCGAAAGGAAACGCAGCTTTGTCCTTCCACCCAAGCAATTGCTTACAAATCGTTACATCAGCGCAATGAGCAAAGTCTCGGGGATTTGCAAATTTTGCAATTCTTTTATTTTACTTTATTCTATTCCATATTTTTTCTCCAAAAAGAATATACTTTTCTAAATGCGTCTCCTTCGAATCCCTGGCATCTCGTTACAGAACTCCATACGTCACAATCTGTCGCTGCACAACCGCTTTATGAGGGTTCAGAACGAGGGCACCGGCAAGTCCTCCTGGTGGATGCTGAACCCCGAGGCCAAGCCCGGCAAGTCGGTGCGACGCCGTGCCGCCTCCATGGAGACGTCGCGCTACGAGAAGCGCCGCGGCAGGGCCAAGAAGCGGGTGGAGGCACTGCGCCAGGCGGGCGTTGTGGGCCTAAACGATGCCACGCCCTCGCCGAGCAGCAGCGTCAGCGAGGGGCTGGACCATTTCCCCGAGAGTCCGCTCCACAGGTAACTATCAACTGCGATGCGATATATTCAATAGCCTATTAGAGTATTTAACTTTCTTAAACTAGTTAATTGCTTAGCCTTTTATTATTTCTAAGTGCCTTACTTAGACTTTAAAGAAAGTCCGTATATTTGTTAAATGAAAAATGAGTGCCCTTCTTACCTTAAAGAAAGTCCGTATATTTATTAGCTTTTTTTCTTAAGAAAACATTTTAAAAAACCCTTTTTAATCAAGAAAAAAAATGTTAAAAAAAAATCAGTTGGTTGATTCTTAGGTGTCTCCTAACTGAGAGAAAAATCTAGATAACTCGTAAACTTTTAAATAAAACTTAGAGAGCTATTTAAAATATATTTTTCCTTATAAAAAGATTCTGGAATCAACCGCTTTTATTCAAAATTAAGTATAGAAAGCTATAGCATGTTTTCATTTGTAGATTTTAAAGGTTTTAAATTTTTTTAGATATAAACTTAAGATATATAATTAATTAATTGCCTAAGCTAAAGCTTTTAGAGCATGACTTCAACTTTTTTTTTTTTAGAGATTATTTATCAATCAGTGCTGAAGCTTCACTTGTGTGATTGATTGGCCTGTTTGTAGAGTTCTTAATCTCATTTCACTCGTCCCCCGACTTAATAGTCTTGTCTCTTACAATTAATTTACATTTTTATTTGTGTAAGTTATTTTATTCGATTTTTATTTATTGGTTTTCTTCCTGTTTTTTTTCTATTTATTTTTATCTGCGATGATGATGATGAAGTGGCGGTGGCTTCCAGTTGTCGCCCGACTTCCGGCAGCGCGCCTCATCCAATGCCAGTTCCTGCGGACGCCTGAGTCCCATTAGGGCGCAGGATCTCGAGCCCGATTGGGGATTCCCCGTCGACTACCAGAACACGACGATGACGCAGGCCCACGCCCAGGCCCTCGAGGAGCTGACGGGTTCGATAGCGGACGAGCTGACGCTGTGCACCCAGCAGCAGCAGCAAGGGTCAGTTCTCGATGGCTGTTCTTATAATTTGTTTTTCGTATACCTGCCCATAAATGTCGAAGCCCCAACCTGTTATGTTGTTTTTGATATCATTTATTGCATGCCAAAAAACGAAAAACAATAACCTAACTAGCTTGAGCTTTGCATGTTTCGATGATATTGGATTGTCTCGATATGAAAGCAGATCTATAAAGTCACCTTCTCTTCTCGTTCTTGCCACCCAACGATCGTACGGCTGGAGCAGGTTCAGTGCCGCCTCGGGACTCCCCTCGCAGCCCCCGCCCCCGCCCTACCAGCCGCCGCAGCATCAGCAGGCGCAGCAGCAGCAGTCGCCCTACGCCCTCAACGGCCCCGCCCCCGGCTACAATACGCTGCAGCCGCAGTCGCAGTGCCTGCTGCACCGATCGCTCAACTGCAGCTGCCTGCACAATGCAAGAGATGTGAGTTAGTTAGGGTATTAAAAGTAATAGTTCCCAAAAGAAAATATTCGAGAAAATAGCCAAAACTAAATAATTTCATAAGACGATCGTAAATATGATTAATATTATAATATTATCTTTAAGATTAATTAATTTCCTATATAAAAATGTTTAGCTTTTAGATTTTAGAATTTAAATGATTAAAATCGTATAAGTTTAGTTAAAAGGTATAATGTTCCTAAACTTATATGATTCATATAAGTGGGTCGAAATCCATAATCAAAACCGATTAGGGGAGTCGTAAATCATGGCTTAGATAAAGATTTGTAATATTATATTTTCATTTATTTCCATATTCATTGTGTGGTTTTTTTCCACCAATAATATGCATAAATCATATTTAACTAGGTTATCACAAACTATAAACCAAATTTAGACATTAAAAATGGTTTGATTAATAAATCTATTTCAACTTGATATTGATTTGGGATCAAGAAAGTTACAAAAAATATATGTTTGCTATAAAAATAAATACATAATTTTAAGTAATTATAATAGTTATAGTAATTATAAATTTGTTAATATTTTTTTTTTAATTGTTCGCACTTTATTTATTTTTATTTATTTTTATTCTGAACTTTGCAGGGTCTCTCGCCAAACTCAGTAACCACTACAATGTCGCCCGCCTATCCAAACAGCGAGCCCTCCTCGGACTCCCTGAACACGTACAGCAACGTGGTACTCGATGGTCCCGCGGACACTGCCGCCTTGTTGGTGCAACAACAGCAGCAGCAGCAACAACTGTCCGCCAACTTGGAAGGTAATGAATGCCAATCGATGCTCCTAACTTCTTATCTATACCTCTATCCTGCTTATCTTCCCTCTAACCGTCTGCCGTCTGAAACTCCACCTATCTCGATGCGATATGTTAGATAATAACTGCGCCTCTACTTTGATAGGACAATGCCTGGAGGTGCTGAACAACGAGGCACAGCCGATAGACGAATTTAATCTGGAGAACTTTCCCGTGGGGAATCTGGAGTGCAATGTCGAGGAGGTAAGTTGGGTGGGAAAGAGTTATTAATTAAAAATAATTACGTTAGGTAAATAAATAGTAAATACTTTGTATTCATATAATTTTTAAATATTTTAAAAATATCTAAGATGATAATTTTTCTGTTTTCCAACAGCTGCTGCAGCAGGAGATGAGTTATGGCGGTCTGTTGGACATTAACATCCCGCTGGCCACCGTTAATACGAACTTGGTCAACAGCAGCAGTGCGCCCCTAAGCATCAGCAACCTCAGCAACCTAAGCAGCAACTCCGGCAGCAGTCTCAGTCTAAATCAGCTGCAGGCCCAGCTGCAACAGCAACAGCAGCAGCAGCAACAACAGCAGCAACTGCAGCAGCAGCAGCAGCAACAGCAACATCAGCAGCACCAGCAACAGTTGCTCCTGAATAACAACAACAACAGCAGCAGCAGCCTGGAATTGGCAACACAAGCGGCTAGCACAAATCTGAATGCCCGGGTGCAATACTCGCAGCCCAGTGTGGTGACCTCGCCACCCTCGTGGGTCCACTAGACAAAGATAATGGTCCGTGATCCCGATGCCAGGGCAGGACGATCTTTAGTCGGTAGTCATCGTCGTTGTGTGTGTGCGTGTGTGTTGTTTGTGTCGCCAATGGAACGCTTTAAACGCTAATTCTAAGAAAAATAGTGTAAAGAGTTGTAAGCAGCCGCAGATGGATGGGAAACTGGAAACGGATACGGAATCGGTTATGCAGCAGCTGCAGGATCAGTGAGCAGTAAGCAGGAGCCGCAGCTGGACCGCCACTAAAAAGTTTACAAAGTAAGTTGAGAAACAAGAAAATATAGAATACAAATATTTATAAAATATTAGAAGTGCTGCTTAAATATTTATTTATTTATTAATGATACTTAAGAACTAAAAACAAAAAAATCTACAAAAGTGAAGAAAAAAAATAGTTAATAGTTAACATTTCTTACAATAAAATTTCTTAAAAAAATATTTAAAAAATACTTATGTTTCTGAAATATTAAAAGCGTTGCATAAATATTTATGTTTTGTAGTAGTAATATTTAAATCATTTTTGGTTAAATACTAAGATAATTTAATTTAATGTACGGGGTAGACATTAGTTCCATTTAAAGGTAATAATATCCTAAATGTCCTGCAAAATATCAGTTAGTTTCTACTGTTTATCGCAACGGTCGCTTTCAATTAACATTATCAGCCCTAAAAGCCATTCAATTTGACAGCATAAATTATGTTAATAATGTCATTTCACGGCGAACATTTTATGAATATGTAAAATATGCGAAAAAGTGTCTCAGACCGGAACCACTCCCCCATTCATTGGGAGATTTTCAGTTTCCTTTCCCGTTTCATTTTTTTTTAAACTGCGATTTCGTGTCCTGTTTATATACAAATCGTCTTCACTTGACTTCACTTCCAACCATGAATCTTTTATGGACATTCTCTTCGAGCGTTTCTTTTCTTTGGCCGTGGAATTTGTACTTATTATGTGTTTCTTTTTTATTCCGCTGCTACTTGAGGGCAATTACACGCGTTCAATTATCATAATACATTGTCAAGAGAGCAACAAACAAGTAAGGTAGAAAAAAAGAAAGGCGGAAGAGGAATTGCTTTAAGTCCTTTTCAATTTGAGCGCTTTTAAAGTGAGAGGTTGCCGCGCGCGGAGCTCACTCAAATTATGGCAAATTAAGTCAATTTACCTAAGCCATAAAATATGTAAGAGCCACTTTGCTACCTTGGCAGGCCAGGCAGGACGAAGGATACGTGGTGGTCCGGTGGCCAAGTGTCCTTTCCCGCTTTTCCGCGCTAATTTGACTGGCCAAGCATGGCGAAGCCAAGGGAAAATAGCCCGAAGGCATCTCAAACCGCGGCGCAAATTCGTCAAGGCAACTCCCCCGATTCGCCCGTGTCCCTTTTGGAGCCCAGGACGCTAGTCGTCGTCCGAAAGCAAATGCTGAAAAATTAATTACGTCCTTAGGGTGACTTATGCATGCCACTGATATCTGACCCAACTCCCGAGCCCGTCGATTTCTCTGCTCACCTGAGGGCCACGTGGGCCAGGTGGGTGGTGGGTGGTTGAGTGGGTGCGGATCAAATCAAGCGTGTTAAACGCTGCTAATATTGAAAAATTACGATGACTTGGCAGGTGGTATTTCTGGTGGGTGAGGTTGTTTAATGACAGAGATTTAAGATTGAAATATTCCACAGGGTTTGATTGAAATTTTCGATGCCAAATAATGTTCTATCAAAAACATTTGTACGTAAAATATTTTAATTGATATACGAAAATAATATATTTATTACGAACATCCTTATTACTAAACTTTTCTCACTTAAAATATGTAAGTCAGTTTAGTTCAAGGAATTATATTATTTCCCTTTTTTTTCAATATATAAATTCATGTGATCTTGTAACCATATTGTTCATCTATAAATGTTTAAATAATATTTTACAAATATTTTAAATCCCCCACATTCGAAAAGACTTTATCTGGCATCTCAATTACTCCGAAAGTGATCCAGAAATTTGTGATTCCACTTAACATTCCTCCGGCTTTCTTCCTTTTTTTATTTCAATGTCACGACTGGCGACTGTCACCGCGCATTTTTGCTTTGTGCCAAACTTCATCGGGCAAAAAAAAAAGTCCTTCCGGAAAAGGGTTGGGGGGAAAACCTTTGTCCTGCGCGTACCCACACACAAATTGAATTCCACACTAAGTTTTGCTGTAAGCCAACAATTAGAAAACAGCAAAGCGACCAGAAAAAACGAAATACCAATGGGAAAGAAAGAAGGACCAAGTTGCGAGAGGACCAAGTTGTAACTTTGTCAAGTTTGGCGCCAATCGCATGACGTGCTAATAAAATAAAATTGCCAACTTGGTGAGGGGGGCGGGAAAAAAGTAGAAGAAATGATTTCGAAATTTATGCCAAGTGCAAACTTTTGTGTTTGCCGGGGGTTTTCTTCGCCGCCTCCGCTTCATTTGAGTGAATAATTTGAATTGCATCAGCAGAAGCAGCGGATTTCCATTTCCATTTCTTTCACTTTTCATAATTCACCCAACTGACAGTAGCTAGAAATTCTTTTCTTATTATGCTAATTCCTTAAAGTTGCCTGCAAGGGCAACGCTTCCCCCGGTAGGCATATTGCATGTTTCATAAAAAATATTGTATAAAAATAATGTAACTTTAAGCCAGGACTGGTCCCCTTATTAGCCAGGACCGACACATGCCACTCAATAAGTTGCCGCAACATCTGCCCAGGAGCTTGACTATAAAACGCTGAAATGTTGTAAAATGAGATGGGGAATTTAAGCGAAGAGCAGGGGGCAAAATCACATCATCGTCCGCAGATTGACTGACTTGACACATAATAAAGTCACACTCAAATTATGGCTGCAGATGGTGTTGCCACCGTGGGGCATGCTCCCAATCGTCTGTTTTTTATATACACTTTAAAAATTAGAAATTATTAAAAATATATCAAAATTATAATTTCAAAACTTTAATTAAGTTTTGATTCCAAGTTTTTTCCATATTTTAAAATTAACAATTAACCTTATTTAAATCCTTTTTTAAGGTTTATGTGTTGTTAGTTAAATTTATAATTATACTTATAATATATTAATAACCAATTTAAATAGTTTGGTGTAACAGATTTTGGCTGTAGTTTGATTCTGAAATTTTAGTTTTAAACTTTACAGAAAAAAGTAGAAAATTTAAAGGGCAAGAGTTTTATCGTTACTTAAACATTAAGCTCTCATCAATGTTTTTTTTTCCAGTGCATATTTAACGGGGGTGCAGGTTGGTTGCCCTAGTGAAACCGCGCGTGAAACACAAAGGCATTTTCAGGCAATTTATTAGTTGACAAAAAAAGGGAAACAAAAAAAAGCAAAGGAGCAGAAAAATGGGGAAAAAATGTGCGGCTTCGTTGCCGCGGCCTATGGTTCATGGAGGCTTGGCAACCAGATTCCAGATTCGAGGGCCAACAGCCACAGGACCTTCAACGGGACAGCCACAACTTTCGCTTAGGTGTTGAAACTTGTCCGCAACTCGCTGAATTATTCAGAGAGCGCAAACTTTTTTCCGGCTCACATTTGATTAAATTTTAATGCCAGTGCATCATTAATAAATTCCCAGCGGGGGCAGCCAAAGCGGGAAGTTTGAATAAATTGAATTAGCGACAGGATTTGTCCGGCGGGAGCCAATCCCCGCAGATTGTTTGACAAACTTTGGACAGGTTTGGCCTGGCCGGCTCGAACAAAAGTGTCAGAACTAATTGTCCAAGTGGTGGCGCAAAAAGGTGGAAGAAAATTCCGCCCCATCTTCATCGGCATTCAAATGAAAATTTCATTATCCTGGCGGCAGCGGGAAATCAATTTGTCAGCATGGGGAAACGAATGTGCTCTCCTCGCGACATCATAATACAAATTGTCAGCAATTTAATAACATTTAAGCTGCCAACGGCGGCCACAATGATAAGCGAGGCCAGACACACACATACATACGCACACAAGGACCTGTTCGGAAAGGTCCTTGTGCCAACAAACCGCATTTACACTCACTTAACTCAACACGACGCGGAGGTCGCTTTCCGTGGCTTTTTAACCCCGGCCCGGAGCAGGGAAAACAATTGCCAGGAAGCAAAGGGAAAACTGAAAACGGCTTGTGTACAAGCTGCTTAAGGTCCTTAAGGACCCTCACACACACACACACACTGGCACGCACGTTCAAACAAATAAAGCTCTGCGAGAGGTTTAAACACTTGTTGCATGGACAAAGGATAATGACGTGACAGGAGCTAGCACTCACACAGGAACTCCCACAATCACACGCACCTTGGCATACACAAAAAAATATTTCCCAGTAATTTTAAAAGAATTTTTCAGTGAATTACAAAGCCAGTATTTATGATTTTAACATTCATAAATTGTATTAAAGAGAACATTTTTTCTAATTTAATTTTTAATTTAAATTTTAAAAACTAGAAAATGTCAATAAATCGTAGACAGATTTTTAATTTCATATTTTTCTAAAAATCAAAAAAAACAAGAAGGGAAGCTACCTTCGGCCAGCCGAAGCTTATATACCCTTGTAGATTAAAGAATGCTTACTCGGTGCAGTTCCAGGGATCCAGATTCAGCGTTTCTATTTATTTAAATTTAGTTTTTAAGTAGTCAAGAATCAAAGCGCCTACTACAAAGTTACAATGAATTTTCTTATATTTGTTTGAATATTCCTATGGGAGCCTTAAGATATAGTGGTCCGATCCGGCTCGCTCCGACATATGTACTACCTGCAATAGAAAGAAGACTTTCGGGAAAGTTTCATCGCGATAGCTTTAAAACTGAGAGACTAGTTCGCATAAAAACGGACAGACGGACATGGCTAGATGGACTCGGCTATTGGTGCTGATCAAGAATATATATACTTTATGTGGTCGGAAACGTCTCCTTCACTGCGTTGCAAACATCTGACTGAAATTATAATACTCTTTACAAGGGTATAAAAATTCTTAAACTTTGACACACAAAGTATACACCCAGAAAAATGATGGACAACATTTTAGGTCATGCATAGCCTAAAACATTTTAAATGGACTAAAAGTTCCTTTTTAGGTCATGTACTGCCTAAAAATTTAAATTTTTGGTATATTTGCCCTACTATTTAGGTCCCGTATAGCCTAATATTTTAGGTCATCGTGGGCCTTAAAATTAATGCATATTACCTAAATAAATTTGCACGGAACTCTGATACCGTTCTAGAGACGCTATAATTCCCAACCAGTTATAGCGCGGCTTGCATGGTAACCCACTTCGATCGTTGAATAAAACAGCGATTTCACTGCTGAACAGTGAAGCCTCTTCGCTTGTTTTTGTGTGTTGGAATAATGACGACTTCTTGAAGACTAAGCCGACATTGACCTCGAGTTATAAATTTCTCTGTACTTACTTTATAATATGAAACATTTTTCAGTACAAATTTTTAGGCCAAAGAAAGCCTAAAATTTTGGATAGGGGTTTTCTCATATTTTAAGGCAGCCAATTACCTAAAATATAGGCCAAAAATGACCCCATTTTAGGCCATTAATGGCCTAACATTTTAGGTCATACAATCCTAAATTTTAGGCCATTCAAGGACTTAGCTCCAGTTTCAGGCCAATTTTACCTAAATTCTAGGCCATTTTTTGACATTTTAGGTCATTTTTTTTTCTGGGTGTAAAAAATGTAGGTATTACTATCAGAAAAAACATTTTCTTTTCATTTTTTAAGCTTAACTTAATTCTAAAGAATATTTTTTTTCTGTGTAAGTAATAAAGCAAACAGACAACGCGTTTTGTAATAAACTGCAAGGCAGCCAGAAGGAATGGAGCAGCCGGAAGACCCGGAAAAGGGCAAAGACGGCAAGGACACCTGGTGGCCTCTTGTTCTTGTCCTGCCAATCCGTCCGTGAAAGGCACTGCAAATATGCTTCGGGGGGGAAGGGTGGTGGCATCTAATCACATGCCCTGGCATACAGTCACTCAATCACACACAGTCACATACAAAAATTTAATGCCTCCGAGGAGTGGCGACCATAAAGCGCTCATAAGTAGGCTTCACACTCCCTTTTGGTCCTTCGAGCCGAGTGTCGCATAAAATTCAATTGCAGGCCATAAAAACTGCGCGTGATCTACATACACAATATAATTTAAAGCTGTAACTAATAAAATTGTCAGCGATAAGCGAGGAGCTTTGATTTTTATGTTTTCTGCCAGCGCCAACAATTTGCCAGCGAAAAGCGAATTTATTGGGGCTGAGGCTAAAATCTTATTTTAAATGTTTAGCGCCGTCGTTTTTATGGCATAATTTTGGCCGTTTGTAGTTTGTCCTTTGTGGAAATTTGCATAAAAATTGCCAGATAAGAAGAGATGGGGAAAGTGTCGAGTGCTCTATCTCCCCAGGCTTATGAATATTTCTGTCAAGTGTCAAAAGCTATTAGACCCCCGAAAGAAAAGAAATTTCTGAATAAATTAGCCACTCGGGAGGGAGGCTGTCTTGGTCATTGTCGCAACGGGCTGATTGTCCTTTTATGAAGTGTTGATGGGGGCTGATTTAGCCAAAATAGGCATGCTTACCATATAGATTTCATACAATTATACACTCAGTTACTAAACTTTACTTGTTCTCTTCTCGTTTCAGGATAAATCTGGTCGCTTCTAATCTAACATACATACAATACATATACATAGACATATAATTACAAATATATATATAGTTATGCTTTACACATAGAAACGAAGCATACAAATAATACCAATTAATCACCAATAATTAGATGCTACAATTAGTGAAATTCTCTGTGGCAGTGCAAAAACAATTTTGTCCACTAACGAAGGGAAATTTAAATAGAATTGAAAACACGGTTTAGTTGTTAAGTTCAACTTTGTACATATTAATTTTAATAACCTTGACGTAATGAAACCCACAAATAATAATACTACTATTGATAATAAACGAAAACAAAAACATGCAAGCGTAAAACGTAAACTAAATGTTTGATAACTAAATGGAAAAATATTCGTTAACCAGCTATCGAGGTAAACAAAAATGATAAAATGGCAAATGAAACCGAAAACAAAAACAAAAGAAATTAGCACAATTATGTAATAATTTATGCTTAATTAATGTATTTAATTGAAAACCTAATTGTAACTGTATATTTTTTCTATAAAGAGCAAAGAAAACCCTTAAAGAAGAATTCAACTTGTGTAAAAATTATGCTTAAGATTCGCAATGATATACGTAATTAAATCTTCGATTAGTTAGCTCACATCAGATCAGTTTGGCTTATAAAAGAAAACCCTTTGTTACATACATAAATATGCCAACACCCATATGTAGATCGTACACGTTAAAACCAATTGAATGTAATACATTAAAATTCAAATATTAGTAAATGTAAATGTTGATAGGCAAAATAGAAATACAAAATTGAAAGAATATCCGCAAAACTCAAAACCCAAGCAAAAGTAGAAGCATAAAGTAATAAGCAAATACATGCGCATCAATATGTACTATTATGGGCTAAATGTTAATTATTAACTAGATTGTACAATTCAAATGTAGTTCATACTATTTAAAAGCGAAAACGGAGTGAAGATGAATAAACTGATGATTCAATATAAGAAACCACATATGATTGTTTTCAATACTAAATATTCGGGTTAAATGTGGGGTGCAAAATACAATAAAATATTGACAATGAATAGAAAAGAACATTAATATATTTACAACTTTTTGTACGCGAACAATGGACAATGTAATTTAATGCTGCAGAGATGTTTTTGATCAAAAAGATGTAGTTTCTGTGGCAGCATTGGGTATAATTGTCCTTAGATTGTGTCAGATTTTAGAGAAAGTCAAATCCTTCACAATGCAAAAATGAAGGTCCTTATGTGTACCACAGATGACAGGTTTGGCGTGGAAAAATTCTTCGTTGCTCATTAAGGATTCCAGAATTAAGTACTTAGAATCTTCCTTGTATTCGGAACCAAACTGTTGAGCGAATCCCAAAAAAAAAAGGTGAATTGCCATATCCATTTTCCAAAACGTACTGGGAAAAGATCGGGCAACAAAACTTCCAAATTTTTTTTTTAAGCTGGTGTTTAAATATTTGTGTTTGTGTTTTTGTGCTGAAAAAAATTAAAAATTGACATTGGGAAGAATCGAACTGGATATTTTGTCTCGTTCATCTTTCTATTTAATCCGCGCCTCAACCAGCTGAACCACAGCCAAGGCAGCTCGCGGCTTAAAAATTGTCAAGCCTTAGCCATGCGTGGCTGATAACCAGAAAAAACAGGATATAAAGAAAGAACAAAGAATTAGATATCGCGTGAGTCATCTGTCTTGCTCTTATTGAAGAATTCAAAAGCTCGAATTAAAGATGTTACAATTCCCAAGTGATTATTCTGCTGCAGGATGTTTAAATACCCGTTTCTTCGGTCATTCAACTCCCCCACTCTTACGCCTTCGTCACAAAGTGCCAAAAGTGACCTTGCCCAAATCAAATCACAAGCTACATACATACCATACAACCATATATATTAATATATACACGTTATATCCATAAAGCGCTCATATTTATAAAACAAAAGAGCTTAAAAACTATTTGCTTAAAAACTATAAAAGCTCATTACTTCAGTATGAAGTCGAATTTAAGGCGCAGGCTAAAAAGCTTACTGCCATATAAATCTCACAATCGAACGAGATCTATTAATTTCAATATCGACCCCGTCGAACCCATGGAAGTGGATGATCATGATACCATTGGCACCAACCAATGCGAGCCCATGGAAATTGATTCGGAGCCGGATGCTCAAACTATTGAATATAGGAATCCTCAGCACCATATAGAAATAACGGTGGTGTCTGTTACTATAATTATTAATTAATTAAATTCAACATTGATTAATTACATTAAATAATTCAAAGGCAGTGGGGTGAAAGAATTATTTTATTTGAATTTTTTGTATTATTAAAAACCAGTGCTGCCATCACTCAGCTTGAAAAACAGGACAGATAAGCCAAAAAAAACAGGGAAAAAAAGGACAACAAATTTTAAAAAAGGACAAAAAAGGGACAAAAGTAAATGCGCCTCCATTTTTCTGTTTTACCAATGGGTTATATAATTACTTAATTTAATTGTATTTTATATTAAATTCAATTATGTAATGACCTACTGCGCCCGACTCACATCCTTCTTTGTTTGATCATTTTACCATGGTTAATTTAATTTTTGTGCGTATACGTAATAATCTAAAATTATTAAAATAATAAAAGCATTTCAAGTAACTATATTGGTAATACAAAAAAATGCAATATCTGCGTCAAACCCGAATAAGAGTCGTTAAAATCTGAAATTTTTTTCTGACAAAAAAGAAGAGAGTAAAAATGGAGAAACTTTTAAAGTGTTTTCCTCTTTTTTTGCTACAGAAAAAATCTTACTATATAGAAAATCCATCGACTGCTTTACGTCTCTTTGATAATTTGTAAAAATAATTATTTTTTAAGTGCCGAACTGTAAGATTGATGGTTAAAAAGGCGTTTTAGCATATAAAAACAGGTTTACACACTTTCGACTGGCAAAAATAACACTCAAGACCTTATTTTTGAAAAAAGGACAGATTTCCGGATAGGGGATGTTTGAAATTTTTTCCGGATAAACCCGTTAAAAAAAGGACAGATCTGTCCGGAAAGAGGACAAAATGGCAGCACTGTTAAAAACTAAAATTATGTTTTTAGAAAGATTTCACAACAATATTACCGCTAATTTAAGGAATAAATAATTTATTAATTTTGACACCGGACCTACATTTAAGTCTACATTAAGTTTATGCACGTAGGTTACGTGAAAAGTAAAAACCGTCGAATTGCCAACTATATTCAGAATGTCAAAATGAAGCGCCATCTGGCGGTAAATGGTCACAGCATAGTAAGATGCACTGCAAAAACAAAGGCGTTTAGTTAAGAGAGATTAGTTGCGCAAAAATCTCGAAAGTATTTGGCGGCATTAAGTTTGGCTTCAAAAGGGTAAAGTAATTTTAAGTTCAGATAATTGGCCAGGGCCTCTAAATGCCGGGAACACACCGGCACAAAGTAAAAATTATACCATTCGTCTCCCTTATGCTAATCATGGTTCCAGGAAATCTTTTAGTAGTTAGCTTCCGAAGGCTGTCATTTTAACCAGATCGTTCTTTTTACCTTGATCGCCTCTCGTCAGAATGCAAAGGTCCCGCCAATAAATTCTTCCATTTTTTCACCTGGTAGCTTAAAGACGATGAGGTCCTTCTGAGCGATGGTGTCATGCCCCAGTAGTGGTCTTTTTTTAAGTAAGGCTCAACAGGATAAAACCCTAAGATGTCCCAAGATCAGACCCTCTGCTGCATAATTGCCTTAGAATCCTTAGAATCAGAGCAACAATTTGTAAACCAGCGTTTTGCTAGAAAAATCAGTAATACATTTACTAAAACTTTGTCCATTTTTTCTCTTGAATAAAATTTTGTTAAAATTTTTCATTATTAGATATTTTATATTGAACGCTGAATAAAAAATTTAAAAAAAATAAGAAAAAATGTTGACACTTGGAAGAATCGAACCGTGGATCTTTTGTCTCGTTCATCTTTCTATTTAGTCCACGCCTCAACTAGCTGAACCACAGCTAAGGCAGCGCGCGAATTACAAATTGTCAAAGCTAAGCTAAGATATAAAAATAGAACGAAGCACCATCAAGCACCTCGTTTGTTGAAGAATCTATTTAAAGATTTTTACAATTCCCAAGTGGTTATTCTGCTTCATGAGGTTTAAATAGCCTTTTTCGTGACTATCGCCCCTTCAACATACAAAAGTTCTGATATTCGAGCAACACACTACTACTTATAACTACTTAATAAAATATTGGCATTCGGTCTGCTTCAGTAAAATGTTTAAGCATTTCGCTTCGAGTGCGACTGCCGACATTTTCAGCAGCAGCAAAATCAAAAGCTGTCTAAATGAAAATTCAGACCGTTTTTTAAACACTGTGTATATACAGTATCCACTGCGACTGCCATTCGCTTCGACTGCGACTGCCAACATTTTCGGAAGCAGCAGCAAAATCTAAAGCAGCAAATGAAAAATCAGACAGTTCTTTAAACACTTGTATATACAGTATCCACTGCGACTGCCATTCGCTTAGACTGCGACTGTCAACATTTTCAAAAGTCACCTTCGCACACTCTTCAAAAAAAAAATATTTATAAAATAGAAGAGCTGGAAAACTATTTGCGCAGCGGACTAAAAGCAAATTAAACCAGTATGGAGTCTTATTCTACGACTGTATCTATTAACATTGATATAGACCCCGTCGAACCCATGGAAGTGGATGAATATGAAACAATTGGCTCCAACCAATGCGAGCCCATGGAAATTGATAATGAGCTGGGTGCTCAAACTTTTCAAAATCACCATCCCCAGCACCATATACAAATAACGGTGGTGTCTGTTGCTATAAATATTAATTAATTAAATTCAATATTAGATTATTTTTTTTTTTAATTTTTGTTACAATAATTTGACACGGTAATGTATATTGAGTTTACATTACATTATACATGTCAGTAACATGTAAGGTAAACACAGTCAAGTTGCCAACTAAATTTAGAAAGTCAAAATGATGCGCCCTCTGGAGGCAAATGCTCGCAACATAAGTATTAGGATGCACTGAAAAAAGAATGCCTTTAATTTTTAATCAAATCCAATTCAAATCCATCGAGATACGAGATTTTTTGCTTTAAAAATTCTAAAGAACTGAAACTATTTAGAAAAAGTAAATAAAATCACTTCTTGGGTTTGAGATAAAAATGTATTAAGAATATAATTTTAATGTCTTATAAGGAAGCCGGCTTTGAATGTTTATTTGGAAACTAAACAATTGTCACTTCCGAACTGAACAACAAAGATTCGTCACTTCCTCAATTCCTGTCACTTCCAGCTAATTCCGTATGCTAAGTGATAAGTCAACAATGTAAGTCGCATTTAGGATTTTCTAAATACGAATAGCTTCCTCCACTTTTCTCTCCACTTCAACAGAGAGTAGCTACCGATTGACCGTTGGAGCACCTACTCCAAAAAGGCCGGAAACTTTCAATTCTGCAGCATTGTGTAAAGTTTTTCAAGCCAGACAAACCGGCCGGGGCAGTAATTTTTATCTATTTGGGCGCAGCTTTCAGTTTCGGAATCTGTCAGTTGCATTTTAAGCTTCGAACGCTGCGGTTTAACACACCTATCCGAAATCAAGTAAAGCGACAAAAAAGAATTTAAGCTTGTCATTCTCATCTGTGCGTGGAATTTCTAATTTTCATACACAGTAATAAAAAAAAGTTTGTGAACAAATTGATTTTTACAGAACAAAGTAAATATTTAAATATATCCATATATTGTTCGGTTTGTAACGATCAATTTCTCTTTCATATTACAATCGCCATATCAATGTAAACATTATTTTTTGTAAACCCACTTTTCCGTAAAATGCTCGATTTCGTTTTCATTTCGTCTCGTTTTGTTGTGTTCTCAGTTTCGTTGGGAGCTCGACTTTCTAAATGCTAATTGGATTGAACTTAAAAGTGGGCGCGTCATACTCTACAAGTCATCAACTTCCTGGATCAGTTGAACAATGGGAACGCGTAGTTAATTCTTAAACAGTTAAACTAAATTGAAGCGTCTGCTTACAAGTGACTAGCATATAAAATGAGGAGACGTTTTTGTTTAACGATCTATTGACAGGGCTACAATACTATATCATATCACAAGCCAATCTCAGACAGAAATCAAAGCTGTCTGTTTTTGGATTTGTTTATATGTATATTCGTATGCATGCAATTTGCATTTAAAGTACTCGTATTTGTTTAGGCCACACAAAAATGATTTGCAAAAGTTTTTATGGGCTTTAGACTTTGTGGATAGTTGATCATTTGGTATTAGACTGGCAGATAGATCGCACCTTAGTTGGCTGTTGCTAAAAATGGGCAAATCTAAGGTCGAAAATGTGTGATAAATTAGTGTTTACTATGCTTAGACTTAAGTACTTTTTCTTGGAAAGATAGAAACAGAGAAAACCCTATTGAAAATAGAAAACTAAATTCCTAACCAGTTTTTCTTTCAAGACAGTTTCTTTTTAAATATATATTTTCATCAATGAGGATGGGTTTCCCTTTCAGTATAACCAAGAAATAAACAAAAGCATTGACATGTAAACAGTAATGGATATGGCCTGTAATCGTTAATTGTCTGCAATTCTTGATGTAATTAAGCGCTTGGCATGCCGGGCAGGCGAAGAAAATGGGCAGTGCTCAATTAAGCCCGTGATTCAGCAGTCGCCGTTGATTTTATATATATAACGAACATGCGATGCGATCGGGGTCTCAGTTGCCGATCGTCGTCCGTAGCTTAAAGTACTGGCTCCCGAGAGCTCCGCGTGAAGAACTGGAAGCTCAACTATCCCCAAGCAAATTGACAGCAATTGCAATTGCCAGGAAAACCAGTAAATTAGCAGATAACTAGGCTTTCCCAGTGCTGTGATTGACTCTAACAAGGGAGTAAACAGAACTCTTAACAAGCGAAGTGATTTCTCAAAAAGCATAGAAACGTGTCAGTTGCCAGTTGACAACCCAGTGTAAGATTTGCATCTCAAACACACATAAGTTGCCTTGTGCTGTCCAAGTTGTAATTGCCGACTTTACGTCTCTCGGATTGTTTTGTGATTTTTGTGAGGTGATTTGAAGTCAAGGTCGATCTTTCGACTGCTCCGACTGGACCAACTGCAACCGGTTTTTGGCCATAATCCGAACTCGGGCCTGTTATCAAACAGGCCAAAGCTCTTGGCCCCGCCTGACTGGCCCGGGTCCAAATTAGTTGACCAGCAATTAGCGACCTCTCGTTAAATTTGTCTTACTTTTCTTACAATTAGCCACATCAACAACAACAGAATGAAGCTGAGCTCGGGATTGTTTTTGATCTGCGCCGCTTTGATCAGCTGCACGTCGGCCACGGATGTCGGACCGTGCCCCAAATGTAAGTATCAATTCGGTTATGGACCATATAAAATAATAATATAGCCGAGAAAACAATTAAAATGTCGATGAACTGCAAAATAAAAAAATTATTACTTACTATACTTGATTACTTGAAATACATTTTTGCGAATTAAAAGTCTTTAAATTTGAAGATAAATCTATTTAAAGAGAAGCTCTGTCGTAAAAAACTAAATTATTATAAAATATTTGTTGGAATTTAATTTATAAATTTTTCATCTATTTTCTTAGCTTAAGTGCTTTAAAATAATAAAAAAATAAAATACTACTATTTATTAGATTTTCAAATAGAAAAAGATTTCTTGTTTTTTTCTGTTATTTCAAAAATGAAAACATAAACTTTTGACAAAAACAAGCACTTACGGACTTAAAGCCTGTTTATTTTTTAATTGTCTCTAAAAAAGTAAAGTAAAAGTAAGTATTAGCTGAAGAAAATATATCCATAGATATGTAAAAATCACCCATACGCACCGTTGCCGTAGAAGTGTAAGAACAAAGATAACTTTCCAACTTCAATGACTAATTTCCACCTACGATTTGCAGCTAAATCCAAGGCCCTGGGAGCCGGCGAGGTGTCCATCTCGAACTGCCCGAAGAGCAAGTGCATTTTGAAGCGCAACACGGAGGCCAGCATCCAGATGAAGATTCGGCCGGAGCGTGACTTCCAGGAGCTGACCTCCGACATTCAGGGCATTATCTTGGACGTTCCGCTGCCGTTCCCAGGATACTATGGCACCAGTGCCTGTCCGCACATCTACGACGAGGCCGGCGAGAAGAAGGTGGGCTGCCCCCTGAAAGCCGGACAGGTGTACACCTACAAGAACAGCTTCAAAATCCTGCCCGTCTACCCAACCGTCAGCCTGGAAATCCACTGGGGACTGGGCGACAAGCACGGCGATGCGGCCTGCTTCCAAATACCCGCCAAAATCAAGGCTTAGAACCAAGAAAACCACAGAGAAGTGCACTCAATGCTAGCTTTTATTAGTGGTAAATCTTAAGATCGTATCTGCATATGCTTAGTTAGGGATTAAGTACGGTTAAGTGAACGGAAACGAAAACGAAGCCGGCCATTATTGCGGCATCCAGCCAGTGACGCAAAATGGCCCAAGGATTCCACTGATCTGCTCAGTAAATCTAATAATAATAATAAAAAACACCACAACGAATTCTACATTTTTAGTGCCTGCTTTTCGAACTCTTCTGTCTTGCTTAATTGTTTTTAAATTTTAATTTGGAATTTTAGTTTTATTTTAATTGATGCCCGACATGCAATGGCTCGCGTGTGATAAATATCTTTCCATTTCGCTCTTCTCTATGTGGGTGTTCTTTTTCTTCCCCTCGCTTAGCTACCGTGTTATCTGCATAATTTCAATTTGGCAATTTAATTGGAAACATTCACTTTGTGAGATCGTAGGCTGAATTCTCTGAGTTTTCGGCATCCAATTGAGACTGAAGAGCCTGCTGCAGCTTTCGCCAACTTTCGGCGGCGGCATCATACTGCCCGCCCCTGCCACGCCCCTGCTGCTGCTGGTCCTGCAACTGCCGCAGTTGGTAGCGATGCTGCCGCATCAGCTGCGTCCACTTTAGGCCATTCCGGTTGCGATCCTCGGATTCTCGACGTGCTGAAAGGGCTGGAACGGCGAGGGGTAAGTTGCTACCACTATTCGTATTCGTAATGCTGTTGCTGTCGTCATCGTTGTTGTTGCCATCCGGGTTGTTCTGGTTGTTGTTGTTGTTGTTATACAGTTGCTCGGCCAGGCTATCGATCGCATATGAATTGGGCACAGGATGCTGAAAGATATAAACAAATAATACAAATTAATAAAAATAAAAAATAAATAAAAACTAATTCTTTTAAAAATAAATTTCATAAAGTATTTGTATTAATAAATACAAAAGAAAACATCCAAAATCATCAGTAAAATTTTTAAGGTAATTCATTTTTATCATAAATTACAAATTTGTTTACTAATTGTTTTGAAATTATTTTCGTTAGAATATTCGTTAGAATATTTAATCCTTTCTTCTTACCTGTTTAGCATCTATTACCGCCTTGCCTCCAGATCGCTTGCCATGAGCTGCGGAATACAAAAATATGAGTCACGAGGCCACAGTTGTGATGAACTACTCCTGTCAGAGGTTAACAGGCCAACACTTACCTCCCCAACAAGAATGTCCGTATTCCAGGCAGGAACCTGAAAGTATGCAACATTTTTTTCAATTTAGAATAAATCATCATCAGTTGCCGCAGCTCTAAGACTTTGTGGCCGTAAATTTGCTAGAAAATGAGCCAGGAGCTGAAAGCCAGCAGTTTCTTAGTCCCGACCACCCAGCGAGCCTAGCTTAAGACTTTAAAACTTTCTCTTTTACGATGGTTTCTTGTGGCATTTCTTTCACCTGCAGCCCTTTCCCATTGATGCTCCCACTTTGTATGTTTCTTTCCCTGTAAAGAGCACATGTTTATTGTGTGCTTGGCTGCTAATGTCGCGACCCATGATAAATGTGTCCATTACAGAACTCATATGCCAAGCCAGAGCGGGTTGAGTAATGCACTCAGCCTGGGCATTCAAAGGTGGAGCAGTCCTGCATCCCAGAATTTTAACGGTACTGAGCGAAAATATTTTAATTTGATTATATATTCTATGTACCAAAAAAAAAATAATATGATGTAAAACAATTTTTAAAGTTGTTCTATGAATTGTTGTTATTATGAATTTTCCCTTCAACACTTCCTATTTAAAGTTCTTATTTTTCTCAGCCTCCGAGAGTAGCTGCCTTTCATCCTGCAGCTCCAACCTGTGGCTGTTCATAATGCTTACACAACGTCCTTGATGCCACTCGTGCATTGTGTGCCAAAAAAAGAACCTGGAAGAGGTGGCGACGCAGAACTAATCACACAAATGGACGGCAACGCATCACCATGAAAGCCAACGAAGGAGGAGGACTCAGCTGGGACAGGACAGCACAGGACAGGAAAGGACATTCGGAAAGGGATGTAGATGTGAATACGCTTTGCGCAACACTGTTGGATCTGCAACAAAGAGCAGGAGTTACGGCGAATGGCAACAAGTTCCATGACGCAGATAGGCCAAAGGTTGGGAGGAGGGGATGGGAATTGGCGTTTGCATAAGCCAAGATAAATACATATATTATACTATTCGCCTCGGCCAGACGACTGACTCCATCATGCCTGGGGCGGCTGTTGCTACCCTGGCCATATATCAAGCCCGTAATCATTTGTCAATTACTTAAACCGTGGATTAATTGTTGCCGGGCGGACGGCCACGAAGCCCATACAATCGTGCATATGGAACCCACACTTGTTGACAGGCATGGCGGCCATCAGAGATAGCGATTGCCGACATCGAAGCCTTTTGGGGTCGCCGCATCGAAGGGCTGTCATTAAACGAAGTCCCCCATTTAACTGCCCTCTTCTGTGGAATCCCCACCCACAACCCAAACCCCTTTTAGCCCCAGTCAGCAACAGAGATACCTAATTAACTTGACCAGCGCTTTTTAATGGCCATATCCTTGATCTTGGCTAGCGTTGGCGTCTCTCCACTTCTGAATAATGTCTTTTTTTAATTGCCTGCAAGTGTGGCGCAATTTGGCTGGAAACCCCATTTAATGGAGTGGGTCAATATCAGAGTGCGGCTATCTGAGTTTGGTTTAACTTTTTGTTTCGGGGAATCCCCTAGCAGAAAGCAATTGCGACAACTGTTAAATGTGTCATTAAATATGCGATCTAGGTTTTTACTGTTGAATATGATAATTATTTGGTGGTGACTGTGCATTATGAATATATTTGAAAAATTATCATCTATGTGATATTTGTTTAAGAATTTTTAAATCAAAAAGAAAGTCTTGCCCTAAGTTTACAGTTGTTCGAAAGTGCGACCGAAGCATTTTACATCTTATTTAAAAGTAGTTCAAAACAGTTATTTTAAAACAAATGTATTTGTATTTGTCTTAAAGAAGTCTTTAAAATTTGCACTAAATTAACTTTTGTAGCCACCATTATCGCGATTCGACCTGAACCTAACCCAATTCGCATTTATCCAAAAAAAAATTCCGCCGTTGAAAGGCTGTTCTTTTGGTCATGGCCAATCTGTATAGGAGGGAGTATAGGAATCAGGGGAAAACCACCAACAACTGCAATGCCTGCAGGCAGCTGCACAGCTTGACAGGTTCACACGTTCAGTTTGGTCTTCTATTTTTCCGCTGACGCTCTTTCCGCAACTCCGTGGGTTTTCTATATTACGTGAATTTCCATTTCCACCGTGTCACGAGTGCAGCTTTTCACAGAGATGCACACACAAAAATTATATAATACTTTGACGATTTTTAAATAAACTAATACATGTGTTACTTATTTTTAAAAGGTTTTCTCGAAGTTATTTAATTAAATGAAATACAAATGTACAAAAAGGCAATACAATTTTTTAAAAATAGTAAACATTTCAAATTTAAAGAACACTATATTTAGATATTAGATAAAGTAACAGGAATATATTTTTAAAATATTGTAAATAATTTAATTGATGTACATTTTATAAGTTATTTAATTAAATGAAAGACAAATGTACAAAAAGGCAATACAATTTTTTAAAAATAGTAATCAATTCAAATTTAAAGAACACTATATTTAGATATTATATAAGTTACAGGAATATATTTTTAAAATATTGTAAATAATTTAATTAATGTACATTTTATAAAGTTGTTCTCCTCAAACCGGAAAATCAAATAAAATAATTTCTTTACGTGTGCTTGTTGTTTGGCACGCAGTTTGGATTAATTTACGATGGCAATCGAAAGCGTTAAAAGCATGCAGGGAGGGTCGGTCCGAAGGGCGAAATCGAGCCCCTGATCTCACCGACCCACTGTGGAAACACCGATTTCCCCGGTATCCCCGATTTCCTCCTGTCAACCTGCATTCGCGGTGAGTAAGGAAAATACGTAGAAAAAACCCCAAAAAGGGAAGCCGCCGAACAAGCGAGCAAACAAAGGCGTATCAACAGGAAAATGTGCATAAAACTCCAACTGATAAAGCGGATTAGAGCGTAAATGGAAAAAGGGGATGGAGAGATCGGGAAATGGGAGCTGGAGTTTTCCCGGCTAACCATGATATTGGTAACACGTATTACCAGTTAGTTAATCAGCTAGTAGTTTGGTATTTTTATGGCTCAGATAGGCCAACAAGTTCTTGGAACTATGACTAAGCAAAACATTCAATTTCATCACCAGTTGGTGCCCAAAAGTATGCAAATTTTAGTTTGATTTTTAAAGAGTTTAAATGCATAAAAGATTTATAGACTTTATTGCTCTTTTTAGAAAATAAATTTTACGGTTAACGAAAGGGAAAACTTATGTTAAATTTTGAATATAAACAGAAACACTAATCGTCAAACAGACTAATTTTTAAAATTTTAAGAACCCTACGATTTGAATACAACAAAAACTAATCTTTGTAATTATTCAGAAAGTATCAATGATTATATCAATTGCCAAATCTTACTTAAAAGTAAAAGTACAAAAACAAGTTACATTTCTTGTTTGAAGTTTAATTAACCTTAAAGAACAGACATTTTTTCCTAATTTAAGACAAATGGTAAAAAAATAGAAAAGTCGACAATTGACCAATTGTTGGTCCCCAAATGTATATTATCCTTTTCTTACATTTTAAAAAGATAAAAGGTTAATTAAATACATCAAAAGAACTTCCACTTATGAGTTGATTTCTAAATTAAAAAAACTTGTTAAATGCCAATATGCCTCCTATTTTGATAGACCTTTTATTACTTAATCGAGAGTGTCACAGAAAGCTTTTTTAACCATGATTTCTGCGAAATCCATGTAAAAGTGCTATTTTAAAATAATTGTTTAGAGGTATTTTTTACCTGACACAAGAGCAAAGAGCGCCACCAGCACCACCAAAGTCCAACTGCACTTGCTGTACCACATTTTGCAATAGAATTTATTTTTCAATCTGCACGCAAATTGTCCGACGTCAGTTATAATTTGGTCTCGCAACGAACAGTTTTGGTAACTTTTGGCCAACTTTTTAGAACCACCGAACACTTTGCACAGAATCGCAGGACTTTTCACTTGCCACTTGTTGATCAGAGTCAGGTGCCAACGCTTTTCGAATTGCCAACAAACTGCGGTCGGCCAACGGCTTTTATAGCTTAGAAGAGCCAGAACCCACCGCACACTTACCGTTAGTCCGCCGCAGAGATAACGGGACAGCCAATACGAACGGTACTCCCGAGCGCAGAGCCTCCGGCACGAAGAAGTCCGAACGGAACCGAAGCGATCCATCTGCCAATGAGCTGTTAGACGGAGGCAACCCACGCAACAGGCTGCCGAGTGGGTGGTGGGAGGTAGGTGGTTGGATTAGCGTACAGTGGGTGGCATTCAGAAGGCCTTTGTGTGGGTGTGACAGATACGTAGTTAAGGGGCCGCAAAAGAAAGTGCTTTGCCTTAAATGTAAAACCTATAGTGACACTTTTTATTGGGCATGCAATAGCACTCTTTTTCGGGCACTCTTCAGCGGTAACATTCACGTAAACTCACCCCCTTTTCTACACCCCTGTCCCATAGCAAAGGTTAAGCGATGAAGTGTGGGTAACGCAAGCCAGTTGGCTCCCCACTAAAGGAAAGTTTACTTTCAGCTTCACTTTTTATTATAGTAAAACTAACTTTGAAAAAATCAAAACTAAGAATAAAAATAGAATGCTTATAAAATTATTACTTTTTAAAAGTCGTGTGAACTAGGGTTGGAAAAAAATATCATAAACATCGATGTATCGATATTTTTAGGCAATATTTTGTCTCAAAGAAATGTGGTTGACAACTGACAACAACCCTTAAATAAGTATAAATTACTTTTAAAAAATCTATTAATTTAAATTTGTTTTTGTTAGTATAATGCCACAAGTCTCTGTACTAATACTGTACCGCAGCACCCAGAATTACCCTTTTTTAACACAAAACGCACCTGAACAATAGGTTTATTTGGTCTGTCCTTACATGAAATGGTATTGAGTGTGCGGAAGTCGGTATTGGAGCATTCGCGACATGATTCTTCGTGGTAGTCGGATGATAAGTGTAGTGTACATTGGCAAGCTACCAAATAGAACATTTCATTATAATCATTTAGTTTCGAACGCAATCCGGAAGCAAAATACAAAGTCTGCGCCGGGATGAAGTGGAAGTAACAATATTGTCGGTCAGTGGTGGTGAGAAGTGACGAGGGTTATGGCAGCATTATCGTGTTGGGGTTTGTGGGGTGCTTTATGTAGGATGTGTGGCAGGAAATATCCCATCTGCTTGTTGGCAACTCTACTCCAGCTTGGCCAGGATGTCGCTCTCCTTGAACAGAACATACTCGCGCTTGTCGTCCATGTCGACCTTGGTGCCTCCGTACTTGGGCAGCAGCACGCGATCGCCCTCCTTGACGCCCACGGACAAGTGGCCAGATCCGGCAGGATTGCGGGCCCCGGGTCCGACGGCCACCACCACGCCCTGCATCTCCTTGGGCACAGACTCCTCGGGCAGCAGGATGCCGCCCGCGGTGGTCGTCTTCACCTCGAAGCGCTGGATGAGAATGCGGTCCAGCATGGGAATCACCTTCTTAATAACGTTGGACATTGTCCTATAATGTGACATTTTGACAAGATTATTGAAAGACTTTTCACTTATTACTTTCACAGTTACCGTTTTTGTTATGTTTCACGTTTTTCAGTTTTTATTTATTTTTTTTTATAATTTTTTTTTGGAGTTACGATGTGTTTCCTTTGCTTCCCAGCTGTAGACTGAGGAATATAGGATCGAGTCAAACCTAATACGACTAACAGTTGACGTCAAGGCTATAGTGATTCGAAATAAAATTTGTACTTTTAAAAGGCCACTACGATCTATAAAAAAGTTTTTAGATTTGGGTAACGCAAAAATATTATACGATACGATGCTTACGATATTTTCTAATCTGTTTTAAATCTAGTTATCTATAATAAGTAGATTGTTTTCTATATTTGTTCGAAAAAAATTAAAAACCTTTAAATTTTAGGTTGAGGGCAAGAGATTAAAAATAATAAGACGTGATGTTTGGGTTCTAATTAAATGCAAGCTAACCGATATTTAAGAACAGAAAATAAATGTTTCTCAAACAAACACATACACCATTCACCTTGTGGGCAACACTGCGTATGCTTATTTTTCTCGTCTAGCCGGCTTAAATTAACTTCAGCACGTGACTCACGAGTCGTGACGGTCAAATTAAATTCTCTTAATTAAAAACAAAGCGAAAACCGCAAAAGCAAAGCCAAAGCAGCACCAGACTTAATATAAAGTTGAAGCAGACGCGAAAAACAAGGTCCACTCTAGCGACGATTTTCTCTTTTACGTTTCTGCTGCTCTGATTAATTTCCCACACTGCAGTCAGCGCCACCTGTTGGCAGCTTGTCTCACCAAACAGTGGGGGAGGAGGTTTTTCCCTCCCTTTCTCTTTCTCTTTCTCGCTCTCTCTCTCTTCCTCGCTGCTTGTGTGTGTGGCTTCCTTCCTTGTGCGTACGTGCTTGTCTATTGGTGTGTGTGAATGGGTGTTTGTCTAAACTTTTGGCGTGTTAAACGCTGTTTTGTGTGGCTTTACTTTCTTCATGCCATTGTTTTAATATACCCTGTAAATTCAGTGATCATGGGTATATTATATTTAAAGGGGAAGTTTGATGGAAGTCAATGAACTGCACTGAATTTAATCTTTGGTTATATGGCACAATTTAATTTAATAGGGTTTAAAGTAAAATATACTCTTAGAATGTTTAAATTTAAGGAAAAACAAATTTAAAAATATAAATGGTGTAATTAGAGCTCAAATAAATATAAGTAATTCATAATAATTAAATGGATTGTTTAAAATTATTACCAATAATAATAATATTTGTATATAACTTGACATTATCTACTTACCGATTTGATAAACCATTCATTTATTTATTTTAAAAGAATTTGAAAGTATAATACTTTACTGTAAAGAGTTAATATTTTGAAAAACAAATTGAAAGATAAATTGAAAATTTCAATTTGAAATCTTACGAAGGGAATAGTTCCACAGAGATTTCAGTTGATAGTAGTTTTAAGCTGAGGCCTTAATATAGAAGGCCATATTTATAATTCAAAACTCAATGCCGTTTAAATTTTTTTATAATAATTTAGTACGCGGTATCCAAAAGTAGGTAAACATACTTAGTAATTTAGCTCACCCATTTGACTTTTCGATGCGCCTTCCTGCTGCTTTCCGCGCCCGACTTGGTCGTAAATCACAAACTTCATAATTTCTACGTCACTTTGCGGACGTGTGTGCGTGGACGTGGCTTTTGCCTCTCTTGCCGGTTGTTTTGAGCCAATTCTTTTTTTGGCCTTACGTGACGTTGGCAGAACAAATCGCTTTTGCTTTAGCCATCTGACTTGTTTGCTCCTTTATGGCCCGCTGCGCTTTGGACTTTGACGCATTTGCGTCGTTTTAATGCGACTCCCTATTTTAGCCAATCCTTCTTGCAATCTCTGTGAATTTCGGCGCGAGTTTCCATTTGGCTGATTGCATTTTCATAACAATTTGCAGGATTACTAATACGCCACGTCGCCCCTGCATTTGCATGACCTTGAACCAGTCGCCACCTCATTAGAATTTCATTTGTAGTCAGCAGGGCACAGACGACAGCAGCAGGGCCACAATCGATAAAAATCCAAATGTATTTTATGGCCAAATTACAATCTCACTAGAGTGAATCCTTAGAAAGATGCGGAAAATAAGCGGGCGCGGAATATGCTAAGCTTTATTTGCAGCCATGGGAATAATTTTAATACAGCAAATTCATCCTTTAAGGTATCCCTAGGATGTATACACAATATACATATAAATATCTGGTTAGCGAACGAACTTGGTCCGTCCTTTGAATTGAGTAAGGTTTAAAATTCTATACTTTAGGTATTTGCAGTTTCTTAAATGTACATAGCTCGGAATATAAAATAGCTAAGTATAAAATAAGGAATCTGCTTTAATATTTCTTAATTATATACTTTAAAAGCACATCTTTGTTACACTTTGGTATTTTTGTGAAACATTTGGTTATTAAACAAGTACATTTTATGCAAGTTTTATGTGGATACAATTTCATATTTAAATTTTTTATTTTATTAGATTGTTCCAAGAGTTTAGGATAAGCTTTCGTGATTTCGCTTTATTTTCAACTTGCGTTCCTATACTTAACTGGTGGGCGTTCACTAAGTGAATTTAAAAAACAATTTTAAATTATAGATCACTCAGGCTTATTTATGAGTAAATCCCCTGAGCTCTGACCAAAGTTTAATTAAAAGAGCGCCAGTTAGTTAAATAGATTGAGTGAAAAGTTCGACTATTCTTAAGCTAAATAATTCTGAATACTTGAAAGACTAGTTCAGGCGTTTTTTTCAGCCCGATTCAGCTTCGCTATTCGAAGCTGCATGAATGAAAAACTTAATGTTTAAAATTGAGAGAGCGCGCCTGTGATTAACTTCTAATTGCCAAATGCAAATCAATGCAAAAGCAGTTTAAACTAAACGCTTTGGTAGCAGCAGCAGCAGCAGTGGAAACCCTAACGACGACAAATAACTGGCTTAAACAGAATTCAAATAAATTAGCATCAGGAAGCCGCACGAGAGAGCGACTTCAGTTGGCCTGGGCATTGATCATGGCGTACTGGGAGGCGACTGTTGGCTTGATCGTCGGATTCTGGATGGGAGTGCATGGGTATATAGAGAGCGAGTTAATATTGGATCTAACCACTGATTATAGGGGTACTACTTGCCTGTTTTAGCTGCTCCGCCGACTCAATGGAGACGCGTTGCGTCTGACTGGAATTGGTCAGTGCCCTCCTCAAGCGCCGCGATTCGATGTTATTTCGCGAGTTCAGCGAGCCCTTGGACACCTTCTTGCCAAAAAGTACGGCCTGAAAGGAAATTTATTTGAATATCAACTCAAGAAGTGTCAAAAATAATAAAAATAAATAAAATAATTATTAATAATACTTTAAAGTCTGTAAAATATTTTAAAATATAAATATAATTTAAATAAAATTATACCTATTAAAAACGGCAAATTAAAATTAATCCGAAAATATTATTACAGTTTCCTAATATTTTAGTAATATTTATAAAAATCTCTGGCCATAATCTTAGTAACAAAATATTTTCTAACAAAAAACTCTAATTTCCTTACCTTGAAGGCCTCCCGGAACTTGTGGCTCATGATGTTGTACAGCAGTGGGTTGATGCAGGTGGACAGGTAGTAGAGGACTCCAGAGATGTAGGTCATCACCGTGTAGACAAACTCGTGCTGATCCCGCAGTTTGGCCCCCCGTGCAGGGGCGTAGATGGCAATCAGGCGCTGCGCGTGGAAGGGGGCCCAGCACAGGAAGAAGCACACCACCACGGCCACTGGGAGGAAAGGAGGGGGTCATTGAAATGGAAATGGGGAAGACACAGTGGGAGACACAGATAAAGAGTCAACGATTATATTTTTGGGTAATCGCAATTGTCATCATAAATGGAGAGTGCCAAAATGACAAACGCAATAAATTGGCTGCAGACGGGTTGATTAGCCCCGCTTAGGGGCATATGGCCAAACCATCGTCATACACTCAGCATAAATTAATTAAAATTAAACAACAAATTATAAAAACATTAAAAGAAAGATATAATGTTAACTTCCGGGATAAATTAATATTTTAATTAAATCATTTTAATTAAATTCACATGTTTAAAATTGTGTAAAATTTTATAAGTATTAAAAAATATACTTTGAATATCTCTGAACTATTTACAAATTAAGAATTAAATATAAAAATTTTATATATTATATTATGTTCCCAGTGGAATTAATAACTATCAGGATTCTATCTCTATTAATGAATGTTTTTTTTTTCAGTGTACTCTATCTATTTGTGTTTTATTTGGGTAATTACCTAGCATCCTGAGCACTCGCCGGGTGCCATAGTGATTGAGCCGACCCCTCACCGAGCTGAGTTGCGCCCCCGAGCCGCCCATTACCCCAGCTCCTCCTCCTCCGTTGAGATTCACAGCTGGGCTGGATCCCGCATAGCGGTACAGGATCGTATCGCTGGGCACACTCTTCAGCTGCTGACGACGGGCCACCGAGGCAGGACCCTCCACCAAAGTGGATCGATACAGATGCACGCCGATCAGCAGATACAGGACCAGGATAATGGACATCGGGGCCAGGAAGAAGATGAAGGTCGACAGCTGGAACGAGTGCTTCACTATCACCCGCACTATGCTGCACTGCTCGACGCCGGAAATGAGCTCGATTCCGAATTGGGCGGCCTGTGGAATGGCCGTTACCACTGCCATAATCCAAATAAGGACGATGATCCGGATGGCGCGACTCAGTTTACTCATGGCCTGGCCCAAAAACGGATGGCAAATGGCTATGTACCGCTCCACCGTAAACGCCGTAATCGTGAGCACCGTGGCATTCGCCGAGGTCTCCGCCAAGAGGCCACGTCCAATGCAGACGTACTCCCCAAAGACATACGGGTATTTGGACCAAATAAAGGAAACCTCTTGCGGAACCCCCGACAGCAGGAGCAGGAAATCCGAAATGGCCAGCGAGAAGAGGTAGTAATTGGTGGCCGTGTGCATGGATCGGTTCTTCTTGATCACAATGCAGGTACTGATGTTGCCGACCACGCCGCTAATGAAGATCAGGGAGTAGACCACGGTGACGGGTATCACGATCGCCAGCGGATCGCGAGGCGGTCCAAGAACTTGGCTCGCATTGCCAGCGGACATAGCGCCGGCCGCCTGGAATTTTTCCCCTTTTGTTTTCACAAAATTTCCACTAGCAGCGCTAAATTCCACTGCCGTTTAACTGGCGGCTACCGACTCGATGTGTCCCCTCTCAACTATGCTAATTATAATAATTTTATTGGAGGCGACAGGGCGGAGGGACTGTCGGCAGTCGGGAGTCGCGCTTCTCGATTCTAGATACCAAATACCCGATTCTAGATATTCTCGACTGGCACGCAAACGCACCAAATTACCGACGAGGTCGAGATCCGTAATGCTGGATAACTTGCCGTTCTCAGGGGGCCCGACTTCTATAACTTATCGAATTCACTTTGATTTCTATTCCGTTTCCCGAGAGCTGCTGCAACCGCACTCCAGCGCGCTCCAAACTTATCTGATAAGCCGCGGCGACAGTTCATTCAGATTTGTATCTGTATCTGAAAGCCAGCGACGAAGCGTCGCTGTTTTTCCCTCACATGAATGCGGAAGGTGAACGACATGGCTGTAACGACCGAAGTGTCCAGCGAACGTGCCGGGCCAATTAAATCTTGAGAAGTGGAGATATCTTGATGGGGATCGCCTATGCTGGGGACTATACACTACGTTCTTGAATACAACGCAAATTCTGGGACAATTAAAACGGCTAATTAACAAGAACTTTTAATTATGTTTGTTTTGGCCCATTTATAAAACACTTAGTCGTCTTTTGCGACTTAGAGATGCACATAGTTTTAAATAAACCTTTATAATGTAAGCAAAACATCATCAAATTGAACAGAAAACGAAATGCAATATATGTATGAGTCAATAGATGCCAACTGGGCGTATGAGTAATGCTGAGGTTGCTTATTTAGGAAAATTAAAGTATAAGGTTATTTAAATTATACTTGTTTAGTTTATTTAGGAAAATGAAAAATCATATTACATTTATTTTATAAAATATTTGTACACACAAAAAAATTTGTGAAATTGACCTATACGGATAATTACGTAACTATAAAAAATAGTTACGTGTATTTTGTTTTTTCTTTGGGTGTGTATCCTTGCTAATTGTGTATATTTGTTGTTGTGAAAGTAACTATTTAATTAGTAGAATTGACAATTATTTTGGTTAATTTTACCAAGTTATTTTTTGTGTGTAGGTCCTTAAAAAAAAAGTTTTTTAATTTAAATCAAATCCTGTTCCAAACAAAATCGCCCAATATTACAGGTTTTTTTCTTAATCGAATATCGAATATTTAATGTTATACCGAATATCTCTAAACAGATCTACTGAATTTATAAAAACGACAAGAATATTCAGGGTTCCTGGTAATGCCAATTTAATGACACCCATTTTCGAAATTTCGCGCACCTTCCAGTCTTATTTACGGATCCGTCTCGGGCCGCAGTCGTGTGTGTATTTTGGCAACAATATTTCATAGTGGCTATGGAGCAGCAACGTTGGCTCGGGACATTAGCCACTGTGCGCCAACAACAACAGCAGAGCCACTAACTTGGCCGAATGCGTTCGCGAGTCTCAAGACAGCTCGGGATTTTTAGTTGTTCCACGCCGTCGACGAGTGACATTCTCTATGGCCACATAATATTTTCATTCATTTGTTTCGTTTCGTTTCGTTTAGCACCGGCAAACGCTAAATGTGCCCACCGACCCCTGATATAGTATTGCGACCCCCCCCTGAGTTATCGGCCATAACCCGGCACACGCCCCTTGATGGGTGTCAAAGTGCGTGTGCAGTGCCTCTGGAATTTGGCACGAGTCGAATGGTTTTCCCACTCGAAAAGCTTTTCGCGTGCACCACTCGCTTCGATGAGCTGGAAAGCTTTTCCGCCCAGGGGGAAAAAGGCGGTGAAAAGCGAGGGAAAGCCCATCAATCAACGTCGCTCGGTGAAGTGGGTGAAGGATGAAAGCTCAAGGGCTGCACCGCCAAGGAAATAGTGGATCACCAAGATGGGTAGGGCACTTATACCCACGATTTTTAATCATAAATATGACAAACAAAGCAAACAAAAAGGTTTAATTCGTCAAATGCAAGCTAACAATCCAATTATTTAGAAAAGACAACACACTCATTTTGACCTTTAAATATTATGTGTTTATTAGGGATCTTCAAAAGAAGCTGAATATCATAGCATACTTCTTAAAATAATCCCCTTTCATGGATTTTATATCGGTTACATTTCGATTAGCTTATAACACATGCAACATTTATTAAATGTTTAAAAGCTGATTAAGTTAAGTAAAATTCTTCAAAAGAATATATTCCAAAAGTTCCTTTCTGTCTTATCGGTGAAGTCTGGCTTCCCTTATACCTATATCAAACGGTTTCATTTAAAACTTTTCTCAAAACTGTTCTTATATCTAGGAATTAAAATATATCTGAAAACGGTTGGTTATTATTTAAACGTCAACTTATTCTAACAGCCTCTTTTCGCAAACTCGTCCCTTTATCAACCGTAGTTACTTATTCTTCATATTGTTTAAAAGTTCTAGACACATTCAGATTAATATATTGACTTGGACAACACTCAAAGTATTATTTGTAGAAGTATTGTTTCGTTTATCAACCACATTTAAATATGTATATAGAAATGCAAGCTCTACGGACTGTTATTATGGCCGTCGGTTAGGTATAAATTAAGTCTATGAAGAAGTCTTCGCTTGTGGGTATTGCTTGATTCGTTAAAATTAAATGTTAAAATATGAACTTTTAAAAAAATATCAGTTGTGCTTGATAAATCATTAACTGTTGAAATGGTCAGATTACTTTGGGTGGGAGGAATACTTGTACTTTGATATTTGGCTTCTGTTGTGGCTGATCTTAGAGTAGCGATCAAATGGGGGTTTTAAAAATGTAAGTATCACCTTTTAAAGTGCTTAAAGTAATTTTCTTAGGGATAAATCAATACACGTTTTACGCTAAACTTCAACCTAATCGAATCTAAACCACGATCTCGATAATCTCGGTCTCGTCGTCATCAAACTGATCATCATCGCGGCTCCCCCACTCGTTGTGGGGAGTGTTTCGGCTCCGTCAGTGGATGTACCTCTCCTGCTATAGAAGGACCTGTTTCATTTGCGGTCTCTGCGCCTCCAGGAGTCGCTGGGCCTGCTCATGATCCATTCCGTCAATGGAGCAGGCAATCAGCTCCACCAGATTGTGTCCGTGCGCGAGGACGTGGTGGATTGATTGCAGGGTCAACCGGTTGCAGTTGCTCAAGTTAAGAATCCTCAGACGCTTCAGATGGCTGACAATACTCAGCACAGTCTCATCGTCCACAGCCATGCAGCTGGACACACAGAGAGCCTCCAGAGATGGGCAATTCCGGGTCACGGCCTCAAAGCCCTCCGATGTAAGTCGGGAGCAATAGCCCAGAGAAAGGGCTCGCAGTTCCGGCAACTTGAGGCCTATTTGCAAAGCACTATCCGTGAGGTTGCGACAGCCCCGAAGATTTAGCTCCTTTAATCCGCGCAACCGACTGATGGGATAAGGTGTATCACCGTAGCCAATCAATCCTTGATCGGTTATCTTCACGCAGTAATCGATGTTAAGGTTGCGCAACTTCGTTTGGTACCTGTAAGTAAATAATTATTACTCTTTAGTCTTTCTCGAATTAAAAATGTAAGCATATTAGAGCCCTGCGTGAATCATTCAATTTTTGTTTTATCATAGTATGCCATGAAATTTCTGATTTGTTTAGTTAAATTCTATGTGAAATAAATTGAATGTTTTTCTAATTAATTTTAAATTTCAAAAATTTTTTTTTTTTTTGAATTTGTCAGTTTTTTTTGTGTTTTCTTTTGAGCACAAAAAGTAAAAAAAAAAACTTTTAAGAAATCATTGATAGTATAGTAAGTATAGTAAATAAAATTTAACCACAAAATTATGGCCCTTTCTTCTTCTAAAGAAATTGCCGATTGAATTATTTTGGAATTCATTCATTCAATTCTATTAAACCCAAAATTCAAATTCATAAAATTCTATTAAACTCAAAATTCGAATTATTTCATTCATATAAAACAAAAAATTCCAAAATAATTCATTGAATCCATTCATGCAGGGCTCTAAAGCATATATAATCCTTACTTGCAAATAGTTGCCATGGTGCGATCTGTCACCGCTTGACGGCAATTATCCAAGCTGAGTCGTCGCAGATTGGGAAGCCTCTCCAGCAGTTGACACATGGAGTTCTCGTCCAAAAATATGGTTTCCTCCAGATGAAGCTCTTGCAGGGTATAGTTCATATTACCGGCCAGTCCCTGAACCAAGCCCATTCCCGTTAATTCTCTGCAGTAGGCCATGGTCAAGGCCTCCAGCTGACCACTCAGCTGCCTCAATGCATCGATGCAATTCACGTTCAGTTGCACGCAGAACATTAGATCCAGCACCTTCAAAGTGCTCTGCCATTTGCCCGCTATATAGAGGAGCAGTTCGTTGGTGAGCGACAGCATTCCGGTTAAATCCAATTGACGGATGGGTGCTGATTCTGGTACGGCTCTTAGGACGGCCTCCAGCAGAACCAGATGACAATTTCCGGACAGCTTGAGAGTGCGCAGATTGTGCATCGATTCGAAGGCCTGACACCACTCCCGCGTGTCAATGCCCGGCGAGCAACTGAAGAAAATGTCCACGCACACCAGAGTGTCCGCATGATCCCGCAGGACATCGAGCAGAGCGCTCTCGTTGTTCCGCCTGAACTCGAATTGCAGGTGACGCAGCTGCACCTTGTTCTCATTTCGACGCAACTGCAGCAGCATTAGAAGCTTCAGCGAGGAGTCCAGACTGACGCCATCGCATTCGAAGCCCACCAGGTGGGCAAACTGCTTCATATCCAGGCCATCCACTGCCTTCAGGTGCTGATCATCCATGGAACTGGTGGTGGCAATAGTCAGCACCTTCAGGTTGGGCAGCTTGCCATCCAAATTCCGGAAAACCGGAGCATGACGCACTTGGAGATGCTTCACCTCGTGGCCCACGAGACGCAGGAAGTTCTCCAGCTGGCAGCACTGGCGGAGATTACGCAGCTCGATCCGCTCGAAGCTCAAGTAGCAGTTTTTTCCCTTCGCATGCTTGTGGATCGCCTCCAGATTGTGTTGCGTCACTATCACCTTGCCCTTCTCCATGAAGCGGCGCCGATGGACTAGATCTCGGCATCGCCAGGACACCATGCGGAATTGCTGCAGGTCGTTGTAGGAGAGGTACGACATGATCTCCAGCCACATCTCGTTGGGCAGCTCTTCGATGGCAGCCTTTGGGTGACCCTCCTCCTTACCCGCGTCCAGTTTCTCCGGGGTGAGCGGTGGCGTGGGAGGCGACGCAATGGAGCGGGCCAGAGCCAGCAGGGGATTCATATTCAACTCCATTCTATTGGGAGCCTGCAAATGAAAAATTTATATATTATTTCAAATTTTGTTGTAAATAATTTGGTTTAACTGAAACAAGAGGTATAGTTTCCTATAATATATTGAAACTATTATAATAGTAGAAACATAAATAATTCCTCATGTTTTGTCCAAATTAAATAGCTAAATTAATGTATTTTAGGGCCATTTTATCGTCTAAATTTTAAACTAAAAGTTGGTTTTAAACTTAGTAAAATTAACATGCAAATGAGAATTGACTCAGAAGTTTTTTAATATTTTTGTTTTTAAAAATTGTATAAAATGAATATATGTTTAACCTAATTTTTGAGATATTTTCTTTTAAACGTGTTTTTTATATGAGGTACAACAGCCCATTTTTATATGAGTAACACCTTAGTGACCTTGTAATTAAACGGAAAACTTAGTTTTTAAAAAAATATTTCACTTTACATTAAGTAGTAACCATAGAGATATTTTCACTTGCGATCCTCCCCCTTTGAAGGTTCGATGCACCTGACCACCTGTTCTTTGGGCCGGTTAAGTTTTGTTGCCAAGGCTAACTACGGTTTTCCACCACTACCACCTCTTTCTTCCCCCTCCCTCGATGCATTTTCGAAAACACTCACCTGAGCGTAGCTGCAGCTCAGCCTCTCGAAAAGCCTCTTCTCACGGCGCTGACTCGGTTTTCCACTCGTTATCAGACTGTTCCCCATGCAGCAACTCTATTAAATCTTGACCTTTAATTAAGTCTATGCTTTGTTTGGATATTTCTTTTCAACTGCCTTTCCTGGAGTTCCCTTTTTATGTGGATTGGATTGTCAAAATTTTATTAACCGTTCATGTACTTCAAACTTGGTTGAACTTTATTTGTATTTAGTTTTCCAGGTATTTTCTTTTATTATTGTGCGTTGATTTATTTCTCACTTTTATTTGTGCAGTACTAAAATCGTTTTATTCTTTATTTCTGTAATCACATTTAATGGACATTTTTCTGCGCTGATTGGCATAATATTTGTTGTTAATTTGGCATTCTAATAAAATGTTTGCTGCGGCTAAACAATTGCGTTGTGCGTTTATTTCCGTTATTTGTGCGGTTGAACAATTGAATTTTCCTTTGGCTTTAGCTGCCGACAATCACTCGCGTTAATTGTGAAATATTTGAATTAGATTTTCAAATATTTTCAGCGATTTTCTTCTCCAATTCGACAGCAACCTGCTGCCGCTGGTCGGGTTACAAAATCCAAATGCGAACGAAAAACAAACCGCTCACAGCTGTGTATCTGTATCTAATGACGAAAACCGCTCTTCCAGGGCCGCAGATACATTTTCAGATACTTTTCATATACAGATACTTCTGCGTAGATAATTTCACTTAACACGCATGCCCTCTCTATATTTCTATTCCTCTCTCCCGAAGGGCTCTCCCCTGCTCTTCGATTTGTTTATGTTTGCCGCCGCTTTGTGACCCACATACGAAAAAAATAAGAAAAAACCTTAGAGGGCGGCCTTGATTTCGGAGAGAGAGCAGCGAGATTAGGAAAATGAGAGAGCCAAAGAGAGCGCAAAGTGGAAATTATGTTTTGGTAAGAGCCGCTCGGACTCACCCCCGTTTTGCGCAGTGCACGTAACGCACAACATTACGAAATGCACAAGGGGTATTCACTGCGCACAACAATTGGTTTACTTTAAGTACAGTCGAACCTCTACAATGATTACCGAAAATGTATTAAAAAATGTTATTTACATAAGTAGGTTTAAAAAGATTTTTTTTTAATTTTTCAATTTTTTAATTTTGTGTAGTTTGGTTTTGGTAAGGAATAGAAACTGAAAACTCTTTTGTCAAACTTTCTTTTATCATTTAAATAAACTACATTTTTTTTGTTTAAATGAAATATGTTTTATTTATAGTTCCAAAGAGTATACTTTTGTCGGTTTCACTAAATAGTTAAAAATAAACGTGTCTTATAGAATCTAGACTAGTTAGAATGAGTAAGACTTAAGTTGTGAGATAAAAAAGAACCCTCTCCTAGCAATTAAATCAGCACTTGCAAAGCAAATAGCGCAAGTATCAATCAGTATTAAGAAAGCACAACCTATAATTTTGTCGACCTGGTGAGATATGGAAGTAATTATCAACAATTGCATGATTTTAGCAGTGGAATTTGAATAAATGTAAATCAATTTTAAGATGTAAGGGCTTAAAAAAATTATTTCATTTAAATTAAATTAATTGTAATTAATATATGTAGGTATATTAAGAAAGTAGAACATTCAATTTACGGTATGAAATATCTGAAGAGTACAAAAAACAACCTTATCATAATTTTGGGTTTAAGTTATAAATAGTTTTAGCAATACAAATAATTTTAGCCAATTTTGCATACTTCTAAGTAGATATTTACCTGTAGCCAATTTTCTGCGATCGTGGAACCAACAATTAAGAATCAAGGTGGCAGGACCTCAGCAATTACAGCCATAATTATCCAGTGAAACTAGCCATATAAAAGGCCAAGCCATATCAAATCCGCAAAGAAAAGTAAGTTTACTTCGCAATGAAGACCACGGAAATAAAGAAGCCCTTTCGGATGGAGGATTTTCTGCGTCCGCAGCTTTTTCAGCAGATGGCTCAGATGGTTCACTTTCAGTGGCAAAGGATTCCGGAGGACAACAGCATGGTGAACGCGTCCATGTGGCCCTTCTGGTTGTCGGCAATCCTCAGCATCGTGTTCTACGCTTGCAATGGATGGGACATCATAGGTCATCTGTGGCTGGGACGACCTCTCAATCAAAATCCGCCCGTGCTTAGCATCACAATTTACTTCTCCATCAGGGGACTAATGCTCTATCTGAAACGAAAGGAAATTGTGGATTTCGTTAACGACCTGGACCGCGAGTGTCCACGGGACTTGGCCGTCCAGTTGGACATGCAAATGGATCAGACATACCGTAACTTTTGGAAGCGATACCGCTTTATCCAGATCTACTCCCACGTGGGTGGTCCGTTGTTCTGCCTAATGCCGGTGGCCCTGTTTCTCTTGACCCACGAGGGGAAGGGAACACCAGTCGCCCTGCACGAACAGCTTCTTGGGGGCTGGCTGCCATTCGGTGTGCGGACGGACCCAAAGTGGTACTTTATGGTTTGGATTTTCGACATCACTTGCACTACTTGCGGCGTATCCTTCTTTGTCACCTTTGACAACCTGTTCAACGTGATGCAGGGTCACCTGATCATGCACCTGAACCACCTCGCCCGTCAGTTCTCGGCCCTTGATCCCCGCCAGAGTTTAACCAACGAGGCGCAGTTCTTTTCGGAGCTCAGATTATTGGTTCAGCGACAGCAGCTCCTCAATTGCTTGTGCGGCAGGTAAAGCTTAAAACATATTAGTGGTTTGAAAGGCTTTTACAAATTACAAATTTATTTATTTACCTTTTTACATATCAACATCGAAGGTACAACGAAATCTTCAAGGTGGCTTTCCTGGTTAGCAACTTTGTGGGCGCCGGCTCACTCTGCTTCTACCTCTTCATGCTCTCGGAGACATCCGATGTGCTGATCATAACCCAATACATTATACCCACCATGGTCCTGGTGGTCTTCACTTTTGAGATCTGTCTACGTGGCACGCAGCTGGAGGAGGCAGTGAGTTTGATTGGTAAAAACCAAATAGAATATTCCACAATATTCCGATTTATAGTCGGAGGGGCTGGAGTCGTCGCTTAGGTGCCAGGAATGGTATTTGGGAAGTCAGCGCTACAGGAAGTTCTATCTGCTCTGGACGCAATATAGCCAGCGGACACAGAAACTGGGCGCCTTCGGCCTCATCGAAGTGAATATGGTGCACTTTACCGAAGTTAGTAAACTTTAAATGGAATCGATATATTTGCTGCTCCGTTTATTACATTTTCAGATCATGCAGCTGGCCTACAGACTCTTCACTTTTCTCAAGTCTTATTAATGAAACTTAAATTTTATTATTATATTTTGTTTTTCATAAAAAAAAACCTTTAAATCACAGAGCTTAGCTTTCAAATTGATTTTAAATAAACGAAACTATTTTTGCTTTTCCTTTTGCAGCAGTTTTATTCAAGTATTCAAATACAAAAACGAAAAATTAATTATACTTTACAGTTGTTAAGTAATATGATAAGGAACGAAAAATCTTTTAAGTTCAAATTCGTGTTGTGCGTTTCAAAGTTCAAGCTTATACTGAGTTAAAGAATAGTTTTGAAATCTGAATATATAAAGATAACGTTCAGAGAAAATACAAATGATAAATATGCTTGATTAATTTACATACGTCGTGAGCGTTAAATATTCTTCAAATTTGCTCTGGTAGTTATTAAAGATTATGGATATATATACATCAATAAAAAAAATCTAAGCACAAGGCAGATTATTTTTGATGTTTTATAAAGGCAAAGTAAACTAGGAACTTAATTACGCTGTTTTCTTCAGATAAGCGTAATAAATTCCAATGACATAAAGTTAAGCAATAGAGTATTAATGTTAAAGGATAATCTGCGCTTTCTTAGTTACTGCAGTGATTTAGCAAGCAACGTTGTTGGAAAAGTTTTGCGGCCATGAGATAGAAACAAGTTGTAGAGTGTACAGTAATACTAATTTGTCTGGTGGACTTGTAGGGACATCCGAGGCACTGGTAGGGCTTCTGTTCCTCCTGACAGGTGGCAATGTGATTGCTGAGTTGCGTCTTATTGACCTTACTGTTCAAGCAGTAAGGACACCTCAATTTTGAAGTTTTATGCTTCAATTTAGCGTTTTTGGGATCGTTTACATATTCCTGGAAATCGTTGGCGCAAATGGTGCACATTTGAATTTGAGATTGATGACTTTTCTGGACCGGAATAGCAGATGCTTTGGATGATCCCAGATTCTGTGGCGAAAAATTGTCGATAGAGTTGCTTGCTGGGGCCAAACATAGGTTTTTTGGCGGATTTGCCTCGGCTCCTGAAACTTCAGTTGTATTAGATGATTTCCGACTAGTAGATGAAACCAAATTTTCTGAAGTTGGAGCCAAACAAAGCTTTTTTGGCGGGTTTTCTATGTTTTCTGTGGCTTCCATTGGACGTTTTAGTGCGTTATCAGGTGAAATCAACTTTGTTGAATTTGCAGTATTTTTCAGGAGATCGGTTATTTTAGGTTGGATATCAATATATAGTGGATTTTGACCGATACCCCCAGTTTTAGCGGACTCTTTCCTTTGTAGCAGAATTTTTTCAAGGATGATAACATTTTCTTTCTTTGACAAATTCTCGGAAGATGATGATGGTTCCTCTGGACTATTAAGTTTACCAGTTGGATTACGTAAGTCCAATGGAGCTGCTATGGCTTTTTGGGGAGGCACGCCTAGTTCCTTGGGTTCTGGGGACATTGGCTTATAAATATTTGCTATAATTGGCATATGTAAATACTCACCGATTTTAGACAAATTTGCAGGGGCTTCTTTGGGCTTACAGGCCTTGCAGGTGCTCCTGCAGACAATCAAGGTTCCGTGGTTAAAGAATTCTTTGATCTCCACCAGATCAGAGTTGCAGCCGCATTTGTGCAGCACCAATTGGCCATAGTTCATAAAGCTTTTTATTTTAACAGTTTGTGGACTTCTTTCTCCTTGGCACTTGCGCGTCGTCATAACCCCGTAGTTGGTAACACCATCCGTGTTCATCATCTGCAAATCGTTTCCACTTCTTCCTCTGCAGTTGCACTCGCGCGAGGATATAACTCCGCTATTGGAAACCACGTTAATCATAATATCTCCCTTTAATAGCGCCATATTATATTATTATAATTCTTGCGAAATAGCACGCGGTAGGCTTCGATTATTTTTAGAGTTGCCACATCCTTGCAAGCCGATCAAACGATTAAAATGTTTCGATAATTCCCCAGTGTTGTTATTAATACTCATAAGAAATTCTAGGGGGATTCCCTAAACTGTTGAATTGCTGAATTGTTGAATTTTGGTCAGCTGTTAATCAGCTGTTCCATACAAAGTCAACTTTCAGAAATTTCAGCAATTCAACAGCCTAGGGGCTGTTGAAAATGTTGTTGAATTGCTGAAAAGTCAGAGTTGTCACCTTTTTTCAAAAGTCGTGGCAACTCTGTAACATTTTAGTATCACCAGTACGCATTATTTATTTTAAAATCAACTTAGAAAGCATATTTGTGGTTCTTTTTACCTTGGTAACACTTTTTCACAGTAACTAGCAATAATAAATCAAATTTTACATGCTTTAAGTTCCGTGAAACTTTTCAACAAATAACAGCTGTTTGAAAATTCAACAGGAACCATTTTGGGTCGTTCCCTTAATTGCTGAAATTTTTTGTTGAATTTTCAACAATTCAGCAATTCAACAGTTTAGGGAATCCCCCTTCTATTTTAAACAAATAATAATTCAAAAAATTGCTGATACTGCAACTTAAATTCATATTTATTTACGCATAAAATTATGTGAAAAAATTGGTTTGTGATATTCAAGAAATTCCAAAAGGAATTTTTTGACAAAATCAAATTACATGATTACATGAAATAAAATTAGTTTTTTCATAAATGAGAAACAAATAAATCAAATAAACTGTGCCAAAAATGTACTTAAATAAAAAAAAACTTCTTTTCATTTTATGTCGACAGACCAAAAAAAAATGCTTGAAAATATAGTAATTAATGAAACGATGATAATTCACTTTACAGTCTGAAAAATAACTACATTTTCAAGTATACTTAAAAAGTTAAAAATTAAATAGAGGTAATCATTCTCCGCATTCAAGTTGTTATTCGTATAGATTCCTATTTATGTACGAAATTTTGAAAATTAAACTTATTCATCTCTCTGGCCGTTATTTACTCAAAATAGGCAAATTACTCTCTCTGTAGAGAAGCCTACTTCAGAGGTTCGATTTAAGCTGGTTAAATTCGGCAAGCAGGGAACGTCTTACGGATTTTTTGATGTCTATTGTAGAATTGACTTTAATTGGCTGAGAAGTTTCTAACGTTGGATGTTGATGTAATAAATCCTTTGCATTAATTATCTCCTTATTTTGAATGCTTGTGCTGGTAGACTTCTTAACTGAAGATATCGTTAGCTTCGAATTAGTTTCGTTGTTCAATGTGAAACAGACTGTTGCTTCCAAATTTTTCTTGACCAGTGAGGATATGATTGGCATAATTTTTTCCGATAAAGTAAAGTCAGACTTTAAGTGTGTTGAGATTTTAGGTTTAGTTGTCAAATTCATGCTTGGTTTTGGCTCATTCAACTTATCAACCCTAATATGCTTCGGTTGATTGCCCTGGGAAACAAAAGATTCTCGGCTCCGCTTCTGTGGGAGTGTCGCTGTGGCTTCAGGTCTTAAATTCTTAAGACACTTTCCTTGTGGAATAAGCACTGATTGCGGGGATTCTCGACTGCTCTTCTGTGGGAGTGTTGTTTTGGCTCCAGGATTCAAATTCGCGTAACAGTGTTCTTTTGCAATAAGCACTGATCGCGAATTATGCGGCTTCGGGGGAATTACATTAATATTTGGCGAGGGTTTTCGTTTCTTTTTCTGTGGGAGTGTCGCTGTGGCTTCAGGTCTCAAATTCTTGTAACAGTTTTTTTGTGGAATAAGAACTGATCGCGAATTACGAGGGATCGCCGGAACCTTAAATATTCCTGGCTTAGCAACAGGTAATTTTCCCGCTAATTTTGGTTCAATATGTTGAAGATGGTATAGTGGAACTGATGATCCATTTGAAGGCAGATTGTTAGAGGATCGACTGTCGGCTGCAACGCTACGTGGTTTTATCTGCTGCTGGTTTGTTGACTCGGCAATACTCCGAATCTGCATATTCGAATTATTGGTTTTGTTAATTGGAAAATTCTGGGGTTTGACGCACTGCATCATCGATCGATTTTCGGGTGGCTTCAATACAGACTGCATGTTCTATGTAAAGGACAAAAACGTTTTTTTTATATCGAGCTAAAATGTATAAAATAATTGGCTTACCTGAAAAGTTTTTAAGTTTTCTTGAGATATTCCATATTTCAGGTTCTTTCGAGAGACTGGATGTCTAATTAGGCTGCTTCCGATAGGCTTTTCTTTGCTCAATAGTGAATTACTCGGAGGTTGTTGAATCTGGAAAGGCGTACCATTGCCCCGTGGTTTCAAAAGATAATTCAGCCTTCTACAATTTGAACAAACGGGTCCCAAATTAGACATAGTGTTTGTTTGAGCTGTTGAAGATATTCTTAGAGACTTTGGCAAGGATCCCGAGCTTTCTTGTGTACGTGGCTGCAGATTTGAGGTGGCAATTAATGAATTCTGTGGTTGTCTTGCATTAACGAGTTCCTGGGACAGCAAAGCAGACCTTCCTAACTTCTGACTCGTCAGTGACTGTACTTTGGTGGCCACAGTTGCCTGACTCCCAGGATTCGCGGAAGAAATCTCTAGTCGCCTGGAAGTCTGGTTGAAACTTTGAGCAGGAAGAATTCGCCTGCACGTAGACTTGCAGTTCACTATGGTCCCAAAGTTATTTAGTTGGTTTATTTGCAGAAGCTCCGTACCGCAGCTGCATTTGTGCCAGATAAGCAAGCCGAAGTTGTTGAACGTATTTAACCTCAAAGGTAGTTGACCATTTCCAGTGCACTTTCGGGACACCAATATGTGGTGGTTGGAAATACAATGTCTGCCCGCCATTAGATCGTGTCTATCCGCACCTTGCTTGCAGTGGCAATCGTGGTTAAGAATTCTCCCGAAATTGTTTAACATTTTAGTTTTGGTTCTGCACAATCCAGAAATTAGCAAAGTTTTTTTTGTTGTCAGCCAGGGTTGCCAGGTGATCAAGAATAGACGCCGGTCTATCGATTGCGAGTATGATTTTGATATTGGATACTAAGTAGAGGAATATCCGTAATGATAAGAATTAACTTAAAATCGAATTTAAATCCTCTGCCTTTTTTTGTGGTCTTGTTTATTAAAAACATACATTTTTTAGATTTTTTTTTAAACTAATCAAATTTATAAACAAATAAGCTGAGCATTTCTAATTTTTTTTGTTCAATGCATTATTAATAATTAAATTTCATGTTTCAAACATGTTCGATTTAACAATGCTTTAACTTAAATTAAAACTAGTTAAAAATGTGCGCAAGCAACGGTTCGATATAACGGTCTGAAAATCGATAGTAATGTTAGTTACCTATTCAAAATAAATCCCAAAGGGAAACTTACTTCAATTGATTGGAGTGGATGCAATACAAATCAGTTCCTAACTGTTTCGCATTTAACTTTAGGTTCAGTTAATTTTATTGGCTACTTCAAAGAGGACCATGATATCACCGAGACGCTTGCTGCAATTAGGATTCCTTTGGTTTTGCACATTAAATGGAATCACCACCTTCTATTTCCGCTCGGGAAAATTACGCCAATCCCGATTTCTGGCCTGCTATCGTATAATTCACAATTTAGTGGTGATTATCTTGACGATAAAGTTCCTCATGGACTTCTGGCACTTCAGTGCCGCTTCCTTCGAGGAATCTCCGCTGGTGCGGCTGGCTGCCATCACATATTTCGGCCTCGTTTTCCTATCTCTGATCAGTTGCATGGGCTGTGCTCATCGGCGTCAGGATCGGATTCGTAATATGATTATAAAACTTCAGAAAATGGAGCAGATAAGCAAATCACGCGGCTACAGGGTGGCTAAAGGACATAAGCGATTTCTTAATATGCTCCTGATAATTGTCACTCTTCTGCTGATCCTTCGACTCGCCATCCATGCCGCCTTGAATGTCAATCGATTTTTGAGAGGAAACCACAATCCCTGCAACTGTTTCCTCTCCGAGTGCATGATATTCGCCACCAACTCTTTGGCCTTTGGCCTCATGCTGGAGATCTGCCGGAACTGGTGGCGTTTGCAGTCGGGTCTGGAGTTAGTCATCCTGGATCCAAATCCTTTTCCGGACCAGCTTTGGCGACTGCGAGAGCTGCAGGCCATGTTCCAGTCGCTAATTGATATGACCGATGAGGTTTGCTTGGTCTTCAGGTTAGTTAAACAATTTTTGTATCCTAATTAGGACCGCCAACTAGCTTATAATAATATTAAATCAAAACAAAATCAATCACAAACAAGAAAGGAAGCTACCTTCGGCCAGCCGAAGCTTATATACCCTTGTAGATAAAGTAATGCTTACTCGGTGCAGTTCCAGGAATTCCAATTTTGTTTTTAATTAGTCAAGGATCAAAACGCCTACTTCCTACAAAGTTACAATGAATTTTCATATATTTGTTTGAATTTTCCTATGGGAGCCTTAAGATATAGTGGTCCGATCCGGCTCGCTCCGACATATGTACTACCTGCAATAGAAAGAAGACTTTCGGGAAAGTTTCATCGCGATAGCTTTAAAACTGAGAGACTAGTTCGCATAGAAACGGACAGACGGACAGACGGACATGGCTAGATAGACTCGGCTATTGGTGCTGATCAAGAATATATATACTTTATGCGGTCGGAAACGTCTCCTTCACTGCGTTGCAAACATCTGACTGAAATTATAATACCCTCTACAAGGGTATAAAAATGTTTTTAATTTAAACAAAGTGGAAAATGTTGTGTCGCATTATTTTCCCTGTGACGTTGCTGTGTTTATTTATTGGAAATCAGTTTTGAATGAGTTGTTTGGTAGTTTCAGGGCCGGTGATGTTTTTCATGAATATGCAGTCACAACAAATTTCCGGCACAAATTTCTCGGGTTTTAAAGTATCACTTTCTACGACGACCACGCTGTCGTTTGATATTAGTTTGAGTGAAAGCTTCGGGCAGTTTGATTCTTCTTCGCTTGGAGAATCCCAGGGAGCCACGTCGAATACTGGATTCGGCCGACGACTACGTAAAAAGTTGCTTAGGACGATGCCATTCTGGTGCACATGGGGAAGAAAGACCTCAGTCTCGTAACCCGGGGCATACACGACCACAGCACTATTGCCAGAAATCACTTTAATCTGAAAGCTAGGCATGGTTATGCAGAGTATATCCAATAAATCTTTTTGAAAAAATTGTATGGCAAATTAAAAATAAAAAAAAAAAAAAAAAATTATTTACGTAGTACTTTTTTGGGACTAACTAAATAGATTTGTAGAGCTACACTTCAAAGGTTCCTAAGTTCGTCTACGAAAGTAATGGAAAAAAATAACACAGTGTCACGTGAAAAATGTAACCGCAATTTTGATTTCATCTACAGAAGATACTCATCGAAATTAGCTAAACCCATTTGGGTAAAAGTAACGTTTTAATCGGCTCACAAAATAAAGTCATTATTAAAAAAAATTGGTATTTAAAATTTTAACTCGCTATAAACGCGAGCTAAGCCAGAGAATCCCAAATGGGTTCGACGAGTACTTTCCACTCCATTAAATTAACCACTCAATAATTTCTTATCTTAACCCGACACACCGTTTTTTTCCCAATTAAATGGTATGGGCTGCTTTTAAACAGGGACCGAAAATAACTGTTATTGTAAATTTTTCTTAAAACAAAAATCCCGCACTTAGAAGGGTCATAAATTTTTTTTAAATACACCTCTATTTTTATTAGCCATTGTAGTTTACAAATCCGTAATGATTTTTATTTTTTGATTGTTATAATAAAACTCAAAAAATAACTGTTATTTGCTGATTTTTATGAATAACAGTTATTCCCTTGACATTTTGGAAAAAACCATGTTTTATATAACTTACTAAAAATTTGTTAAAAAAGGCAACCGCGCATATTTTATAACTTTATTTTTTTTTAAATTTATTTTACCCACAAAATCGCCATAAATCAAGTTTGAGTTTTATTTTTGATCACGACGAATAACTGTTAAAACTAAAAAAATACGGTTATTCTTTGAGTTTTACTTTACAAATCAGAAAATAACTGTTAAAGTGTGATTTTTAAATGAATCTTCCTCAAATGAAATATTTATGATCACCTTAGGTTTGTGTTTCTCTGCTACTTGATGCGAAATGTGTGGAGTGGCATACGAGTCGGGTACATGTTGGTTCGGGTTTGCCTAGGTCATAGTGCCATTGAATCGGAACTCGAGTACCTGCAGATGGTATTTATCACCTGCATACAGCCGCTGCTCTTTTCACTGATGATGAATTCCTTGACGCACACCACGGATTCCCTCTTGGAGGCCACAAAGGATGTGATCAGGGGACTTTATAGCCAGGATCCGCAAGTGGAGCAAAGTGTAAGTTAAAATATAGACATTGATATAGATATTAAAGACGTCCTTGATTCTCCCAGATGGAATGGTTCTGCCTGCAACTGGCGGAGCAGCACACCTACGTTCACATCTTCGGGACCTATCGCATGAATCGAAGCTTGGCCTTCGACGGATGCTCGGTTATCCTGCTTCACGTCATCTATATGGTACAATGTGAATACAATTCAATGTTTTAGTACGAATCTTATTTTTTAATGCAAGATTACATTTAAATATTAACACATCTATTTATTAAATAAACAATTTTATTCCTTTAAGCTGAGTTTTATATTTATTGATACGTTCGAGGATACATAAGTGAAGTGCGTGGGATGGTAAGTTATAATACAATAAGTAATTTGAGCAGACGATCGCATCCCTAGTAATCCTAACTCTTAGTTACAAGTATTCCTGAGCTCCTCCCTCTCCCTTAGCCGCTGTCAATCCTACGGGTGTGGATGGGGATGGGGATTCCTGCCCATCCGTAGCGAAGGTCTTCGGGGTCCTCCGGCCGGAACCACAGTCGCCGTGGAAAGTCGTGGCAGACGAGGATTGACGGGCGGACCCATGACCCGGTCAACGGGATCCATCTGGCTATCGATTTGTGGCAGCGGCGAAGCTGGCGACCACTCTGAACTGGAACTCGAACCGGGTGAGTCGGATCTAAGTAAAGTTTTTAAAATAAATAAGATTTAATAGATTTATAACAAGAAAAGAAGCATTCATACCCCGCGGTATAGATGGGCGGAAGTTTCCTCTCGTAGTTGCTCGTGCTTGGCGTGACCACGCCGGCATGGATCTCCTGCTGGTAGAGCCCATAAAGCTCACGCAGTTCGTCCGGCAGATCCACGTTGCCCTCCTCGATGAGTCGTCGCTGGGAGCTGATGATGTCCTCGCAGAGGCGTCGCTGCCGTTCCGCCCGGAGCAGCTGGAGGTCACGACGACGCAGTTCCGCCTGGCGAGCCAATCGCTCGGCCTGCAGGGACACCTTGTCCGCCTCCAGTTCGTGGACGCGGCACAGAAGGGCCAGTAGCTCGCGCTCCTCGTCGCTACTGATGCGCTCCGGAAGCTCCTGGGGCGGCAGAAACGGGTCATTACCTATCAGGGGAGTAAATTTTTTTTATTCAGACTCACATCCTCCAGTTTGACACCCTTCTGGCGACACTGCTCCAGCTCGTGCTCCGTCCTCTCGCGGATTTCTTTGTAGCGCCGCGTTTCCTTTTCAATGGCCGCCAACTCTCCCCATGCATTCTTCAGGGCCACAGATCCCTCTGATTCGATGTCTGCAGGGGAAATGGGAATAAATATCAATAAGAATATTGTTAATATGGTAAATTGTATGTTTATGTAAAAATACATGAAGTACTCTTTTCAACCAGCTCAAATTTACCTGGTCACATATGTAAAATTGATCTACGTTTTATATCGATTTTTTTTTTGGGGTACTAAAGTAAATCATAATATCCATACACGAGTATACTCGACTATACTTTGACTACCTTTTTGATAAAAGAAGTCGAGTAAATTAAATCACAAGAGCTAGCCTTTAAAAAAAATCATTTAATTTATTAGGGAATTAATTTAAATAATTTATAGATCAATCACAGCTCAGATTAAAGGAGTTCTGTGTATATCGTTTTAATATTAAACTATTTTTACACAGAAAGTAATTATTCCTTTAAAGTTTAAACTAATTCTACATTATTCACTACTCTTTAAAACCCTAGTAAACCACCGTAAACTCACCATCGTCGCCCATGGCGTCATATAGTTTTCCGATGCGTCCTTGCCAGTGGGAGATGATCATGTGCTGTCGCTCTGCATCCAGTTCCAGGCCCAGGAGATGGCTCTCGGCCTCGAGGAGCTTGCGTCGCAGTTTCATTTGCTGCTTGAAGGTGAGCACGATCTGTTCGCGTAGATACCGCAGTTCCGTCTTGCGTTGTTCGTCCTGTTCCGGGATAGCCTCGGATCCCCCTGCTCCAGCTGTGCCCGGACCGCCTGCCGATGATCCTGAGGCTGCCACCTTGGCCGCCGCTGCAGCTGCTCCACTTCGAGGCCGTTCGGTGAGCATCTTGGTGCGCAGACGCGACACCTCGTCGCGCAACTCCGAGACGAGACTCTGGTAGTGCTTGGTGGGGAAGTCCTTGAACTCATCGATGTACACGGAGTTCTGCAGCTTGGTGGTGATGCTGTTGGCCCGGTCGGCATAGACCAGGGTGTTCTTCGTCTCATCGCGGTGCTTGCTCTCGGGGGCAACGTGGGCAATCATTACGGTCTTGCAGCGACCACTCAGCGCCTCCTTGAGCAGCCTGGTCAGCTTCGAGTCCCGGTAGTTGACATACCGCGCTCCGCCCGACAAACCATTTATCACGTTTCCTAAAGCCAGCAAGCTGCGGTTTATGTGCGCCCCCTCCTGCAGTCGTTTGCCCCGATTCTTGGTCTTCTTGGCCCGCTCCGAACCGGCCAGATCGGTGAGGAAGAGCCGACCCTGCTTGGTGCCCAGCGGAGTCCTGGCCTGGACCATGATGCTCAGCAGGGCGTGACTCCGCGACGAGGTCTGATTTGCGGCCGTTGGCTCCATGGTTCTCGCCTTGTTCCCTTTGATCAACAGACTCACCACCTCCTTTCGACTGGAAGTGGTAATCTCCGAGAGCCCGGCCACCGTGATTCGCTGCCCCCGATGATCCTCGCGCAGCTCCAAGGGACCTCCCGGATTCAGGAGATCCCGTATCAGCTCGTTGTATATCTCCAGGTAGGATATGGACACCCGGCAGGAATCGGCCTCCGCCGATTCGATGTGACTGAAGATATCCTCAATGGCCCGCACCATGAGGCCGATGTCCTGGCTACTTACATCCGTGGAATCACAGGAGGCGGTGGCCGGCGGACGGTCGGCAGTCTGGGGTTTCTTGCGCGGCACAGGTCCCAGCATGGTGTGCGTCTTGCCGGAACCCGTAGCTCCATAGGCGAAGACGGCCGCATTCAAGCCGTTGAGGACATCCCGCACCAACGGCGCCGTGGTCGTCTTGTACACCTGCTCCTGGCTGTCGTGCTCACGAAAGACATGGTCGTAGGAGTACTGCCGCGGGCGACTCTTCCCTCCGTCGTCGTAGAGCAGCGATCCCCCGGAGACCACCTCGATGCAGCGCTCGCTGGCCTCCATGCTGGGTCGGACTCGAACTGCCACCTGGTGGAGAGACCATTAATTATTAAAGAGTATTGCTAAATATAAGTAAAAATTTGAGTATTTTATATGCTTATATTTTTACTTATTCAAGATACCCTTTTATTTTACGAATATTGCGTTACAAATTCAAAGCATTTAAGATCAGGGTCAGGTTTACGCACGCATGTACTCTAGTTTTTATATATCCAAGTCGACTGTTTCTAGGCCTCTAATCACAAACAGAAATAGAAGTTTAAAACTTTTTGCATATTTATATCCCACTCCCAAAAGTATTTATTTAATTCTTCATTTCTTCAAGTCGCTAAACACAAAGGCAGAAATTGTTTGTGGTAGATAAGTATGTTTAATCTCAAGCAGTTGTTATAAAAGTATTTCTTCACAAAACTTTGCCGGATACAGCTTTTGCCAATCTGAGCATATAAAAATATGTTCGTTTTGTCAAAAGCTTTAGTATAAATTCGCGATCTAAAGCGAACAGTCGGCCTATAAGTTCAGACAAAATAGGTTGATTATCATGGAATTATTCGGTGTGACCGCGATTGGTACAAGCTTGGCTAAACCACTGATCTGCTTGCTTGTACTAATATTTTTCTCGAAGAGCAATGGGAGCGCAATAAAGAGTTCCAAGGAGGATTACCTAGAGTCCTATGCGAATCTCATGAAGTCCTACATGGACTTGAGTGAAGAACCCTGTCACGATTTTTATCAGTACGCCTGCGGAAACTATCCAAAAAAGTCGGTACGGTCGATACGGTCGGTACGGTCGGTTCCGGATGAAATGACGAAACATCTGGTGGGCAGAACGGAACATTTACTGGGAAGGATGGATCTGGCGGAGTCTCTCAATGTGTCCAGTGAACTGAAGGTGGCCCAACGAGTCTACAACGCCTGTATGGCGGCTGATCTTTATCCGTTCCCTGCTGCTGATCCACACTACCTAACGCTAATTCGATCGATCGGAGGCTTCCCCGCTGTCGATGGTGCCACCTGGAACGCCTCCAACTTTAGTTGGTTCAACATGAGTGCCCACTTACTTAATTATGGGGCAGAGGGTCTGCTTCGCGAGGAGATTGAGGAATATTATCCTTTTAAGCCCAAATTAAATCAATTTTACCGATTGGGGTTTGGCAACCCCGTTTCGTTTGACATCCTTAAAAGTAATACTCCCTATAGACTCGCTGCGCAGCGCATGCGCGGATACCTAAGATCCTTTAAGCTTTCAGAGGAAAAAATTACCGAAGTAATCGACGGGATCCTCGCATTCTGGCGAGAGGCGGTATATAAGAGACATACTAGCAATTGTGTGAGCTGCGAAACCTTTAAGGCTATCTACTTCAAGATCGTCTGGAACGAGGATGACCCCGATGGATGTCCGAGTTGTTTTTCATACTTCGAGGAGATGGACAAGCTGAGTTCCCGGCACTCGGAAGCCGTGGCCAATTATCTGGCCATGAAGCTGCTGTACGCATTTGACTCCAAACTAAATAACACCAAATACCAGGGAGATTATTGCGCATCAAGTGTAAGGAACGCCATGCCGTTCCTTTTCATCAAACTTTATATGGCGGTGAGAAAACGCTTAATTCAAATTTTAAAACGAATTAAATCTATTATATTATTATATCTTTACAGGAGAACTTTAAGGCGGAAATCATGTCGGAAGTGTCTGAAATTGAAGGCGAAGTGTATAAGAGCATTAGAAGGTCGTTGGGGAAATACTTTACGCACCACCACCACTTAAGTATCCCTATAAGGTATCTCTTTGATCGCACCCAGTTCAACATTCTCGCCGATCGCCTAATCCCGGAAATAAGCCGCCTCGAAATAGACGACCATAGCTATGCTGCGACCAATATTAATCTTAAAAGGCTTGGTGCGGACGTCAATCGATACAGCACTCTTCACTCCGATGAGCTCTCTGTCCAACTGTCCGAGTCTCCGAATACCGTGTTGCTTCACGTCCTTCAAATGGCCACATTGTTGCAAGCACCCTTTTACAACCAATCATGGCCGTTTTCCCTCAAATTCGGCGCCTTGGGTGGTTTTGTTGCACGAACCTTTTCCAACCTCCACTGGACATTGAACTTGCAATTTTTAGAAAAATTCGATTGCTTTTGGGATAACTACGGAAGTCTTCACGACTTAAACTCCGCGGAGTCGGAGATCGGTAATTATTCCCACGACTTTGACAGATTGCGACTGGCATTTTCTGCCTATCAAAGTCACATGAAGCAGCTTCTGGAGGATCCCAAGCAGGAGAGGATCAACGAGCAGATGCCAGGACTCGACATGTCGCCGGAGCAGCTCTTTATTCTGGGATCCATTCAGACGCTTTGCTCCGATTACGAGGATCATCATGCGTACATAGCTATGGCCTTGCTAACAAGAAACGAGGAATTCTTCCAGGCCTTTAACTGTTCTGCAGGATCTGGCATGCGTTCGCAGCCGAAACTTGTCATCTGTGGTAACGAAACTTAAATGTCAGGACTGTGAAGGTTTTGACTTTCTCTAGAAAATCCAACTCAATCTAAACTCAAAAACTTTTCAAAAGTAGGGGAGAGTGGGGGAATTTCGTCACAGGGGCAATTTCGACACCTGCAATATCTCGGAATCCATAAGTCGTAAAAATATATAATTTTTTTGTTTTAGTCCTTCAAGACGGCCAGACACAACCAATGATAATTAAGCTATAATATTAAATGTGTTTATACCCGTTACTCGTAGAGTAAAAGGGTATACTAGATTCGTGCAAAAGTATGTAACAGCTAGAAGGAAGCGTTTCCGACCCCATAAAGTATATATATTCTTGATCAGGGTCACTAGCCGAGTCGATCTAGCCATGTCCGTCTGTCCGTCTGTCTGTCTGTCTGTCTGTCTGTCTGTCTGTCTGTCTGTCCGTCTGTCCGTCTGTATGAACGCTGAGATCTCAGAAACTACAAAAGCTAGAAGGTTGAGATTTCCCACACATATTCTTTGGCTTCCTACGCAGGGCAAGTTTATTTTAGCCGAGCGCCACGCCCCCTCTAACGCCCACAATCGCCCACTAACGATTTTAAAATGGGTCCTGCGCCCACATCTTTAAAGATTTCCAAGAAGTATAAATGCAATTTTGTTATGTATATTTATACCTATCGAAATGTAGAAGACATTTTTCAAATCGGACCATTCATTAAAAAGTTATACGCAATCAAAAATTATATATCTATCTCCCTCGCACTCCCTTTAGCTGAGTTACGATTATTAGTCGGGACACCAACCCGACACAGCGTTCGCACTCCCTTTAGCTGAGTGACGGGTATTAGATAGTCGGGACAACAACCCGACTATAGCGTTCTCTCTTGTTTAATAGTTCAAAAGCTACATTTAGTACTCGACGAAATTTTTTCTGTATGCCACAATTGACAAGGGATAAGATACAGGTTTTTTTGTATAATACACACAAAAAAAAGCACGTCGCCGTAAAATCGATAAGTCCAGGTAATTTTCTGGTTATTCCTACTCATATCGTTTTTACCTGAAATATTCATAAAATGTACATTAAATAATATCATTTTGCCGAATTCTCTCTCTCGGAGATTCTCTAACTTCGAAAAAGAGCGCAAGAATCAATATGGCGAGCAAAATGACATGAGTGGAAGCGAGAAAGCCGTATTCGAAATTCGAACTGACGTACTTCAAGCATGTTTTCTCGCTCGCACTAGAATAAGTTTTGGTCAGGAATAATGAAAATTTTCGTTCTTACATTTTCGACCATATCACATTTACCTGGCCCCATATCAAGTTAAAAATGATCTTAAAAAAGGTCAAATTGACCTACGATTCATATCGATTTTTTTTGGGTGTACACAGTGCTATAATGTGCATTTCTGCGTTAGTGATTTTTAACTTCGCGCCTAATTTCGGGAGAAAAATAATTATTTCTAAAAAAGTACTGTCTGGGGAAATTTCGCCACCCTATGCTTAGGGTAAATTCGCACCTAGTTTAGATACATCTTTTTTTATTTGACGAGCTGGCTAACGAACAGACTACCGGCAGCAGCAACAAATATAGGACGTCAACAAAAATGGTACGCTTGATCAGTGTAGCATACTTACAGGCGTAAAGTTCCCTACATTTTTCAGGTGACGAAATTGCCCCGGTGGTGTGGTGATTTTACCCCCCTGTGTGGCGAGATTGCCCCAGTATATTAGTTTTACTTTTTAATTTTTTATAAATCACCAAGGTAATTAAAAAAATAGGGGAATGTCACATTTTAAAGCTTGGTGCTAACCGCATTCAACAATAAAAATAGAAATATGATAACGTGTCTCAAGATGGACAAAAAATAGCTTTGAAAAAATGCTGACGAAATTCCCCCACTCTCCCCTACTAATTTCTTTAAAATTGCAAATAAATAATATTTCATTTCAACAAATCTGGAGTTTTTATTTTCTTTTAATTTCGTTTAGAAGTTTACAGCGCATAAAGACGTATTTATTTTTAGTCCTCTTACCACAAAGGAACAAGGAAGTTCACAAATTTTAACTTACTTACTCGAACATATTTATTTAATTCTCTCTTCGTTACCACTTATCGCAAAGCGAATATTTCACCGTACAGCCTTCACTTATTCAAATCACGAAACGCTATAGAAGCCATTATGTTTAATTTCCATCAATTTTTACAACAAAAAAAAATAATAATAATATGGTCTGGCCGAAGGACTTCAGTTTCCAGAGCCATTTTTCCATTAAATTTAGTAAGTAAAAAATAAATAAATAAAAAATATTTCCTAAAAAAAATTTCCCATATTAATTATATGGGTTTGTTAAAATGGGTTTGTTTGCGAACGGTGGGTCTATGAGCTCGAACCACATTGGTTGATAAACATGGATTTCCACAGAAAGCTTGGGTTTGACTACTGATCTCTACTTGCTTGAACTTATATTTTACCAAGAGTCCTATGGGGATCTCATGAAATCCTGCAAGACCTTGTAACGACTTTCGTCATTTGATCAATTTAAGTCTTTTCTTCTTTGAAAATAAATCTTCAAAAAATAGTGTTTCCTAAGATGAAGTCGGCTAAGGCAATTCTCATTAATACCCAGTAATCCTCTCTATGAAGCACCCGATATATATATGTACTTACCACTAGTCTCTCCTCCTGTGGCGGCTGGGCGGTGGCAATGGTTCGTCCTTGGGAGGAGTTGCTGCCCCCACTGCTGCCCGACCAGCTGCTCGCTCCAGCACTGGCCGCCATCTCTCCGATCGTCCTGGATAGGAATATCTAACAAGTCCTTGGTCCTTAAATGTCCACGTGCCGACTGGCCTCCTGGTTGATGACCTGACCTAGGGAAAGACCATTACAAATCGTGTCAATTTGTTGTCAACAATCGTAAAAATGCCATCAGCGCGGGAAACACCCAACGAACTCCTAATGGATTTGTGAATTTGCGCGCCAAGGTCTCGCCTCTTTTATGGGGAACTTCTGGGAGGACGGACCTTGAGGTCCCGAGGGTCTTGTTTACCTGTGGCTCAAGGAGCTGACTCTTTACGGCGTCTTGTGGCGTGAGCCATAAATCAAGCCGTGAACTTGAACACCCGAAAAAGTCCCTGCGTGTCTTCGCATGCAAATCAAATGGAGCAGTTCGATGGTCATCGAGAGGGTACTGTACCTCTGCTGGAAACCCTGGGAAGTCTATGAACCTTCATGGGTTCAAAACTAATAGTCCTTCTAACGGGGAGTAAAACTATAAGTGCCTACTGAAGGATATCAAACCAAGTGTGCTCTCAGTGAATTGGAAAAAATGTATTATTTAATAATTTAGAATTTGTTTTTAACTTTTTAAATTATTTCAAGTTAAGTGATCACTATTCGGTAGTATTTCTACTTCACACAACATTAAAAATTGACCAATAATGTCGCCTGAAATAGAACTGTCACCACATACATTCTAATCCATGACCTCTGACCCCAACGCCTGTCATCCACCGAATCGAGCGATTCTATAGCCCCGCAACCAACTGTCGATTCCCCAAACGCATAATTAATTTCATTTGCCTAAGAGCTGCTCAATTATAAAACGTGCGACTCATTGAGTGCCAAAGGGATTGCATTATTAAATTTAATTCCACGTTCCCATTCAGGTGCCATGAATATGTGATGGAACAGCCCACAACAAAAAGGAGCAAGCTTCCGCGGCACTTTCTCCTCAAATATGTACACAAATTACAGGCCTCGAATGTCAACAAATATGGGTGTTTCAATTGAGTGATAGGGTGGTATTCTATGCACTGGGAAAAAATATCCATTTTATTAATTTATTATTATAACAAAAATAGTCATTTTATTTATTAATTATATTAAATTACATTTATATTTTTAAAGTATCATAAATGTATATTTTTAAGGCGCCGTCCTAAAGGATTCCACTGCAGTTAATTTGATAATGTCTGAAATCGATTGAGGCACTTTAATGAGAACCCACCGCCCCCCAAGCACCACCCAATTAAGCCCGATCTGAACCACCACCCCTAGAGCTCAACACTTTTGCCAGTTCTTGTTTCGTATTCAGTTGCGGGCTTTTGCTTTTGTCGTTTATTGAATTTGTGTAAATTGCCCGCAGACACGACAACGAAAGTCGGTGGACAGGACTTCTGTATAACCCAATGTGGGGCGATTGGGGTGGTGGTTTGGGTGGGTGGTTGACCAGGTTATTGGGAGGTGGTGCAGTAACAGAGCCCCACTGACTTTTGTCTTCGGTTGTTGTCGCCCGACGACTGTTAATGTTTTTAATGCTTTGGTATTCCATGTTTTGATTTGCCGGCTAGTGAACTCCATTTGGGAGTTACGGAAGGGGGTTGTTGGGGCTTTGGAGGCGTGGCTTTGTTTGTCCAGCACATTGTGGTCTGCCTGGAGCTCATTAGCGGAAATCGGGAGTGAGAATTGGGCCATTTGGGGCGGGCAAAGTGGAGTGCCGCCTATGAATTAGACCTTTGAAAGGCTTTTCGAGGGAAAACCCTGCTTCGTTTTGGATGGGGTGCTCGGAAAAGTCCCGTAACTCCAAGCAGGGCTAAGTAATAACACGTGTGACAGACTCTTTATCGCTAATGAGTTTGCTTTTCGATACAGGACTGGCCAGCAAGTGATAAAGAACACATTCCTTTTAACTCACTTATGACAAAGAGGATTCCAAAATAAACAAAACCCGTCGATAGGGATCTGAGTAAAACAAAGACCTCTAAAGCTTTGACAAATCGTTATAGTTAAGCATTATATTCCTTAAGGGAACTCCCTGCAACGGGGCCACAAAATAATAGCGATTCCCATTAAAGTAGCTATTTTCATGTGTAATGTGGGATTTTAATATTTAATTCGCTTATAAGTGGAAATGCTTATCGATGAATAAAGTATGGCTTTATTACCTTGGTAATTGCAATATGGTTTAAGAAGCTTTCATTAATATAATGCTCCCAAAGGGTATAAAAAAAACGTAAATTGGTACAGAATATATATAATTTGACTAACTTTATTTTCTCAAACTTTATGATCTCTGCTCCCAATATTTTTTACGATAGTTCTTTATTATGAATATGTGTTTTTTATGGTTCTATTGGCTTAACAGAACAAAAAATCCAGCCGAGCTAACAAAACCCAAGCAAGGTAAACCCCAGAAAGCAGGACTGTAATTACCCGCCACGAACATTGCGTATACGCAGCGGTGGTGATTGATGGCCCTTGTGACCTGGAGACGACTTAATTACCCAAAGCCATTTCCCCGGGGCACACACTCGCCGGGTTTATTTTTAGAGACCCATCAGGCTGAGTGACCAGTGACCAGCCCCCCAATATGCATCCAGAGTGACGTCATCTTCCGTAGGTTGTAGGATGTAGGTGCGATGCAAGTGCAAAACTTTTAACCTTCACAGGGGGTTTTTCAAATTAACGCCTTTCGAGAAAGTTGTGCGTGTCACGAAACTCTAGGAATTTCGACACTAAGTGGGCCAACTTGTCCGCATTGACGACGCGAATTGTTTTCGCCATAAACAAAGTGGCCAGTGGCCTCAATCCTGACATGAAATAATGTAATATTTTACACTTGGCCAGCAGGTAAATCCGTATCCAAGTAGGTCAATTATATGCGGTGCCCGCAGAGAGAAGCCACCCCAATCTGGGCTTTATTTCGATTATGTAAAACAAACATTTGATAAAAACTTTTCAAGCACCTCTGCAGCGCGGCTCACTTACAAATAGTTTTGTTTTGCACTTTATCCGCTTGGAAAACTTTCCGGACACGCCACACGCCGAAAAGATTTTAAAGCCGAAAACCGGAAGCGCTGGGTCGCCGAGAATTCCGAGAATAAAAAAATATCCCAAACGAAAGCGGTTTGTAGAACCATTCGCGTCGACGTACCAAACTCAACTGAAGGGTCCGATTCGGCCTGGTCAGAAAAGAACGAAATTATAGGCATGTCCATGTCGAAAGGGGGGTGGAATGGGTGGTATGTGGGTGGTGGTCTGACTCCTGGCACGACACAATCAATTTTTGTTGTTGCCGCGTTTTTACTACGGCATTGTTGAAATGCTAATGCGCCATTTTGCATACATTTCTGGCGAGTTTCACCTGCCGCTGGCCAGTTGTGGGTTAAATAGTTGGCCAAAGATTCCCTATCCAAGAGCTGTTGAGGTCCACTCTAATAATTGTCCACAAATAAAGGTATTTCCATAGTTATCGTCGGAGGGCCCCGAAAAGTGGGCAACGATTTAGCACATTTTATGCAAATCATGCAGCACTCCAGTTTTTTGGCATTTCCGCCACGTCAACTCCTTGAAGCCTGATAATAAATTCAGGAAAAAATTAAAACCCTTCACATATCACCACGAAAGCATTAATTTACCTCATTCAGAGTTGGGGAAAAGTTTTCCAGGACGAGACATTGAATTGAAATCGGTTTGTGGAGCAGCAGCACGTCGATTATGATGGATTGATTGACTGACTGAACGACCCCAATGAGTGTTGGCATTTGTAAATATTTCAAGCCGTCCATCGCACGCCTGGGAATTTGCATTCAAGATTTCGATTACGAATTTGAATTTGGCAGGCCGCCGAAGCCGGAGGAGCCTTGCCCCAATTACGGATTTTTACTGACATCCGGCTCGGCTCACGAGAAGGTCAACGCAAATTACACGGTCATAGAACAAGGACTTGCGGTTTAGTAATTGAAATTTTTATTAGCTATTATTTTTTAGCATATAGAGCGTGTGTGTACTTGTATTGTATAATTTTAATTTGATTCCGTTGCTGGCAATTCCATTTTAACTAAACGTTCGCAAAATAAAGTACTCGTTGCGGTTCGTAAAAGTGCAAACAAAAGTTCCAACTGGCCAATACTTAAGTATTAAATGCTAACTGAAATTTATATAACCTACATTATTGCTGGGGGAGTAGGGTACATAGATAGGTGTGGGTAGAATAGGATAATAGCAAGGGAATATCCAAGCGCAGGGCAAACAGAAATCGCTTGACAAAACAGTGAGCAAATATTTAAAGTAATTGGACTGGTGGCGTGGGGCGGGGCTGAATTCGTCTACGTCTGTGAAACAATTTTTGGAATATCGCGTAAGTTATTTACGCCTCCCCTTCCTGATGCATCGTTTTCGGCTACTAGAGTGTAAATAGGTTTAGTTGGGCAGCAAGCTAGTTATCCTGGGCCCCCGGATCCTGTGTGTGTGCTCGTTTCATATTAGACTAAATGCAATTGGCTGATGCTAATGGAATTCTCTTCGCTTTCTCTGGCCTGCTGTGCTTGTTTGGGTGTGTAATTGTATAATTGTCCTTATCAATATGCTCAAAATGTTATCGTCATTGTCAGCTGAGCCTGTTGCGGTCCTCAGTTGTCCTCACAACCGTCCTTGATCATTGAAATTATGTCTTAGAGGTTCTTGAGAAGCAGCGGAGGACTGGAACAGACCAGATAATGCAGATTATTGTAATGGTTGGCATGTTTAGAATATCGAGGCGAGGCTTAGACGCAGGGCTCTACGTAATTGCCCGGAAACAGGCCGGTCACTCCATCCATGACGCCCTCCCACCAACCGTCGTCGTTCTTCTTGAGCACGTACAGCACCGAGCTCTCCTGGAAGCTGAGCTCATCGTCCTTGTCGGCATAGTAGTCGTAAATGGCTACCACTGGAATATTAATCGAAATCAGAATGGTTTCTATTTGGCAATTGGCGAGTATATTTTTACCCTTCTCAATGAAGTTCTTGGGCACCCAGCCGGGCAAGTTCTGATCCTCGGGCACTATGGGCGCCAGCTGCGGTCCCGTCGAGGTGCGTGGTCGCCCAAAGTCCTGGTGCTCATCCTCCGGCGGCGGCGGAGGCGGCAAGGGCGGCGACTGGGAGCCGGGACGAGCAAAGTTCAAGCTGAAATGATTTCTTTGGAATAACAATGGGTTAATAATGTGATATAGTTGTGGATTTCATGGGGTTATACGCAGTTAAATGCTTAAAAATGCCAGACTTTCACAATATGAATGAATGAATCCAATGAATTTTTTGTTTTATAGGAATGAATTAATACGAATTTTGAGTTTAATAGAATTGAATGAATTTGAATTTTGAGTTTAATAGAATTGAATGAATAAATGGCATGAATTCCAAAATAATTCAAACAATAATTTCTTTTGAAGAAGAAAGGGCCATAATTTTGTGATTAAATCTGCCTGAATTTTATTTACTAAGCAGTTAACATTGATTTGTTAAAATTTTCCACTTTTTGTTCTCAAAAGAAAGCACAAAAAAAAATTTGGCATATTAAAAAAATGCATAAATATTATTCATTCGTTCATTCAATTCGAAATGAATTAGAAAAACATTAAATTTATTTCTCATAGAATAAGATTAAACAAATCAGAAATTTTATGGCATTATATGATAAATCAAAAATTGAATGATTCATGCAGGGCTCTAATATGAATATAGTTTTGTATATTTAAACTGTGTATAACCCATTGATTGAGAGAAAAACATGCAATTTACCGATTTGGATTCCTGGGTTTGCATAGAGAACATGAAATAGGTTATATGTACACAAGACAAAGAATGCTTCTGCTGGAAACTCACCTGTTGATGTTGCGTCCCAAGGTGTGCATGCCAATGTGACTCTGCTCCGTCATCTCGTGCTGCGACACCGTTAGCGGTGAAGGGGGAGCTGCTGAGGATTTAAAACAGGGCTATCAGCATCGATTTATAGTGGTGTAACGTAGTCAACTAACGTGGCATGCTGCTGCGATCGTCGTACGTTGTGGGTGGCGGCGGTGGCAGCGATTGCATCATGCCCGCGGACGGCAGGTTCACATGGGTGGCTATCTGCTGGCTGGGTGGCATCGGCAGTGCACTGTACCCAGCAGCCCGCTCATTGCCTGCCGCTCCACCGCCCGTGGTGGTGGTGGTCATCGTGGACGAGGCCGTCGACATGCGCTTGGGATGACCAATCGGATAGTTGGGGGCGTAGTGCGAGGGCACCTGCGGTGGATTGACCACCGGCGGAGTGCGGTACTCCCGCGAGCTCTTGCCCAGCGTCCCAGTATTGCTGACCGACTTGCCCAGGGTGCCGGTGTTTCCAGCCCGCGACATCTGCGGCGGAGTCGGGGGCTTCGTGGTCGGCGGCGGACCCACCGAAGGGGGCAACAGCGATTGCACGGACCCATGGCTGGAGCCCCGATGCTTTTGCCGCACTTGCGAGTGCGAGGCCGAGTTGATGCCGTGGCCAATCTCGTCCAGCATCGAGTAGTCGATGGGCTTGCGCACATACTTGATGGGCTTCTCCGGATTGATGGGCGCCACGATCTTGAACTGGCGCGAGCTCACCTTGTTGGCCGTCAGCACGCCGATCTCCCTGGGGGGTAGGAAAATATTTGAGAAAGAACAATGTAGTATGATATTAACTCTAAAAGGAATGTAAACTAATGCCGATTTAGAACTCTAACATTTTAAAAACTTAATATTTTGTTCATATATTGAATTTCCTTAAAGGAAATATAAGTAATAACTAACTCAAGTCTTTCTAGGGTTAATAAATGAATATAAAAGAAAGTGAGCCCCCACAATGGAATAAAAGAAGAACAAATATGTACTTAATATCAACTGCATGACCTCATACAAGCACGTCTTACACAAATAAAAGCTTTTATCAATTATGACTCGTGCTTGATATAGGTTCTTATAACTGAAAATGTCTGATAGGTGGATTTTCTATACTATATTATATTATAGCCCCTAAAACATTTTGTTGTACACTATGAAACATAGACATAAACAGCTAGAAATGATACAGTTTCATATCCTTAGCTCCTATCCATATTATTCTATGCTATATCATATAATATGCCCTAGTAATCTTGTACTATATAATATCATTTCAACGAACTGAACTTCCTTACTTCCTGGAGACCTTCTCCTTGAGGATACGGTATAAAAATAATCAATATACCCCTTACAACAACTTGACATCCCACTTAGTTAGATTGCCTTACCTCCTGGCCACCTTCTCCTTGTGGATGTGCACCGTCTGGGCGATGTGGTTCATCTGGGACTCCATCTCGCCCAGCTGCTGGGCCTGAAGCTCGAGGAGCTGCATGTAGCTGTAGGCGAGCGTGTTGATCTGGTAGGCGACGCTGGCCAGCGACTGGGTGGTGTAGTTCTTGGTGGCCTCCAGGGCCGCCTTCTTGTTCTCCGCGCGGTAGTAGGTGTCCTCGCAGTAGTCGGCCACCCGCTCCAGGTTCGTGTAGCTGTCCCGCAGACTCTGGCGGCCGTCGGGGATCTCGGTGCGTATCAGAGAGGCTAGTTCGTCCATGATGTTCTCGCTGGCCATGGGGGCTTCGGTCAACATGGGTGTGGCTGCTGGGGGCGAAGGGGAAGTGAAAATCGTATTAATTTCCCCGCTTTTCCACTTTTCACGCCCGTAAACATTTGGGGCGTGGACACTGCTGCACTGGGTGCTCCGCTGCCGACGTCGACGCAGCTGCTCCAATTGCCCGTCGGAGCGATGCAAACGGGCGATTGGCGCGTGCACTCACTTTATTGACTATGCGATTGCACAACAAAGGCTTTTCCAGGCTGATTGCTTCGCTTTAAATGCACTTAAATGCAGTTTTCTTTACATTTTCAGCGAAAAAAGAACGCTCGAGCTGGTGCTGCAGAGGGCGGCGTTTCCCAACACTTGGTCAGTGCAGGAATCACCCTGTGGGCCTGTTTTGCTCGAGTTTGGTATTTTCTGAAATTCCACATACCATAAATATAATGGTATTTAAATACTTTTGAAAACATATGTTTATTTTATTTTTTTATGTTGAACTATTTAAAAAGCTTTAAAATAATTTCTGTTCATGAACAAACAATTTTTAGTCATTTTATTACTTTACCATTTCATTTAAATTGTTTAGGTAAATGAATTCAAAGTTAGTTAGTTTAATATAAATTTAATAAAAATTCTAAAGGGGGATTCCCTAAACTGTTGAATTGCTGAATTGTTGAAAATTCAACAAAAAATTTCAGCAATTTAGGGAACGACCCAAAATGGTTCCTGTTGAATTTTCAAACAGCTGTTATTTGTTGAAAACTTTCACGGAACTTAAAGCATGTACAATTTAATTTATTATTGCTAGTCTAAAAGTGTTACCAAGGTAAAAACCACCGCAAATATGCTTTCTAAGTTGATTTTAAAATAAATAATGCGTACTGGTGATACTAAAATGTTACAGAGTTGCCACGACTTTTAAAAAAAGGTGACAACTCTGGCTTTTCAGCAATTCAACAAAATTTTCAGCAGCCTCGAGGCTGTTGAATTGCTGAAATTTCTGAAAGTTGACTTTGTATGGAACAGCTGATTAACAGCTGAACAAAATTCAACAATTCAGCAATTCAACAGTTTAGGGAATCCCCCTTGAAACTTTTCTTTAAATAGTTTGTTGAAATATATTTCGTAAAATAAGCATTTGGTATATACTATTTTTCCAGTATATCGCTTCTCGCGCCTTCTGGTCACCTTAATTGTGAGTAATATTTTTTTTCGGAAATATTAATTTTAGCTGTTGTCCAAATGTCGCACCAAACGGGAATCCGAGGTATACAATTGATAAGGAACCACGCAGATTAGATCCTAAGATTCCCCTTCCTTTTTTCAGCCAACGAGCAGCTGGCCAAGGTGTTTGGCAAGGCGAAGAATGGTAAATTTCGCGTGATAAAAGTTTCGATCGAGAATGGTGAGTGGATTTGCTCCAGTATTCGTATATATACTTGATAACGACGCTTCCGGTCTAACCCCGCCTGCATTTACAGAGCAGCTCAGCTGCGGCGCCACGGCGGAGTCGAAAAAGGACTGGGAGCGCGACTACGACAAGCTGATCGGGCCGCTGCTCGAGAAGGATGTGCCCTGCTACATCCTCTACCGCCTGGACACCAAGATACCGCTGGGCTACAGCTGGCTGCTCATCAGCTGGACCCCGGACACGGCCAGCATCCGGCAGAAGATGGTCTACGCCTCCACGAAGGCCACGCTGAAGACGGAGTTCGGCTCGGCCTACATCACCGAAGAGCTGCATGCCACCACTTCGGATGAGGCCACGCTGGAGGGCTACCGGCGGCACAAGCAGGACTTTGCTGCCCCCGCTCCGCTGACCAGCAGGGAGGAGGAGCTGAAGGAGCTGCGCAAAACCGAGGTGCACACCGAGATAAACACGAATACGCGGCACCAGACGCTCGGCGGGATCAACTGCCCTCTGAGTGAGCCGACTGTGGCTGCCGTTCAGGATCTGGTGCGCGGCAAACACGACTACCTGCAGTTTCGCATCGATCTGGAGGAGGAGAAAATCCACGTCTCGCATGCGGCCAAAGTGGAACTCGCGGATCTGCCGAAGCAGGTGCCCGAGGATCATGCCCGCTACCACTTGTTCCTCTTCCGGCACACGCACGAGGGCGACTACTTCGAGTCGTACGTGTTCGTCTACTCCATGCCGGGATATTCCTGCTCCGTGCGCGAGCGCATGATGTACTCCAGCTGCAAGGCTCCCTTCCTCGAGGAGCTGGCGGCCCTCGGCGTTGAGGTTGTGAAGAAGGTGGGTTGATATGACTACAAACAGCAAGATTAGGGCTATAAAAATCTAAAATAATGATTTTATTGATCATTTCCCATTAATAAGTCGTATATTTATAGATTTATGGCTCTGAAATCATGAAATACGCATTACTTTAAAGCTATTTTTGATTCTTACTAACTTTTTTGTATCCCATAGCTCGAAATCGACAGCGGCAGCGAGCTGACCGAAGCCTTCCTCCAAGACGAGCTGCACCCTAAGAAGATCCTACACCGACCGGCTTTTGCCAAGCCCAAGGGGCCACCTAACCGCGGCGCCAAGCGCCTCACGCGTCCCACCGCCGAGGACTAAGTCTGAATCCCCCGATCCCCCATCGAGTCAATTCTAACTAAACCCACTCAACCTACTGTTCCTCGCAGAGCATTTAATTTATTGTATCCAAAACGAGTTTCGTGTTCATTTCTTCTGTTTCTGTTCTTGTGTCTATCTGTCGTCCTGTTTCGATATCTTTAGAGGCACTAGGCATCAACTGAAACATCGCATAGCAGCCGCCAATGTGGGCTTCCTTAAATGTATTCTTGTCTATGTTACTTTAGATGGACATATTGCAATTTATTTAAATTAAAAAAACTCAACTAAGTTTACACTGGCGTCTAATTTAAGAGCTACAGACTCACTTGACCGAGTCCAGGGACACCTGTTCGGTTACCTTCTCGTCGTGCGCCTTGAAGAGCTCTGGGTTCTCGTCTTCTGTGAGCTTTTTGAACGCCAGCTGTATGTTTTCATCGCGATCGAGTCGCCATTTGTACTGCCAGTAGCGCACCTCCTCCATCGAGGTGCCGGATGCCTTCATCAGCAGCAGGGAGGTTACTCCAGCCACTCCGCCCAAGAAGCCTCCAATGATTCCACCCGCCGCCATGCCGCGCAGTCCCAGATTCACTTTGTAAAGCGAGCCGGTGATGGAACCGGCGGCCAAGTACTCGTAGATCGAGGATTTTCCACGGTACACCGACATGCAGGTGATGATGCCGCTGGAAAATATGATAAATTAGAAATATTAGAGATGATTTTGATAAGTAAAATTAAAAGGGTTCCAGGAAATGGTTCTACACTCATCAAAAGGAATTGATTTTTCAGATATTTTTTAGAAAACTAATGAAGATATTTCTGAGATTTTAGAGAATAACTATCCTCGTAGATCGAGGACTTTTCACGGTACACCGACGTGCAGGTGATTATACCGCTGGGCAATATGATAATAAATACGTATAATAGATGGTTTTAATAAGTAAAATTACAAGGGTTCCAGGAAATGGTTCTACACTCATCAAATTCAATTGATTTTTTAGATCTTTTTCAGAAAACTAATGAAGATATTTCTGAGATTTTATAAAAAACCTATCCTCGTAGATCGAGGATTTTCCACGGTACACCGACATGAAAGTGATGATGCCGCTGGTAAATATGATACTATAAAGATGGTTTTGATATGTAAAAACAGAAGCATTCCAGGAAATGAGTTTAGATTTTTCAAATACAAATGATTTTGTATAATTTTTCAGAGAACTGATGGGAAGATCTCTCTGATTTTATGGAGTAACCATTTCTAGCCCTAAAAAGAACCAACTTACAAGTAAGAGGTGGTAAAGAGCCCCACTCGCCAGCCCCATTTGAAGCCGCCCTTGGCAAAGTTGACTGTAAACTGATCCTGCAGCTTTTTCTGTGATAAGAAACAAAGAATTAGTTAAGAATTTACTATGATTATAAGGATTAGCCACCCACCTTAGCATCGAAGTGCGATTTGAAGGCTGTGGCCTGGTTGTTCTCCATGAAATTCATGTAGCCCACGCGCGATTGTGTAATCCCGCCGTAAATGGCTCCAATGAGGAAGCCCAGGAAGCCGGCCTGGTAAATGGAGTTCAGTTCGGAGGATATGCTACCAAACTCGCTGGTTTAATACAAAAATCCATCATTAGTTTTTGTATAATTGTTAATATCACACATTTCTTACTCGATTGAAAACATTTGTTTGATGCGCTCCATGCCCGTTTCCTGTGGCGGTTTACTGGCCAGGAAAGCCTTGTAGGTCTTGTTTTCCTTATCCACAATGTCGTCTGCGCTGTTTTCAAGGACTGGCAGGATGCCAGCGATCAGAAACCGACGTCCTTTCCACAAAAAACTCATTTCAAAAGCGCGTTGAATAACAAAGTGAAATGAAAACAATAAGAACAGCTGTTGCCGGCCCTAGAGCTGGAAATAACATCGGCGATGTATCGATACATCGATGTTTTCCAAAACATCGAAACATCGATGTATGTAAACATCGATGACTTTCCAGCTCGCGTTGTCGGCAAACATTTGTTGTGAAATTTTCTGCGTTTTTACAAGTTAATTCACTGCAAAACCAGCTAATTGTTATTTATTTCGACGCATAAAGTGCTCTGGCACTTTAGGAACCCAACATCATGATGTACGACAACGAGGAAGGTGAGTGAAATGAATTTGCACATAGAAACCCAAGCACGTTGGCAAGCGGGAAAAACGAACATGGCGGCGGGAGCGCTGGGGCTCCGCATTATTTTTGCACGGATTTTAGTAACAAACAAACTCCTTGCAGAGCTGTACGAGGAGGAGAATGCCGAGGAGATCTCCCACGAGCTGTGGCAGGAGGCCTGCTGGATCGTGATCAACGCGTACTTCGACGAGAAGGGCCTGGTGCGTCAGCAGCTGGACAGCTTCGACGAGTTCATCCAGATGTCGGTGCAGCGCATCGTGGAGGATTCGCCGGCCATCGAGCTGCAGGCGGAGGCCCAGCACACATCCGGCGAGGTGGAGACGCCCCCGAGATTCTCCCTGAAGTTCGAGCAAATCTACCTGTCGAAGCCGACGCACTGGGAGAAGGACGGTTCGCCCAGTCCCATGATGCCGAACGAGGCCCGCCTGCGAAATCTCACCTACTCCGCTCCCCTCTACGTGGACATCACCAAGACCAAGAATGTGGAGGGCCTGGATCCCGTGGAGACGCAGCACCAGAAGACCTTCATCGGCAAGATCCCCATTATGCTGCGCTCCACCTACTGCCTGCTCTCCCAGCTCACGGATCGCGATCTCACGGAGCTCAACGAGTGTCCGCTGGATCCCGGCGGCTACTTCATCATCAACGGCTCGGAGAAGGTGCTCATCGCCCAGGAGAAGATGGCCACCAACACGGTGTATGTGTTCAGCATGAAGGACGGCAAATATGCGTTCAAGACTGAGATTCGTTCGTGTTTGGAGCACAGTTCGCGACCCACTTCCACGCTGTGGGTGAACATGATGGCCAGGGGATCGCAGAACATCAAAAAGTCGGCCATTGGCCAGAGGATCATCGCCATTCTGCCGTACATCAAACAGGAAATACCCATTATGATTGTATTTCGAGCCCTGGGCTTCGTGGCCGATCGCGATATCTTGGAGCACATCATCTACGACTTTGACGATCCCGAGATGATGGAGATGGTGAAGCCATCTCTGGACGAGGCCTTCGTGGTGCAGGAACAGAATGTGGCCCTGAACTTCATAGGCGCCCGAGGAGCTCGACCTGGAGTCACGAAAGACAAGCGTATCAAGTACGCCAAGGAAATCCTGCAGAAGGAAATGCTGCCCCATGTGGGAGTCTCCGATTTCTGCGAGACGAAGAAGGCCTACTTCCTGGGCTACATGGTGCACCGCCTGCTGCTGGCTTCGTTGGGCAGGCGGGAACTCGACGACCGCGATCACTACGGGAACAAGCGACTTGATCTCGCTGGGCCACTGTTGGCCTTCCTCTTCCGCGGGCTGTTCAAGAATCTGATGAAGGAGGTGCGCATGTACACGCAGAAGTTCATCGATCGCGGAAAGGACTTTAATCTTGAGCTGGCCATCAAGACGAACATTATTACGGATGGTCTGCGCTACTCGCTGGCCACAGGCAACTGGGGCGACCAGAAGAAGGCCCATCAGGCGAGGGCAGGCGTCTCGCAGGTGTTGAATCGCCTGACCTTCGCCTCCACTCTCTCCCATTTGCGGCGTGTCAACTCGCCGATTGGTAGGGATGGTAAGCTGGCCAAGCCGCGTCAGCTGCACAACACTCTGTGGGGCATGTTGTGTCCCGCCGAGACGCCCGAGGGAGCTGCTGTCGGCCTGGTGAAGAACCTCGCCCTCATGGCCTATATTTCTGTGGGATCACAGCCTTCGCCCATTCTGGAGTTCTTGGAGGAGTGGTCCATGGAGAATCTGGAGGAGATTGCACCCTCCGCCATTGCGGATGCCACAAAGATCTTTGTGAACGGCTGCTGGGTGGGCATCCATCGTGATCCCGAGCAGCTGATGGCCACGCTGCGCAAACTGCGTCGCCAGATGGACATCATTGTGTCGGAGGTGTCGATGATTCGAGACATTCGAGATCGTGAGATCCGAATTTATACAGATGCTGGTCGCATCTGTAGGCCCCTGCTCATCGTGGAGAACGGATCGCTGCTGCTGAAGAAGACCCATGTGGAGATGTTGAAGGAGCGCGACTACAACAACTACAGTTGGCAGGTTCTGGTGGCCTCCGGAGTGGTGGAGTATATCGATACGCTCGAGGAGGAAACGGTCATGATCGCCATGTCGCCGTACGATTTGAAGCAGGACAAGGACTATGCCTATTGTACCACATACACGCACTGCGAGATTCATCCCGCCATGATCCTGGGCGTGTGCGCCTCCATTATACCCTTTCCCGATCACAACCAGAGTCCGCGTAACACCTATCAAAGTGCTATGGGTGAGTAAAGGCATCCTTTTCATATTAAATTCATGTATAACTCACACTTCTTGTACTTGAATAGGTAAACAAGCCATGGGCGTTTATATCACCAACTTCCATGTGCGGATGGACACGCTGGCCCACGTGCTGTACTATCCGATGAAGCCACTTGTGACCACTCGCTCCATGGAGTACCTGCGTTTCCGAGAACTTCCCGCCGGCATCAACTCCATCGTGGCCATTCTCTGCTACACTGGCTACAACCAGGAGGATTCTGTCATCCTGAATGCCTCTGCTGTGGAGCGGGGATTCTTCCGGTCGGTGTTCTACCGGTCTTACAAGGATTCGGAGAACAAGCGGGTGGGCGATCAGGAGGAGAACTTCGAGAAGCCCCACCGCGGCACCTGCCAGGGAATGCGGAATGCTCACTACGACAAGCTGGACGACGATGGCATTATCGCCCCGGGAATTCGTGTATCCGGCGATGATGTGGTCATTGGCAAGACCATTACGCTGCCCGAAAACGATGACGAGCTGGACAGCAACACGAAGCGGTTTTCCAAGCGAGACGCCTCCACTTTCCTGCGAAACTCTGAGACCGGTATTGTGGATCAGGTGATGCTGACGCTCAACAGCGAGGGCTACAAGTTCTGCAAGATTCGAGTACGCTCCGTGCGTATCCCCCAGATCGGCGATAAGTTCGCCTCGCGTCACGGACAAAAGGGAACGTGTGGTATTCAGTATAGGCAGGAGGACATGGCCTTCACATGCGAGGGCTTGGCCCCGGATATCATCATTAATCCCCATGCCATTCCGTCTCGTATGACAATTGGTCACTTGATCGAGTGCCTGCAGGGCAAACTGGGTTCGAACAAGGGCGAGATCGGCGATGCCACGCCGTTCAACGACGCCGTCAACGTGCAGAAGATCTCCACGTTCCTGCAGGAGTACGGCTATCATCTGCGAGGCAACGAGGTCATGTACAATGGACACACTGGACGAAAGATTAATGCCCAGGTAAATAGATTTTTAAATTGAATTTGTCACAAATGAATTCTTTAATACAACGACACCGCGAATTCTTTAGGGCAAGAGGAACAAATATTGTGTAGTCTATTTTTTTGCTAACCAATTGAACCCATACATGAAGTCATCAACACAATGAGACCGCGAATTCGTAAGGGCAAGAGGAACCAATGGTTGACCAAGCTAACAACTTTGCACCAAAAGTTTGGAATTCGTAGCTATGTATGTACGTATGGTTGACAATGCAGGTTTCTCTAGTGCTAAAGAATTCGCGGTCTCATTGTGTTGATGAATTTGTGTATGGGTTCAATTGGTTAGCAAAAAAAAAATAAAAAACTACCTAAAGAATTCGCGGTGTCGTTGTATTAAAGAATTCATGTATGTAGGTAAATACAAATTGCCACCATAACAACATAGGAACAAATTCCAACCGAGTTTCAACAGATGAGAATTTGTGACGTTATTGGCAAGAGATATTTTTATTTTTAGACTTTTATTATAAAAGTCATAAAAAAAAACTTACGGGAGACTTTTATTTTTTTGGTCAGAAAATAACTGTTATTCTTTGACTTTTATTTTAAAATTCTGAAATAACAGTTACTTTATGACTTATAAATAAAAGGTGGTGAATAATGATTAATCGATGACTTTTAATTTAAAGTAAAACTTATAACTGTTACGGTCCCTGAATTTGTCACAAACAAAAACCAATCAATTCCTTTTTCTTTCAGGTTTTCCTGGGACCCACCTATTATCAGCGTCTCAAGCACATGGTGGACGACAAGATTCACTCTCGTGCTCGAGGTCCCGTCCAGATCCTGGTGCGTCAGCCCATGGAGGGTCGTGCCCGTGACGGTGGCTTGCGTTTCGGCGAGATGGAGCGTGATTGTCAGATCTCTCACGGTGCCGCCCAGTTCCTGCGTGAGCGTCTCTTCGAGGTCTCCGATCCGTACCGCGTGCACATCTGCAACTTCTGCGGCCTGATCGCCATCGCCAATCTGCGCAACAACACGTTCGAGTGCAAGGGCTGCAAGAACAAGACGCAGATCTCCCAGGTGCGACTCCCGTATGCAGCCAAGTTGCTCTTCCAGGAGCTGATGTCAATGAACATTGCGCCGCGCCTGATGGTCAACTAATCTTGCGGAATTCGCTGTCCAGACCACTTAATCGCCCTAAGCTAAATGTTAGCAGTTAATTATTAAATTACCATAATTGTGACAACTCAATTAGGTGCTTTCTGTGGCGTTTTCTATTATCCCCGAACTGGAACGAATGCGCGCCGTGCATTTTTAAAGAAGCAAACGTGCCACAAGCATTTTTGGGCGAAAGTCTGTGCGGGTTCAAGAGCCTGCCCAGCGGAATGTGATTTATTTGCTTATTTAAAATAACTTATTTGGCTCACAAACGTTTTTTCAGAGGGTATATGGACTTGGTCAAATTTATAAATATTTTTGCAATTTATAAATATAATTGATTGAACTGAAAACCGTTTAGTACACTTCAAAAAGGTTTACAAGTTTTGGTATTATATTAAATTTTATCATTTTTTTTTTAAATTTTTATTAATATGATTTACCCAGTTCTTAAACATTTTGAGATGTTTGAGGACCCACAATAATCTGCTTTCAACGTATTGACTCTTTTTATCATTTGCTCCAATTCCTCTTTGGTAATCCGCAAACAAAGTCCATTATCCCCATAAAATACCTTTGCCCTAAGCGTATCCTAAGTTCGGCTTTCAATGGAAAGCATTTCCATTTCCATTTATTTTCTGTTGTGCTTTTGTTGCTTTCTTTGATTTTGACGTAATGCTTTGGCCCGCGGTCTGTGACGCCCAGTGACAAAAGGGATTAGTTCTTTGTTGTCGGATGTGGGGATGGATGGTGGATTGGAAGGTGGTGGAGTGGAGCTGGAGCCGCAGCCGCCAATCGACTGACAGTTATTAATTGCCACTTGACGTGGCTCCGACGGAACGAGTCGTGTCGCTGCCAATGTTGATACCAATGTTGGGGCTGATGGCCAAGACCAAGACGATGCTGACACCCATCAGTCAGCGGGACTGAGCCCGGCTTATGAGTAATTGAAATTGCGTGTAAATCCGCGAACGCAAAGTGGCGCCGCGATAAGAGTTCGCAGCAACGAAACAAAAAACAAACGCTGCACTTCGGCACTCCTGAGGTATTTATTTATAGCGTCTTAAAAATAACTTATATTACTCCTTTTTATCGTTAACACCCGGTGTCTCAGCTCATTTGTCTGCGTTGCTGAAAACACTGATGGCGTAGAACTCGGGCACTCGGTAAACCTTCAGGCGTTCGTGGCTGAAACGTCCGTTGGTGAGGGCCTTCACATAGAATATGTCCTTCAGACCCAAGTTCTTTCTCTGCGAGGGTTTCGTCTCCTCCATCACAAGGCGCTGCTGCTTGGGCCGATAGCCACTGGACTTGTCCTCCAGCAGTTTTACAAAGATAATATCCTGCTCGTCATTTCGTCCTGCCAGCGTTCGCGCCTGGTAGAGATTCTCACGTGGTTTGGGATAAATCAGCACAGGTTGTATGGGCAACACTTGGCTGGGCGAGGTCGGATAGGCCTCCAGTTCATCTGGCTCCGGATCTCTGAAGTGGAGGGCAGGTGCTGCCCAGGATAAGCTGGGAAGGTAAGCTGCCAGCAGTAGCAGGACGATTGTGTGGTTTATCTAGAAAGGATAAAATAAAGGTTTCTTAACTTTCATTTAAAATAAGTCTAAACATTTTAACAAATATTTTTTTAAATTTTTTAGAATTATGTTATTTTAACTGGCTAAACTCTGCATAAAATGCAGTGCAATAAAGTATAAACCTATTTTATATTGGCTCTATTTGAATAATAAACACGTTCTCGGCAATTAGTTAAGATTTATGTGTTTGCTGGGCTTTTCCTTTCAAAGATTTATGGTTTTAATTTAGAGCATTTTAAACACAAAGCAATTAATAAATAAAATAAATCATGATTCTGACAGAAGAAGCATTCAATAATTAAAAAACAATATGTCTTTCAGATATTTATTTGCCTTTTCTGAAACATGTTGGCCAAAAAACTTGGACAATTTTATGACTAGGAAATTAAAATCGTTTATAAAATTTAAGAAATATAATATTGAGCCCTAAACCTACGTATTCTGAATTTTACCCTAGGACGATTATAGTTTTTTTTACGCCTCATTTATCACCATGATTTATTGATTAACAAGACTAATCAAAGATAAGATAAATGAGAAAATCATGAAGCTAAAAAATGATGTATAACAAAATCCTGTTCAACACATATTTTAACACATTTATTTTTCCCATCGACTGTAAGTGATTTATAACTTTGTCAGATTTGTTTTATCACGGCAATTTGCATATCTAATTGATCTACAAAACTCGGCAAATTAATTGAGTATTGTGACCAAACAGAATTGGTTCCAGTCAAAACACACTTTGATATTTGGCCATAAGCGGACAGAGTGACTTTATGTTTTGTACTTTTGACTTGGTTCTTGTCTTTGAATTACCGTTTTCATTGCGTTTCCTAAATCCCAGCTCAAGTTCGCTCGACTAAAATCGAATTTCTATGTACTGGTATATTTATTTCTGAACCTAAGCGGCTTTGGTTTGCTTTTCGGCACTATTGCCCTTTTTGGCCAATAAAAACGTAATATCACAGACGATAAAAGCGGCGATCGAGCGCGACGCGCGAATGTCAGAAGCAGACTGGCGTGCGACAAGGCCAAGTCAACTTCATTTACCGCCCGACGAAGCCACCGGCAGAAGCTGAGACTGCGGCTCAAATAAAAAAATAAAACTAAAAATACAAAAAAGAAGGCCCGAGCTGGATGAAGAAAAAGCAGCAGCAGCGCAGTTTCCAAGCTGTCAACAAATTGCAAACGGTGGGCAAACAAAGACAGATGGCTGGTTTAACACCCATTAACTGCTGTAGGAACATCTCTTAAATCAACATACATTAAACAATTATTTCTAAATAAATATTTAACATTTTTTAAGATTGGAAATAAATATATATATGAATAAATATTGTTAGAAAATATCTAAATTAAATAAACTATTAAATTAAGTTAATTTGTATTTCGCTAACAAATAAATAAATAATTTCCAAAAAAATATAAGATGTAAAAGAAATAGTTCTATATAAAATATCAGACTTTAGACTCTTGATTTTGATCTTTAAAAATCTTTCTTTAATAATATTAATAAATTGAATTAAAATGTTCAACAAAATAATTTAGATCAATCCCTTTGCACAATATCAATAGTCCCTGAAGTTCATTTCCTACACTTCAATTGTTAATGGGTTAATTCATAAAGATGGTCTAGGGGCGGAACATTCAGTGTTTGTGCTATTAATTGATCACTAGGTCGGAGTGTCGATAGGGTCAATGTTATCAACATGCGAGCGCAGATCAATCACCTGTGCTTCTGATGTTTGATGAGCTCAAAACTAATTTCCAGCTGCTTACATTTCGTTTTATCGGCTGGTAATTTTATGCTCTTGTCCGCAGTGATGTCAAATTTATTATTATAGCCCCTGCTGAATGGGAAGCGAGGTAAATAGAAAAAATCACACACTATAAACGGTAGAAATAAATTTAAACACGTAGAAATGCTTAATTAGCAAATAAATATTTGCGCTGCCTTGAGTTTAGTAAAGAGTTTCGCACACTTGCTGGATGGTTTTATGAGTGTGTTTATCCACTGCCTTTTGTCTGTTTGCAGTTGAGGTTAACAATAATAATAGAAATTTCTGGCTAAATACATTGGTTGTTGAGGCTGAGGGTTCTTCAGCTTGATTGCTGACAAATCAATCATACGCACCGTGGACCCACAGTTGAAAATCAATTACAGCGTGATGCAGAAATGTAGTTAGATAAATAAGCAGCGGTAATTGAGGCAACATAACGAGTCGAGGGCTAACACACAAGGCCAAAAGCGAAATTTAATCGCTTTAAATGTGAAATTATGGCTGGGTAAACTGAAAAGGTAACGGAAAGAAAACAAATAAACACCCAAGTGAAGCGCAAATAATTACAAGTTGTACACATTGTTTGGTAAATCAAAACAGTTGTCGTTCGATTTCGCTGGAACTCGATTGAGATTCGTGACTGATTAATTACAGCGCATCTCGAGCCCCCTTTTCCGCACTTTGCATATTCGATTTTGGGGCTTTCGTTTCGGCCTTGTTTTCGTTTTCGCTTTCGGTTCAGTTCAGTTCACTTCGATTCGATTTGATTCTTTTTGGCCAAGAAGAGCCTGATTTTAATGAGCTCATTCGCATGCTCACCTGGAATCGTGTGAAAGGTGAATACTTATGCTGGGCAGCTCTATCGGTTGTTTTTGTTTTTTTTTGCTACCGTTTGCGCAAACCTCTAAAAAAAGGGAAAGCTTTTCGATTTCAGAGGTGTCGGCTTCGATGTCTGTGGCGCCAGCATTAGCCGCAAATTGTGGTTTATGCGTCTGGCCAAAAGCCATAAGCGCTGGGGGAGTTACAGGTATCATATGGTGGGCTTCCCAGCTTCCACACAAAGGTTAATCTGTAACTACAAACAATGGGAGCAATTTTATTTGGCAGACTGCATGCAAATGGGAATAAAGCGAGTGCAAAGTTTATTCTCCAACGCATTTAGTTTTATTAAAATGTGGTAAAAAGTTGATTGAATAAATCGAGTTCAATGTGGCTGATTCCGGCCAGTTTTTGCTGGTATTTTTAATACGATTCTGTTCTATGATTGTTTATTGTGACACTAGTTTATTTTTGTTTTTTTTTTTATTATTCTCGTTTAATTGCGTATTTTCGTTACATATTATATAATTCAAAATTGCGAAGAGGGAAGTGGGAAGGCTTATGGAATTATTTAATATTTTTGCTATATTTCGCATCTCCCCACTTTTGTTATTTTTCGCCAATTTATTATGCAAGGTATTGTTGTTAGCGGTGGCATTTTATATGGCTATTATATCACGCGGCTGATGAAAATAAAATGTAGGCAATAAACTAGAGTAAAGTTGAATGGCTTTAAAGGTTTAAAGGTTGTTTATAACAGCCTTTCAACTTATAGTTTAAAGCTTATTCAACTAACGCAGCTTTTTTCGTTAATAATTCTTTTACAACTTTATTATGCGGTTCGTCCTTATTAAAACTCAATAAACTCTGCGCTGAATATTAATCGCTTCAATGCTATTCATTGCCATTAAACCCATTGAACGTTAAATATTCAGTGGGAAATAAATAATCCATACGTTCTTTTTCACGTAACGTCTGTTTTTTCCTTTTGAATAATTTTGATTTGCGTTAAAGAGCACCGACGTAATCCCAATGGCCAGATTTAAGCGGATATTTCACATTCAACACCTTTTGCTGTAGGATTGTTCGCTTTTTCGCACAATTTCCCATTTCATTTGGGCCTCATTAGCATTGTTAATTGATAACAGTTGGAGGAGGGTTGGCAGGGGGAAACACAGCCGAGTTTATAACGAAATAATCATAATTCGGTCGAGAAACAAGAATGTCTGCGAGCGTGTTGGTAATACTTGTTATTCATGTAAATGAGCAAGTTTTGTCTTTGGCTTTGTGCAAATACGAAAAGCCAAAAGGTGCTTTGCTATGAAATACGATGACAGGACAAACGGCGTTTGCTGCGCGTTTTTAATTACCATAATTACATAACTGCACTCACATCAGCAAGCCCCTCACGCGCACGCACTACGCACACTACGGATGTTGGGGCCCACGCCTGGAAGTATGCAGCACATTCACCTAGGACATAAAGGAGTAGGAGGGCTGAGAATTATAGAGATACGTAGTACTGACGAGGGGTTTTAATAGGAAAATATATTACCTCTATTTAAAGTAAGTATTTAAAAGCCATGACCTAATAACGCTTTAGTATTTTATATGTTTTTAGAGTTTCTTTTAATATTTTCAAATAATCCTAATAAACCGCGAATTCTTTAGGTTAAAATATATCTCATTTTAGAGAAACTTAGATCAAATTTATATAAAATATTTTAAATACTTTCAATAAGTTAATTTATTATTAAATAATTAATTTAAATGAACATTGATATTTTATGTTCCAACATTTTTTGTATAAGTGCGCAAAAAAATAAAAGCTATCCCTTGCTATCCGAACAGACAACACTGAAACGGCTTGTAATGGCGGATGGCATGGGGCCTGTCCCTTTATTGTTGTTATCGCATAAACTTAAATAGTTTCTGCCAGCCACTTTGCGGCTTTTAAGTTATTTTGCGTGCACCACTTGAGCGGAGCACTTGTATTCGGGGCCCCGCCCGCCTTCCGAACAAGGGTTGCGAGAGGTCCTCGTGGGCCGCATTCTGTGTGCCGGGGCCAAGGACCTTGTTGGGTTTTGGGATGGGGTAAAATTACAGAGACAGTGGGAGTCGGGCTTATGTCAGTGTTTGAATGTTTAACTGGCTCCGTTAATTAAATTGCCAGTCTCTGGCATAATTCCCCCTGCCCGTGGATATTTTTCCACCTGTTCCACCGCTGGCCGCAAATTAAGTCAAAGTTTTCCATTCCCATTTACGGGGTTTTCCCACCTCCCTTGCTCCTCTGCCGTCTCCTGTCTGTTGCATAATTTGCACCCCAAGCTTCTTTTGGCCGGGACTTCCCCTTTGGCGGTCGCGTGGCGGCACAAAAAAACTTGGCTAAATGGTTTGCCATTAATTTTTCGTGGCATGTCGGTTATTAACCCGCCTGCCTGCTGCCTTCTGCCTGCTACCAGGTACTCCGTTCTCTATTCTTCTGCCCATGTTGCACTCATATTTTTGCAGCGAGGGCGTGGAAGCCCTGTGGGCGTGGCTGACACAGTTTGCGAATCAAAGCTGAAAATCACAACTGAATTTGGGCGGACTGTAACTAATTGAAAAATTACCATGCCCTCGGCTCCGCGAAAATTTGCGTGAAGTTGGTAGAGAACTCTTGTTGATTAGAAAAGTTCCAAGGATAAGAATTTAGTAGGTGGTATATTTTATATAAATTTATTATTATATATTTTTTTTTAATATTATTATATATAATTTTTGCCTTAGACACTAACAATAAAACTATTGACGCAGACCATAAAGATGTTTTTGTGCTCAAATGAATACCCAAGCTATTTAAATATTAACACAAACATTAAGAGCAAAGCTGGGACTTTCTCTCTCTGATATAAAGCAATGTGTGGCATTAAAAATGGCCATTTTCAGCTCACTTCCTAGTAATTTTCCCCGGCAGTTTGGTAATTTGTTCCACTTAATTCTATTGTTGTTGACTCAGGTCGGGTCCAGGTTTTGTATACGTGACTGCTCCTGAAAATGGCTTATTTGAGAATTTCAATTGAATTTCGGTCACATCTTTCAGAGTCCGACAATCGAAATGCATTTTGGCTTTCATAAATAAATAGGTTTGTTAAATTGTCCATGCTCCACAGGCTCCAGAGCCAGAGAGTCCGGATTCCGAGTTCGAGTCCGGTGCTGTGTGCATGACTGCCCCGAAAATCCCACTCCCTTCGGAGATTCTCCTTCTCTGTTTGTCACTGGATTTGAATATACGCTTTCGATGCTCATCACGTGGATGTCCAAATGTTGCCTCTGGATTTCGGGTTTCGGTTTTCGGGTTTCGAGTTTCCAGCCTCTAGTCCCCCATGGATCAAAGGCGCTTTTAAGCAGCTTACCGCCAAATGGAAAGCGATTGAAATTTTCATGAATTTCAGTCCATTGGCGTAATGAAAAGTATTGTACAACGAATGCGATTGGCTTCCCTTCACAGAGGAACTTTTGCGCCAACAATTAGCCGAATTGGTGAGCAGTTTGTCGACATTAATTGATTTTCGCCGTCAGTTTGATTTTCAATTTTCCGTGACGCCCCCTAAGCCCAAGTTAAATGTGGCCAAAAACCAGCAACAGCAGCCAAACAACGGCCAACATGGCGAAAAAATAGAAGCAAAATCTCTCAACTTTGATTGCAAATTTCTTTTTCCTCCACCGAAACATTTTTCAGCTCTTTCCCCCCACAAAATCCACAAACAGCTGGAGCCTCGAATTCGGACTTTTTTCTAATTTTCCGTTGCAGTTTTCCTTGCTTATCTTTTTTTTTCAGCATAGTTCTTCATTTTTTCTTGGCATTCCTGCTTTTCTATGTTCAGAGGGGGATTCAGTTGGATTTCAGGATAGATTTGTGAGTTTTCAATCAAAATATTTATATTAAAAGCTACCTTTGCTTGAAAATATTAAGTTTATATAAAATAAAATAGAAGATTTTTCATTTAATTAATTAAATATGGTAAATGGTAATTTTTAGCGTTAGTCCTTTTAAATATTTGTATAGTTTTAATTAAAAATAGTTGTTTAATCAGAGTGAATTTATATTAAATACTAAAATGGCTAGTTTAAAGAGCTCTCTATTTTGTTAGTTGGTTTAAAAATGGGGGCAATATTAAGTGCTCTTTTAAAACCTAATCCGCCCCTGACCTTCGGAATCACATACATTTTGCATTCCCCTATATTTTCCTATTTTTCCCGATTTAGTGGGTGCCTTTTTTTCTAAGCCGGAACTGGCAAAAGTGTTGCTTGCAAATGTTTACAGTTTAGTTGTGCGGATGTGATAAAAACAATTTGATTGCAAAATAAACTGCACACAGCGTCAAACTGAGAAGAAGTCCAAATTGCAAAAAAAGAAATAGGGAAAAAAAGAAATGTGATTGGCGAATGGAAAATGGCATTGGCATTTTTGGCAGGGCCCAGGACACAGGCAAAATGCTTGAGGAAGAGTGCAGAGCACCGAACCGGAATGCGAATGGGAAATGTTTGATTGAGTCCCCGTTTGAATTGATTTCGGACATCAGCAGCCGGCTGTAAAAGGAAATTCCCCCGAATTTCAAAGAGGAGAAATCTGAAAACTGAATTCTGGCTCACGTCAGGGTTATTTCACTTTTCAAAGTTGTGCTCCTAATTCGGTTAAGCATTTTATCGATGCACACACTACGGATGAGTGATGCCCGAGTGCTTCGTATTATATTTGCTTACCATCGAATGGCCTAATTGGCTGGTAGATAGTTTGCATGTCTCTAATTGCAAGTGATAGGGTTCCCAATAAAATGTTTCCCTAACTTTGAAATCCAATTATCCCATTCAACTTTAATTGAAATTAAATAAACTAGTATAAAGGGCATGTCTATTGCTAATTATTTTCATGTTGATCTGTTTCAATTTGAAACATGGCTAGTTTCCCTGTCACTTTGTCCGGTTGTCTGTTTTGTCCGTTTTGTCCGTTTGTCCTTCTGACCTGACCGCCTGTCAGTCAGTGGGAAGTTATGTGATTAATGGCAACTAAAAGGGGGGTGGCCTTTCTATGGGCGTCTAATTACATTCCGACCTTCTGACAAACGGGAACAAAAAACTCATTAACGCACTTGCAACATGTCCTAAATATAATACTCATAATAGTTCCTCCATTTCCCCTCTTTCCTTTGACTAAGCATATGCGCAAAAGTTTCCGAAACCTGTAAAAAATAAGGAAGAACACTCCTTTCTCGGCTTTTTCGGTACCCTGCTTAAGTTCTACCATCAAAATATCATCGGTTTTATACTGCAATAGTTCCATATATATTTTAAACAATGTATTTTCGTTGGCAACATTAAATATACCTGTTAGTATCTAAAGGAACTATTTTTTATAGGACCCTGTTTCGTACTTTTTCACGATACCATATACCCCAGAAGTTTACGAGGTATTAAAACTGAAACAGAAGTGGAAATAAAAACCATGTGTATGTCGCTCATGAGCGTTAACTTTTCGGCGAGTGTTGCCTTTATGCAAGTTGCCAGTGAATGGGAGGTCGGAAAATCCTCATGACTCCACGTTTTCGCATTACACATGAGCGGGTGTATTTGTGAGAGCCACATGTTTTACATGAATCACAGTTAGTTCGGGGATGCTTTTCCACTTTTCATGCCGGCGAGCGGGAAATGTGTACATAAACCACAGACGTGACAACAAAGCTGCGGGCGCCCTTCTGCGAGTGTCCTGTGGAAAGTGACAAAAGCATTGACAGGAAACAAAACTGTCCACACGGCCAAACACAAACATAAGCAGGAGGACAAATAACGCTGGATCACAGAAACAAATGCAAAGCCAAGCGAATAAAACTCAGCCAAGGAAAACTTTTTTGTGGCCAAGGATCATGGTCACGGTCGCCCGAACAGATGAGATAAGATAAGGACCCTTCGATTCGGTTTCGGTTTCGGATCCGTATGTGGATGTAAAAGTGGATGTGGATGTCGATGCCAACTTTTATTGATGGTCGACCGCAAAGTTTAGGGGTCATTTCTCTTCAAGCAGACCATGACCTTTATAGAGTTGCCATTTTATTGAACTAGTTGCTCAAGTCATTCAGTTGGCATCAGAAAATTTTACTTTTTATAACAGCTTATTAAAGTATTCGAGTGTTTTTATGTCTTTTAATTTAAAAATCCTATCAGAGAATATAATAAAATATTAAGTAAAATATTTTAACATAATTTTATTTTCGGAAAATGTCTGGCTTCATTTTTGTTTCTTAACAACTTTTTCAAATATTCATAACAAGTTAAAAAAACTGTCCATATTAACAACTTTTTCAAATATTCATAAAAAGTTAAAAAAACTGTCCATATTAACAACTTTTTCAAATATTCATAACAAGTTTAAAAAACTGTCCATATTTTTTGGTATTACTAAATTAGTATGTGTAAATTAGTAACGACAGCGAAATTGAAATTTCCATATAATTTTTGTTAGTTTAAAAAGCTAACTAGTATTTTTAATTGACCAACCTTAATTCTATATCAGTTTATCTGTCAGTTCGATGTGATTGCACCTTTCTGTTCTAGTCTTTAACAATACCAAATGAATCAGTTTGAACGCAGGAACCACACAGCACTAGTGGTATCCCTATCAAGGATCCGAATCTGGAATGGTGTTTCTGCAGGTCCTGTGTGCTTGGCCAACTGTCAAGCGAATGTCAATTGTTAATTAAATGTATACCCCTGGCAGCTGCTGCCGCCGAGTTCACTTGATTTGTTAGACCAACCCGTAGCTACCTAGTGGGATATATATATCGTCTGGCTTTTGGGACCGGACCTCCGAGCCTGTCACACAAACTGAATTGTGCCCACACTTTGTGCAGATACATTTATTGCAAAAGTTTGCCACGACAGCATCTAATTTGTGTAAGCTTTATGTTAATGTTGTTGCGGCCTTGACAGTTTTATTGCTCGAACTAATAACTTAATTGACAATTTGGACACCTCGGCGGGGAGGTGGGGATGTGGGCTTTGCACCTGTTGTGCCGTAATGTTCGTAATTTATGAACTGAAACATAAATAATCGGCTCAATTGATGCTGCACAATTTGATTTATTAATTTTCGACATGCGGGTCAGTGGAGTGAATAATCCGATAAATGCCGGAAATTATGCCGTCTATTTGGGATTTGTGTGGACCTTCCCCTTTCAATCGGATCCTCCCAGAACTTGCAAAATGTCCATGAATACGTTGATCACATCCATGTAGAGATTGAGTGAAGCGAATATGTATTCCTCGGGACTGATGGCGTACCTATGCTTGCCGCCCATCATCAGTTGTGTGTCGTAAACTAGGTAAACCGAAAAGAGGAGAGCACTCAGGGAGGAGTAAATGGTGGTGACCAGACCTTGGCCCACGAAGATGGTTATGATCCCGAAGAGCAGCAGGATTATGAGGCAGCTCATCAGGATGCCACCCATCATGGTGAAGTCGTAACGCGTCTGCAGGGCAAACAGGGTCAGTCCCAGGCAAACGGCCGTCGTTATAAGAACAGCCAGGAAAATCTCCTTCGGAGCATATCGGCAGGATGCCACGGCCAGCAAAAGCGATTCGGCTAAGGTAAAGACCGCCAGGATGATATAGTTCCCAGGCGTCTTTCGGCGGAGGTCTTCATTGCAGGTGAGAATAACCAAAGCACCAATCCCGATAAACAGGGCACCCAGAAAAAACCAGACGTTGTTAGCCATCTCCAGTCGAACCGCCTCGTTGTAATTGAGAACCGCAATCACCACCAGTGAGGTTATTAGTTGGGCCAGTAGAATGAGGTACACCTTCCGGATGAATCCCCGCCGGATGCTGGCGTTGCAGAATGCCACGCCCTTGTCCCGATCCTCGGGATCATCGATTTCCGATCCGTATGCTGGATATCTTCCGAGGGGAATACACTCCGCCTGGTGGCTCCGATTTCCATACTGCTGTATTGGTTCTCCGACAATTTGCATTATGTCTTTAAAATATTACTTTTCAACCAACTGAAACTGTTTGTTCCTCAATTTGAATTTGGCAGAAGGGTCAACGATGGAAGGAATCTCTTATAGCTGGATATAATTTAAAACGGTTAAAGAAATCCCATATAAATAAAACATTAATAAAAATAATAAATAAACTAAAGAAATAATAATGATTTTTTTACGAAAAATTTGTGTTCTTATCAATAATCCAGATCCCCGATCCCAGTACCCAGATTTTCACAGAAAAAACTGTATATTTTGGCAGAAATAAAAGATTTAATAGTCCAAATACAAAATCGTTCTAAGCCTTAAGAATTTTTGGTTTGGGACTATTTTTGGACCAGTTACAGCAAAAACAGTATAAAATTCCTATTTTATCCAAAACCCGTCTCCTCATTTTCCACCCTTTTTTGTGCTTTATTAGTATCATAAACTTTATAAACTTTTGAAGCAATTTCAAGCAACTATTACCGCTGACTGAGGACTTTAAACCACTTTCTGCTGGGTGGGTCAATAGTTTATGGCTTGATCTTGCCTGTGGTTGGATTAGCCAGCAACAACTACAACAGGTGGTGTGGCCCTTCCGCCCACAAGTCGTGGGGTTCCACACCCTGCAGCCCCACCATCTATCCCTCTCTTGATTCTGCGCTTTGGATGCGATGAGAATTCAGCAAATGTTGAGAGCTTTTCGTGGGTTTTTCAGATTGGATGAAAGCGAAATGCTGTGCTCAGTACATTCGGCTCCTTTGTGGGCTGGAGTGGCCGAAATAAAACCGAGTGGGGACTGCACTTGGCATTTTCTGATTACCTGGCCCCGCCAATTTGACGTAGTTCTCTGTGGCAACTAAAGCCGGGCTTTACCTATCCAACCCGAATCGAAATGGTGAACATAAAAAGCCTTTTATGCGGACGCTTTCGGAGAATATTTAAGGAGGAAAAATTAGGCAAATCCTTGACAGAAATTAACTTGACATTTTGGTCGAGAAAGTGGGGCTAGATGGTGAGTCCAGCTGCTCATTCATATGTGGGCTCTGCCAATTGGGCCTAAATTTGAGCCACTTTTGTGGCACACATCAATCAAAGTGCCATTTAGTCCTGGCCATGCCAGCAGACCCCGTAGGCCAGGATATAGCACTTAGATTTTGCCGTGGGCACGACACGTGTTGCGTTTTAAAGTTAAGCACCGCCCTTCTCCTCCTTTTTAAAGCCCTAAGCTTTTGTCGAACAACTATCAACAAGTTTGCTTTTTTGTCTGCTTTATTTTTGTTTCTTTTTTTTCGAGGTGGTTGGGGTAGTTAAGCTCTAAAGCTGAAGTGCGTCACGTGTCGCCAGATTTTCCCTTCCCTTGGCTAATGAAAACAGGCTTGGCCAAAAACAGAAACCAGGATGGGGCAGAACAAAAGGGAAAATGGGCGGCAGCCACTTTCAAGACTGGGCGTGGCTGGCAGACATCTATCAACACTTTTCAAACTTTAAATGAGTTTTCCAGCGACATAAACTTTGCCTGGTTGGGCCCAAAAAACCACACGGCAAAAAATAGAAAAAACAAACTAAAGAAGGAGATGTACAGAGAAAAATTCGAAGAGCTTAGACATACAAATACTTTTTAAACATATCGATAGCTGTTTTTTCTTCTGTGTATATTATCCTTAGAAATCATTAATTTAATAATCATAACTCTACAAGTAATAAAATGGAAAGATTAAATGACAAATTTAATGGAAATTCTAGTTTGGTATTTTAAACTTTTATTTGTACATTTGTAAAGTTTTTTAGTTTATTTTTTTTTTTAATTTTAATAACGAAAAGATAAGTGATAGATATGGTTTTTCTAAGCGTGGGAAACACTAGGGAAACACGCACCGTAGCTGAGCCACAAAATCGATGACAAAGGACCAAGAGCCAAATGCTGGTCAAAAGTACTGAAATGGCTGGAAAAAATGAAATGGACCACGAGCCAGTGATTGTGGCTCAACGAATGCTAAACAAGCCATGAAAAACCAACAACGAACTGCGAAAAAGCACTGACCAGCAACAAAATATTGTGCTATATATGCGGTATTTACTTATTTAGAGGACGGACATTGCAGCTTAATCTATGCAAATCCACAAGAAATCTCATTTTGCGGATTTAAAGTTGATAAAAGTGTGCTGCAGCCAGTCCGCTTGATGGCGATGTTGGGACCAACGACAAAAAACCGTCAACAAAAACAGGACAAGAAATGGTACTAGTGTGTGTGTGTGTCGACACACAGATTCACACCAACACACCCACGCTTATTTTATAGAGTATAATACTCAACGCTTCGTGTAAATTTTCGTCCACGGAGAACTCAATTCTTCTCGACAGAGCCCCATTTCCTTTATTTTATGCATTATTATGGAATATTTTATTTTTATTCCACTTTTATTTCTGCTTGTTTGTCATTGTTGAGTTTTTTTTGCCCTGCTGTGGGGTCCCCCTGCCACCCACTCGACCGCCCAACCACCTCAACCCTTCGACGGGGTCATTAAAATTTACAATTCGCCAAGGGCAAGAAACTTCAGTGCACCAGAATTCGTTGGCCTTATTTCAGATGCAGTCAGCTGGCTTTCTTCTTCGGGGCTACAATTAATTTTAATTTTTGGAAAACATTCGCGGTTGCCGTCAGGTTCGTTAACTGAAGAAAGTTCCTCAAAAGTTGCTTTTAAAAGTCTTGGTGCACGTCATTATGATTTATTCTATTTTAGATTCCACAAAAATGTTCCTTATCCTAGAGTAAATATTAGAAAGTGCACTTCCTGAAGTGTTTTTGCATTTATGGAAATTATTTCTTGTATTTACATTCAGAGAATGAAAACCACTTTTCTTTATGAGAAGGATTTTGGTCTTGTGCGACTCTAAATATTTAAAAAAAATATGTTGCATTTAAATTTATGTTAATTTACATTTCAAGTGTATGGAAAAGCAATTGCATTTATTACACTTTAAAGGGACTGAGTAATATTTTTATGATGCTGCTAGCTTAAATTCCACAGAGCTTGGAGTTGCACTTGCCAATTCCATTTCGAAGTCACTGAATCCTTTGTACATTTTAAGCAGCCCGACACCTTTCAGCCAAGTTGATACACAATATTTTTGTGCGGATGCCGCCCATTTGCATATTGCATTCTCATGGCTGCGCAGCTCGGGACTTGTGTCATGCAAATTGGCAGCTTAATGCCCTCTTCGGTTCAATGACTTCATGCCGAATCGACTGCGAGTGTGGATGTGTGGCAAAAGTGTTTAATATGCTTCGCATTCGGCTAGCCGGAGGCTGCTTGCAGTTCACAATTTTCAGCTAGACTGCTCCAACGGGAGTGCAAATATTTTTCAAGCTAGCAAAAATATTTGCCAATAAACACACGCACACAGAATGGGAGAAAGCGAAGGAGAAAGAGGTGAGAGTGGCAAAGTTTAACCGCAAAATGTCCATAAAGTTCATGGCCATTGGCTCATCATCGAGGGCACTTAGACACAAGGATCGGGGATCCAAAGACGAGGGACAATCAGTCAGTGACAGGACGAACAGCTGCTCCTTGTCTGCCGAGATGTCCTGATGCAGTTTTGGCCAAGTTTGCTGCTTTCTTAGCCAGAGGAATTTGGGGAATTTGTGCATGTTCGAGCCAAACTGTCGTTTAATTGAATTTTAACTTTGCCTGTTTGCCTCTCATTGGCCAGCACTTATTTGTTTGGCTATTTTCTATTTTTCGGAGGGTTCGGGGCGTTCGTTTAATTGAAATTCATTTTACAGCTGCCTCGACTCGATATCGCCTATATTTTTAATTGCTCTGTGGCCCAACGATTCCGATATGGTTACAACTTTAAATGCCCACAAAATCCAGACAAATGGCGTGTTTTTGTTTTAGGGCTTTTGTAGTTTGCTTTCATTTTACTATTCATTTAATCCTTTATTGCTACAAACTGATGACAAATGCTTATCCCCCAGGGGCCGTAAAAAGAAAACGGAAATAGATGGGAAAATTGTAAATCAATCAACAACACATTGAACACTTCACTTCACACTGATGCGGGAATTATTTTTTGTTATGCCGGAAAAAACTTTATGGGATTATTTAGTTTTTAATTTTAAATAAATTGCTTTTGGCTTTTGCAAAGGTATTATGTTGTAGGCAGAGCCAGAAAGTAATTCGATTGCTAAGGGCTTAGCTTAATGTTTCAAACTTTATAAGCTATCCTAAATAATTGAGCTTTAAACGAGAAAAGAAAAATAAAATAGAAAAATGCAAATATAAAACGGAAAGTTTAGTGTACCTATAATTTAGTTTGCTGTGATTATTTTTCAAGTGAATATTTCAATTTCAATTTCTATTTTATTTGTTTATATCCTAACGCTACAAGTAAAAACTTATATTTATTGCGCTAGTCACAGAAAACAGTTAAAGAAAAAAGTTTTTCAAACTGTGTGTATATTTACCTGCCCACACTGGCAGTTCCCCAGAGATTCTATCCAACTTGCGGAAAATGCCGGAAATACCATCGCAAAGCAGTTGCTTTTGGGATTTATTTTATTTGGGTTTTTGAGTTTCGCAAAAATAAGCGAAATTGCCGCGCACTTGTTCGCATGCATGCATGAATAAATATTTTATTGCATACGAGCACTTGGGGTCGTTGGTTCTTCTTCTCCGTGCTTTTTGGATTGTGTCAGGGAAAGCTCATAACAAGAAAGTTTTGTTTTTAGGATTATTATAGTTGGGTCTGCTGTTGAGTCCCGTATCAGGAAGCACAAGTTGTTGACAAACAGGATTTTAGTGCAATAAACTAAAGTACTCGTGGATATGAACCGAAATACGGACTGGTTAAAATCCCATAATAATCCACCACGATGACCCATATCGTTGAGCAAACTATATTTGTTTCACGCTGTGAAATTACCTCAAGTTCGAATAAAAATTCTGCAGTGGAGCTCGTGAATTTTTGGCCTTTGTGCTGCCAAGTTTTGTGGCAAACTAAACCACACAAAAATGGCAACTGCGGGGGTGTTGGCCAAAATGCCCCAGAACTTTTGAAGTTGATGCCCTTTTTCTGGCTGACATTTCCTTTTAGCCTTTAATGGAATCGTAAAGCTTCTGGTAACAAAATGTTTGTTTCACTTTTTTCTCTGTTATTTTGGCAAAGGGCAGGGACTGACTGCAAGTACGCCCACTGCACGGTTTTTTCTTCATGCACGATACACTGCGAGAAATTAGTGTTGAACAAGAATATAATGTTAGTAACGAATATTGAAAGTAAGATAAATATTACATATATTTAAAAAAGCTTAAAACATAAATTAAAATAAATGAAAACAACTTATATTAAATTATTGCATATAAAATTGATAGAACAAACTATTTTTTAGTCTGAAACATCTTAATAATAAATTTTTTCTCAATGCTCGAAATGTTTAAAGTTCAAAATAAAATATTAAATAAATCTGGTGAAATCAGATCGATATAAAATTCTAGAAATTTAATCCTGAAATGGAATTTAATTCCATTCCTGTGAGTGCAGTCGCCTGAACACCCACACATTGGCATTGGAAACGCACGCGGTACTCCGATTACAACGCCAAGTCGCCTTGGCTGTTTGTTGCTCATACGCAGCGTTGTCGCAGGGCGGATTTCTGCATTAATTAGAGCAACGGTTGCGAATCGCGAATATCGCGTGCCCGGTTGCATGCAAGCGTGTCGAGTCGCCCGACTTGAGTCCGCGTGGCAATTAAAACGCTGCAATCGAATATTCATTAAAACCCAATTTGCAGTGCAAGCACATCTGGTATTTTTTGGCATTATGGCAGCTTTAACGGCGGCGCAGAAACGGAGCGAGACGGAGCAGGTGGGCCCAGTCGACTTCCTTTGACAGCAGCCTTCGCTGAAAACGAATCTAAAATTCGCACAGCTGCTTGAAAATTGCCAAAAGCGCCAAGAGCAGCGAATGCAGAAGAAGTTTCGCAAAAAGCGAGAAACTTAAGCGCACAAAAATGGTATTCACAAAAAGACGCAGCTTAATTTGGACAGTTGGAAAGTTTTTGGGGGCATCACAAATCTGCCGGCATAATTATTATGAATTATGCAGCAAATAACTTGGCTCGGCTAATGGACTTGGCCCGCGGCCGAGGCCATCCAGACTTCCTGTCCAGCTCCCCTGACGAAGGTAGTGCAACTAATTGACAAATGATGATAAAGTGTCTGGGACAGCCCTTATAAGACGGGTCCTACTTTTACACCCGCTTTATGGCACAATATTTTCTCAAGTCCGGGGAATTCCGTTCCGTTACGTTCGCAGTTTTAACGTCTGATAAAAGCTTTGTTTGTGCTGACGGAAACGGATGTTAACTGCCACACCGAATGGCCACTGACATGAAGGTCCGAGGGTGGGTACTGAATCCTGGGTCCTGCCGCATGTCCTGCAATCCTGCGATGAGTGGGAATATTACGACCTGGTCAGGCAGCAGCCTGAATAAATATTTGACCACGTTTTGCCCTTGGCCAGGGTATCACCTATTCGCCAGCCGACCGGCACTTGACTGGCTTGATTTATGGACTGCCAAAATGCGTTTACCTTTAGGTACTCCTTCTCTCCACTTCCCAGGCTATGTTGACTTTAAAGCGTCAAATTAAAAATCCCATTAAATAAAATATTCAACAAGGGTTTGCCCCAAAAGTATCGACCCTTCTGGTCCACTGAATTATGCAGACTGGAGGTGGAGTTTCCCCACCTCAAAACATAATTGCGAATATTTTAATCATCTGCACATCATCCCTTCGCCAATCGCTCGCTCGCATATTTCGCAGCTAAAGTGTCACAATTTCGAAATATTTTCATGCCTATCAGCTGGGCCAAAAATAAATGCGGTCCCGTCACCTAGCTAAGTGTCCTATAAAGTATTTCCGTCACCGACACCGCGCCACATCGGAAATTTGTGGCGCGATTTATCAGGCTTTTTATTTGGTTTAATGTTCGCATTGAAACATTGTTGAAAATTGAGCCGGCCACTTTTAACTTTTTGATGGGGGATTTTAGAGAGTGAACAGTTGGGTTTTTCAGATAAGGGATTTTTTATTTTAGCCAGGTCTTTAAATAGGGTTCTTTTTTATTCCATTTACAAAACTGGGTTGAATAGTTGTAGAAGTTAAAATACAGAAACATTCCCTAGGCGATAAAACCTCTTTTTTACAGTTTCCTTTGCCATTCCTCTTTTCCCTTAACAAAGGTAAGATATCTTTTTCTTTGCCTAATTTACGCGCTAAAATATCTCAGGCTGAAAATGAACTTTTTCGCATTTTTGCTTTCCCCACTTAATTGGCCTAATTTGTATGTATAATTAAAAATTTCGTGTTCTCCTTGTGTAAATTTGAGACCTTTGCGAAAGGACTAATAAATTGGCTCAATTTGAATCCCTTGGGTTAGTGGGTTCCCAAAGGGAAAATGTAACAATGCCGTCGGTGATAGAAGTGCCTAAAAGGCACTGAAAGAACTATTTAGAGTTAAAGTATAAGATATAGCTAATCATTTATTATTATTATTATTTTCATATTCAGATATACCATCCCGTACATTTAATGTTTAAGATAATTCGACATGTCTACTTATTAGCTCAATATATAAGCTCGGCTGCTCCATCTGATGTATGGATATGATGCGTTCCTTGCTAATCAGCTTACGTATTTAGCATATATTAGCATTTCCCATTAATTTACTATTATTTCGTGTGCGTGTGTGGGTTTCTGCTGATATCTGAATCGCCATGGAGAGAACCCTTCCCCCGAGTGTTCCGAGGACCCCTTGTGCGTGCCTGCCATTTAATTAACTGCACAGACAACATTTTCAATCTCTGCTCCACTCGACTCCACAAACGCAACCCGATTCCGATTTCGATGTCGATGTCATTTCGAGTGGGAATGGCAGTCCAAAATGCTGTTATAATAACGCAAACAAGCTGTTGGGCTTACAAAATCTAATCCCCTGCCTGTCTGTATGTCGGCGGCACTAAAAACTAATTGAAATTGCCATATTTCATGTATAATATACGAGAGAGCAAGGCTTTATGGAATCTTCTGCAGTACCATAAAATTTCATAATGCCATTTGGATTTTCACAGCATTAACAGGAAAGTGCTGTCTCCTGCTTTTGTATACGGAATGGAACATATATTGAAAGGAAGAATCATAAAGACAAAAATCTTGACAATCTCCAAATGAAATATATATTAAAAATCTGAAAAAAATGTAAATAAGAACATTTCTTTCTAAATGTTTGGTAAACAAAAGAACACTTAGAAAAATAAATATCTTGGCTAAAAGTCCTGATCTTGGTTTTCTAAATCGAAAGAAAATAAATCAGAATATGGAGACGTTCCGCGTTAGAACTAGAAACATTAAACCTTGCGAATAAACCCCATAAAATAAAAGGAAATGTGATATTTAAAAAAAAGAGCAACAAAAAGTCTCTATAAAACCCATTCAAATAATCAAATACTATGTAAAATCAATGGGTATATTATAAAATATACTAGACATAATATTTGAAAGGGCCATTCGAATGGGAAAGGATGCAGAGACCACAGAGGAGATTCCCACGGAAGACTTTATCAGCAGACAATATCAACACGATAGGGATCGCAGGGATTGGGGCCCTTTCCGCGTCTGGGCATCGCAGTGATTGGAGTGGGTGGAACGGCCAGCAGCATCTTTTGCTTCCGCTCGTTCGGCTTGAGACCATCCTCGCCCACAGGCCCACCCTTCGGTGGCCGGGGTCGCTTGTCCTTGCCCTCCTGGGGATTCCAGGGTCGCACGAGTGTGCCCTTCTTTTGCAGATACTTGATCATGTTGATGCCCTTCTTTTTCGCCTCCACCGCATCCCTCTCCGCCTGCTTGGCCGCCTTGGCTGCGTCCTCGGCGGGCTTGAGGAATCTCTTCGGGTAGCGCACTGGTATGGGTTCTGCCTTGACGCCTGTGCCTTTGCCCTTTCCCATGGCGGCGCCGGGGAATCCCGCCCAGGCTCCGCCGCCGGGACCGCCTCCGAATCCACCTCCTCCTCCTCCAGGGCCACCAAAGCCGCCGGGACCGCCTCCAAAGCCACCAGGACCCCCGGTTCCTCTTCCTCTGCCGCCGCCAAAGATTCCCCTGCCTCCGCCGCCTCCTCCTCCTGCTCCTCCGAACCCTCCTGCTCCGCCAAATCCTCCTCCTGCTCCACCTGCACCGCCTCCTCCTCCTCCAGGTCCCCAGGCTCCTGGCACTCGGGGTCTGCCACACGGCATGGGATTGGGTCCGTGTGGCCCTCCTCCCATCATTCCAAACACCCCGTCCTCGAAGACCACTTCACCTGGCCAACCGAAAGCGGTGCCCATATAGCGATCGCCCACGGCGCAGTCATAAGCTCTATAGTAGGGATTCACACGCACGGGATATTTGGGCGGCAGAGGCATCTGGTCCTTCTTGGAGGTCTGCGTGCCGTGGTTAACTGTCTCCGGCGATGGTGCCCTCGGCGGTTGCTCCGTACCCGCGGGCGGCGTGACATCAAAGTCAAACTCCATGTCGCTTTCGCTGGTATCGGTGAGCACCAGATGGTCTCCAGCCGGTGGAATGCAGTGGCGTCGGCACTCCCGGTTCAGGGCCCTCTGGAGATGGACCTTCTCAACGGGATCCCTGCAGTGGCACATCATCAGGGTCTGGTGGCAGGTGCACTTGCGAAAGCCCTTGTCCTTGAGTTTCCTTTTAATCTCCCTGAGGGCCACGGCCAGTTCGCTATTCACCACCCGGAAGGTGATGGGTTTTTGGCGCACACCCAAAGTAGAAAGAGGTCTCAGGGTGATGAAGATCTCGCCGTTCTTCTTGCAGATATTCAGCACCGGTGAGGCCAGCTCCTTTTCCCGCTCCAAGGTCTCCGCATCTTTACACTTGGCGAAGGCATTCTGCTGATCCGGTCGCTCCAGGAAGAACTTCATCAGTTGCTTGATGGGCTTCCGGATGGCGCCTGGCCGCCAGCCCAGCTTCTTGGCCTCCCAGCTCTTGCTCCAGGCCCAACCATGTCGGCGGGACACGAAGCCGGACTGGTGGACGCACTGCTTGTGCCGGCTGGAGATGTGACCCTTGTTGTTGGGCGGTATATAGGGCGCCTTCTTGGGCGCCTGGCACTCGCCCTTCTTGGCCTCCGGCTTCTTGGACTCCATCTTCTCCGCCGCCTTGGGCACCGCCCGATCGCAGTTCTCGTCCAGTTCGGACATCTTCTTGGTGTCCTTGATGTCGTACAGATCGCGCAGCTCGGAGAAGACCTTGGCCAGGTAGGGTCGGCAGTCGTCGGAGCTCTTGTTCACCACACAGTAGTCCTCGGACTCCTTGGGCTCCACCTTGGGGCACTTGGGCGCCACCTGGTCGCTCTTGAAGATGTCGGCGCATAGCTTTCTGATCCTGCAGTGGGCACACATCTTGCCGAACTTGCAGGTGCAGCGGCAGGGCGGGCACTCCTCCTCCTCGGCCGCCTCCTTGTCCTTCTTGGCCTTGTCGCAGGGATCGATGCAATAGTCATCCACGGTGGCCGGTCCCTTGCCCAGGTACTCGAGCAGGATCTGATCCGCCGACAGCTTCTTCTCCTTGTGCCGCTCCGCCACCACGGGCATCGGTTTGATGCCACATTTCGGGCAGGCCGCGAACTTCGGGAGCCAGGACATATTGGTCAAGCAGACGGGACAGAAGCGGATGGGCTTGATCTCCGGCTTGTGGCCATCGCAGTCGGCAATGGGCACCGGGTTGAGGTTCTTCTCGCAAAAGTCCGGCTCATGATCCTGGGTGGCGGGCAGGTAGACGAAGCACGGCTTGTCCGGCTTCTCGGGGAGTTCCAGGAAAGCCGGTGCTTCCGGTTGACACCAGCAGGGATTCATGCCGAAGCTGTTCGCCTCGTCGGCATCTCGACACGGAGGCTTGGGCGGCTGCATTCCCGTCCGCTTGGTTATCGAATCGATCATCCTCTCGTACTCAATGGCCATTTTCTGGTGGGGAATGGGAAAGCGATATAAAAATTACACATTGATAAAAAAGAAGCAAGTTCCAAGATTTCATATTTAATTAAAATACTTTTCGATATTTTTCATCCAATGCAGTTTTATTTATTTTAAATGTGAAAATATTAAATAAACAATTATATCAAGTTACACTGTCCAACAAAATTAATGCTTTTTAAATTTACCTCGATGGATGCTATATTTTTTGGAATTCTTTACGAATTCCCAAGTTAAACTGCATTTTCCAAAAAGCTTCCGACGCAAGGATTCATAGCACAAGGACCTCAAAGTTCGAAAAATTCTGAAATTTTCCAACTTTACGGAGGTCTTAGAGGCAAACGGGTTTAAAAGATAAAGAGTGTATCTTTTAAAAAACTTTAACATCAAAACAAACCATGTATAAATTTAATTTTATAATGACCTAAAATATTTATTGTAAATATGACTAATATTTTCTACCTTGATTTAAAAATATAAAAATGAAATCAATGAATTTAATATTTTTTCTATTAATATTTATAATTAATTTAGATTTTTTATACGAATCTTTAAAATGAAACTGAGAACATTCCTTTTTTAAATTACCTTTTTTTTAGTATATATTTTAGTTTCTTAAAAACTACAAAAACCATTAAATATTTGGAATATTCTTTGAATACCCACCTTAAGTTCGCAACAGGCTGGTATGCCCGATCCATTCTCCGTCATCATTTTGTAGGGCTTTATGCCACCTCCCTGGCTGCGATATCGATCCAGGTCCAGTTTGAGGCGCTCATCGCCCTCCTCCTCCTCCAGATCGTTTCGGCAGGGTTCACAGGCACTGGGACACACCTGCGATTCGCCCATCACAAACATGATGTCCTGCGGATTGATGCTTCTGTCCATGTTGCGCGAACCCTCGGCTTCAGGCTCCCTAAAAATAAGATATATAAAATGTGTATTGATTAGGAGAATCCAGAGTGACATCTAGATGCACTTACTCGGCAATGCACATGACGACCAGGCGGCAGAGGAACTCCAGCTTGCCGGTCACCTGACCGCTTGCAGCCAGGTTAATGACGTCCGAATGAAGGATGTCAGACATATCCTTATCGATGGTATCGACCACGCTGGACGGAAAGGATGTTTGGCCAGAGCCAATCACTTTTTTGCTGTACACCACCGTAAAGGATATTCCACAATCGTTGACGGTCTTGCGGACTTCCTTGGGTTCCTTTTGAAAGGAGAGACCGGCGTTGGCCTTGAAATCGCTTACATTTATCTGACTGGCCGTCAGGGGTATGGGAGTCTTGAAGAAGTTGGCGGTGACTTCCAGCTTGGCTGGATTGGTGAACTCCACGTTATTGGCCTCCACATGGGTGACCACAACATCGAAAACGAAGATCGGTAGGGGCTCCTTCTTCGGCGGGGCTTTCTTCTCAGGCTTTTGCGAGTTTTCCTCCGGAGGCAAAGCAACGGCCACTGACTTCTTCTTGGGTCCCATCTCAAACGCTTAAGCTCTTTCTATCCCTTGCAATCTGTAATTTTCTACTGCCTGTCTTCGTATTGCGGAACTAGTCTGAGTCTTTCGCTTTCCGATTATAACGAATTTTTTTACTTTGGATTTTTTGAAATACGATTTTATGGACTTACTACACTAAACTTTACAATAAAACTGAAATAGACAGGCAATACAGTGTTCTGAATATAAAAGCAAACCCAACTCTGACCAGTTTCAAATGAAGTGTATAATCTCCAAACATTTTTGACAGTATCCAAGGCATGTTTCGTTTTTATCAGGTTATTTAATGAGTGTTTCCAGTTATTTGTTTTGCAGGAGAAACCAGAATACACCAAATCTACGGCGAGCCCCCTTAAATATGGAACTTGTTTAGAAGGAATCACATTTTATGGAACCATAAATAAAAAGCACAGTGTGGTTTCGTAAGAACAAACTTTTTATTTTTTGCTGCATTGGAGGTATCAGTGAAACACTCCCCTATCCATCAAGATCCTCGTTGAGTTTTTGGAAGGATTCCAGTAAATATTAAGTCCTATTAGTGTCCATAACCTCCACCATGTCCACCACGTCCACCAATATTTCCACCGTGTCCACCAATACTTCCACCATGTCCTCCTCCATGTCCAGCATTTCCACCGCGTCCAATATTTCCACCATGTCCAACATTGCCACCATGTCCACCTCCATGTCCTACAGGACCACCGGGAGTTGCCTGGACAGCAGCCAGGGCGAGCAGAAGAAAGGCGCACAGAGCAAAGAACTTCATCTTGTTGATTTTTGATTTGATACACTTTGAAAGGCTGCAAGATCTTTTATACCCCAATCCGCAGCGATTCGCAGTTACCTGTTTTACAATGTTCTTGTTACTCTTTTTAGGTCAACAATTGTTAATTTATATCACATACATTTTTTAAAATGTAGATGGTTCGTTATTTAGCCATTATAAGCTAAATTAAATACCGGTCACTCATGTTAACTTTTTTCCATTTGTTTGTGCAAACAAATTTATTATTATTATTCATTGAAGTCAATATTGGAAAATAGTATTTGCAAAGCCTAGTTTTGGGGTTCTGCTTCATTGAATGTTATTGATGTTGAATGTTAGCTTTTGTTAACATTAGGAAATTTAACAGTATTATTGTTAATGTTTAAATGCATTTTTTTGCGACCCAAAAGAACCATTTATTTTGTTTTGCCATAAATTTGCAATCCTAATTTGGAACGTAAATCCAGTCGTCAGATTACCCTACACTCAAAAGCCTATTTTTGGGCTTTTGTAAGTTTATTTATTTTCATATATTCAATCCAACCGAATGCAATCTGATTGAAACCGAAATGTGAAAATAATTAAAACTTTACTAAAGAAAGCTTTTGTCTTTTATAAAAGTTATCCTTTAAAATCAAAACTCTCTTCAAATACACATTCAAAATAAATTAATTCTCCGGATATAATATGGTTTTCGTTGTTTGTAAGAACATTTTTTACAATTGTTCTATTTAGAAATTTGCATTTTATTGATAAGCTTTGAATAAGAAACCTTGCTCGATCTTCCAGTCTAGGCATAGCGATGTCTTCGTTTCCGTTTCGGTTGAATGACGCTTTCTTATTCCAATTGTATTTATTCTGTTGCTTTCTCAAGAATTCTGGGTCTAAAGGACTTTGATTCAGGAGTACTCAAGCAAGAGCAAGCAGAAAAAAAGGCGCACAGAACAAAGATCCGCATATTGGAATCTTTCGATGCTATAAATACAGTAGCGTGCCCCGACTATCCGATATCCGGTATTCTTTTTAAAAAATAGAAATATATCTTTGCGCTGAGGTCTGTTAAATAAAAACAAAAAGGTAAGCTTCTTCCGGAAATATGCTTTTTTATTTAAATGTTTTGAAGATTAATCATTTCTGGATCTTTCAGTTTATAAATTGCTAGTCCGCTCCGCTTAAGCTTCCTTAGTCCAATTGTATTTATCCTGCGGTTTTCTTAAGGTTCTTGGGTGAGATGGACTTTTCCTCAGGAGTACTGTTAGCCTGGACGGCAGCCAAAGCGAGCAGCAGGAAGGCACACAGAGCGAAGATCTTCATGTTGGAATCTTTTGATGCTATCTCAGTGTTTGCTAGCCCCTTTTATACTACCTTTTGTGTTTCTTTGAAACCCGTTTCTAGTTTGCATATTTCATTTTATAACTTGCTTAATTGAATGTCTAGCAACCTTTCTTAAAGCACACTTTTTAATGATTTAATAGTAAAGTTTATTGTTATCTAAACTGTTTGCGTTTAGTCTCATTCTTTTGTTTTTGTCTAAAATGCATTTTAAGAAAGTAAGTAAACGGTAACTAACCAGTCAATTAAAAAACGAAAAAATAGGTTACGATTTTTAATAATGCTTTGATTTTGCTCGCATTTTGCGTATAATTTTTCGCGGTAATCCCTTCCAGACAGTTTTCGTAAACCGATATGGATCGGCGGCGTCTCGGGCGGTTCCGATTCGGAGTGGTGCCCCGGCCTTCTTGCCCCACACCTTGGGATGCCGCCAGACGACGGGCCTTCCATGTTGGCCGCCACCCCGATAACCAAACACTCCGTCCTCGAAAACGGTCTCTATATTGTCCCCGAAGGCTGTGCCCATGTAGCGATCGCCGGCTGCACAGTCGTAGGCCCTCCAGTAGGGACTATCTTTAACAGGGTATTCGCGAGCTATGCGTGGTGGTCCCTTCCTTCCCGTCTGGGTGCCATGATTCACCACCTTCCGTAGGGCCTTCCTCTTCGGTCGCCGAGTTCCCGCCGGCGGAGTGACATCCAGATCGAACTCCAAGTCGCTGACACTCGTATCGGTGAGCACTAGATGCTCGGGACACGGCTCTATCAAGCGCTTTCGGCACTCTTTTCCAAGTGCCTTCTTAAGGAGGCACTTATCCAGGGCATCACGACAGGTGCACAGCATCAAGGACTTATGGCATTTGCACTTTTCAAAACCCCGATCCTTGAGAGCCCGCTTTATTTGCCGCAGGGTCACCGCCAACTTGCTCTTCACGATCCGGAAAGTAATGGGCTTCTGCTTCAAGCCCAAAGTGGCCAGTGGGCGGAGGGTCACGAATATTTCACCATCCCTTTTGCAAATATTGAGCACGGGATGGCCATACAGCTGCTGTTCCTCGTGATCCGCCGAGATCTTGCGGCAAATGTTGCGATCTCTGTTGCGGATGAGAAAGTGACGCATCACATGGCCCGATGATCGCAGGATGGCTCCAGGCCGCCAGCCATTTTTCCTCGCCTCGCAGCTCGTCGTCCAATTCCAGCCATGTCGGCGGGACACAACACTCGAGGGCGGGAGGCAGCTCTTGTGGCCCGCCTTCAGCTGATGGCTCACCCCGCCAATGACCTTGTCGCCGTGGTACTGCGATTCCGAAAGCTCCTTGTTGGATCGACGGCCTTGGATGGTGAACAGCGACCTGGTTTCGCAGCGTTCCTGGAGGGCCGACAGCTTCTTGGAGTCGTGCAGATGGTAGAGATGCTTCAGCTCAGAGAAGACCTTCGATAGGTAAGGCAGACTATCCTCTTCCTCGGAATCCGTGATCAGGCAAAAGTCCTCACTCGAACGGGGCTCGGGATGGCGTCGAGGAGGTTCCACCGGCTTTTCTCCGCTGTAAATATCCTCGCACATCTTGCGGATTCGGCAGTGGGCGCAGATCTTGTTCGCATTGCAGGTGCAGCGGCACGGAGGGCACTCATTCTCGTTCACATTCCTCCTTCGAATCCTTTCGCAGATGGGCTCACAGAAGTCCTCGTGATCGGGCGGTGCCACGGGTTTCACCAGCTGCTCGGCCAGGATATCATCGGCCGTAAGGTCCTCATTCGGACGTCCTTGGAGGACAGGAAATGCCTTCGTGTTGCACTGAGGACAGGGTGCATATTTCGGCAGCCAGGACATGGAGTACAGGCAAACGGGACAAAAACGTATGGGTTTCACGCCATGCACTAGGTCGCATCGAACGGGAACTGGAATACTGCGCTCCCTGGGAATAGAAGCTGGAGTCCTTGGAGTTCGAGCTGGAGTTGCATCCGTGGGAATGTCTGTAGGAGCTCCAGGGCTCGTGGGTAGTTCCAAATGATTAACCTTCTCGGCCACAGAGTCGATGATATTCGAGTACTCCTGGGTGATCTTCTTGAGCCGGCTGAAGGAGGGCTTTTCCCTGGGACAGGGATCGTCTTGGGGGAAAGAAGCCCGACGATTCTGCAAGCTCCTGTAGCGCTGCAGGTCCAGAAAGAGGCGATCATCTCCCTCCTCCGAGGGAAGTTCCGAACAAGGGTGCGAGGGAACCTGCAGCAGAGGATCCGGATCGCCGACGAGGAACATCACATCCTGGGGATTCAGGGTTGCCGCCTGGCTGGCACAACTGACCGGGCCACTTTTCTCCTTCTTTGGGGTAATCAGCGAAATTTTACTAGCACGCGAAATCACCGAAATTCTACTGGCACGCGAAACGCTTTTTCTCAGATTCTCTGGATGATCATCGCACTTGAGGGTCAAACGGATTAAAACGCTTACGGTTCCAACGACATTAGCTCGTCGGACCAGATCCAAAGTGGCCTCGTGCAGCAGATCGTTCATGGTGGCGCTGATCTTGTCGAGAAACTCCATGGGGAAGACCATGGAGGCGGTGCCCAGGGTTGAACCCTGGTAAATGGACGCCAACGACATGCCCTTCTCCTCCAGAGTTTGACGTAGGGCCAACGGTTCCATCGCCAGTTCCAACTCCCTGTTGGCCACGAACTGGTCGACATTCACCCGGCTGGAAGTCACCTTTACTGATCTGCCCGCAAACTTGGTGTCCACCAGGAGCTTCTGTGGCTCCTCTATCTCCACGCCAAAGATATCCAGATGGGTGATCACCAAGTCGAACAGAAAGTTCGCTTTTTCCCCCATTTCTAAAGTCATTTTGGAATTTTACCACTCTAATCGGATATTATTATGGTACACTCAAAAAAAAATTTTAGAAAATCGCCTATGGATTTGCTTTACTGGCGATTTTTTTCTATATTTCTGGAATATTTCTTGAATTTAATGAATTTTGATTAATTGGAAGAAAATTTTCTTTACCAGTAGAAAATTTTTTTATTTTAAAGAAAAAAATCGCCAGTGAAGCAAATCCATAGGCGATTTTCTAAAATTCAGGGCGATTCATTTTCTGAGTGTAGTTAACATCTAAACTGTATTGGTAATAAAAAGAAATTGGTAACGCAAGTTGTGTAATTGTGTGAGGCACACAGGAGTAATTGTTAAAACAGTTTGACAATATATTCTAAGCTCTGTAAATGTAAAAGGCAGTTTTTTCTTCCGTACGATATATTTAAAGGAGCCTTTAAACTCTGAATTCCCTTAAGTTTCCAAGCTTTAAAGCCAACATTAAATATTTAAGGTCTCAAAAAAACATGCACATAAAAATAAATCGCACTAAAATTTTAAAAATGTTTTTAAGTGAAATTTTAATAAAATGTTTGTATTTTTAATTTTTTAAAGAATGCCACATACAAATAATTTTTTTGTCTGACCGTAGCCTTGTTCAAAAGGTAAACGATTAAAATGGTAAACATTTCTTTAGTTGATTATTTATAAAATTCAGGGCCAATACTTTTTTGAGTGTTCACCCCCTAGTTAAACATTTTGCTTTTAATCCCAATATAGAATAATGTTTATTGTAAGAGTATTATAGTTTACGATTGGTGCGCATTTGATGAATAATTTTTTTCGGAAGTCCCTTCCACACAGATCGAGTGAACCTATAGGGATCGCGGGTAGCGGGAGCTGTTCCAATCGGCATGGGTGCTCCGGTTCGCTGGCCCCAAACCCGGGGATCCCTACGAACGGGAGCTCGGCCGTGCTGTCCTCCGCCTCTGTAGCCAAAGATTCCGTCCTCGAAAACGGTTTCCAAATTGCTGCCGAAGGCTGTGCCCATGTAGCGATCACCGGCTGCACAGTCGTAGGCCCTCCAGTAGGGACTATCTTTCACCGGGTATTTGGGCTCTATGGCAGGTACCCCTTTCTTCTCGGTCTGAGTTCCATGATTCACCACATTCCGTAGAGCTTTCCCACTCGGCTTTCCACTTACTGCAGGTGGGTTTACATGGAGATCGAACTCCAAGTCACTGACACTCGTATCGGTGAGCACCAGGTGCTCGGGACACGGCTCCATGATGCGTCGCTGGCACTCCTTCTTCAGAGCCTTGTTCAGCTCGAACTTTTCCAGGGCATCGCGACAGGTGCACAGCATCAAGGACTTGTGGCAAGTGCACTTCCGGAAGCCCTGATCCTTAAGTGATCGTTTGATCTGCCGCAGAGCCACCGCCAAGTCGCTTTTTACGATCCTAAAAGTTATGGGCTGCTGTTGCATGTCCAAGGTGGGCAGAGCGCGAAGAGTGACGAAAATGACTCCATCCTTCTTGCGAATATTCAAAAGTGGTAGATTGTTTCTCTCGCGTTCTTCCTGGTCAGCTGTAATGCTGCGGCACAGATCCCGCTGCTTCTTGGGCAGCAGGAAGTAGCGCATCACTTGACCGGCTGCCCGGAGGATGGCTCCTGGCCTCCAGCCGTGCCTCCTGGCCTCCCGGGTGCGTGGCCAATCCCAACCGTGGTGCCGGGGAACCGAGTGCTCCACCGGCAGGCAGCTCTTGTGACCCGCCGTCTGGCGATTGGAGGGTCCACCTGGTAGATGAGCATCAAAGTGATCGTGGGACATTCTCGAGGTAATGGTGGATTTGGAGCCGCGTGGGGGGAGTAGCGTTTGTGAAGCACAGCGTTTCTGGAGTTCCAACAACTTCTTGGTGTCGTGCAGGGAGTATAGGTTCTTCAGCTCAACTAAAACCCTGGACAAATAGGGACGATCATCATCCATGGGTTCGGGGAGCACACAGAAATCCTCGTCTAAACAGGGGAGAGGAACTTCCAAGTGATTCTCCTCCTTGGGCATCCTTTTCTTCTCCTCGGCCTGGAAGATGTCCTCGCACAATCGGCGAATGCGGCAATGGGCGCAGAAGGTGCCCTTCGTGCAGGTGCAACGGCATGGAGGACACTCTTCATCGGATTCGGAATCGGAGTCTGGGACAGGTTCACCCAGTGGAGACCTCTTTTTTTTCTTGATTTTCTTCACATGTACAATGGGTACTTGACAGGGTTTCAGGCAAAATTCGTCTGATTCTTCGGGTAACTTTGGTTTGCAGAGTAGCTCTTCCATAATTTCATCCGCCGTCATCTGCTTCTCGGGATATCCTGCGAGCACAGGACGTGTTTTGGCCTTGCACCGAGGACAGGGTATGTATTTCGGCAGCCAGGACATGGAGTGCAGGCAAATGGGACAAAATCGAATGGGTTTGATATCATATTCAGTGTCGTCCTTTAAGGGAACAGGTATCCAGCGCTCTTCGGGGGTTACCTTGTCATCATCCATTGGAGTGGAAACATTATTTTCCGAGGGAATCTCAGGCTCAGTGAGCACCGCCGAACTGGTGGGCACTTTCAAACGCTTCAGTCTATCGGACACCAAGTCAATGATCTTTGAGTAGTCTTCTGTTAGTTTCTTTAGCTGGGCGAAAGAGGGTTTCCCCTCAAGACAGGGATCGTCATCGGGGAAGACTACGCGTCGATTCTCCAGGCTTTTGTAGCGCTGCAAATCCAGATCCAGGCGCTCATCCCCCTCCTCTGGCAGAAGCTCAGGACACGGCTCCGAAGGAATCTTCAGCAAAGGATCCGGATCGCCGATGACGAACATCACGTCCTGCGGATTGAAAGTCTTTCCAAGTCCCTGGCATTCCACTTTTTCCTGCATCTTTCTGGGGATCACCGAAACTGCCGAGGACTTCCTGGAACTCCGACGTGAGCTTGACCCGCGAGGTTCCTCCGCTCTAATTACATCCAAATCCGTGCACTTAACAATCAGAACCAAATAAATGGTGATAGTGCCAACGCATTCGCCTCGTCGCAGCAAAAGTGTGGTATCCTCGTAGAAGAGATCGTTCATGGTGGAGCATATTTTGTCGATGAAGGTGTCCGGGAAGGACATCACATTGCTGCCCAGTGTTGATCCTTCGTAACGGGCGGTTATCTGCATTCCCTGTTCTTCAAGTGACTTTCGCAGCACCGAAGCTCTGGTGGTAAATTGCGTCTGCCGGTTGCCCACGAAATCGCTGACATTCACCCGACTGGGTGTAAGATTTATATTGATGCCGGCAAACTTGACTTGGGCCTCGCATTTCTCCGGTTCCTTGACCGGTTTGTAGAGGTCCACACTTTTGACCACAATATCGAATAGGAAGTTAATGTCCTCCTCTTCAGGGCCAGCCGCCATCTTCTTTAAAAAACTATCTCAATTTTAGGTAAAAACTTGTGAAAAGGTGAAAATCGGGTGTGAATTGTGTGAGTGATGAATGCAATCTGATCTTGTAGAGTACGAAGAAAGTTCAGTTATCCAACTGACATTTAAGTCAAGGCTATGCTCTAAAAAGATGTTCCTAAGAAAATAATTTACTATTTAAATTTTATTGAATAGATCTAAGTAGAAAACCTAAAAACCAGGGACCGAAATTAACAGTTATTTTATTATTTTTGATCGAAAAAATCATACGCTTAGAATAACACTAAAAATCTGAGAAAAAAATTACTCAACCAATTTAATGCGGTCTATTCATATCCGCAATGACCTAAATTTGTTTAATTTATTTGAAATTGTTCATAAAGTAACTGTTATTTCAGAATTTTATTTTTTGACCGAAAAAATTAAAGTCCTCCGAAAATTTTATTCATGACTTTTATAATAAAAGTCGAAAAATAACTTTTATTTTTTGACTGAAAAAATAAAAGTCAAGATAACTCTAATGAGATGACTTTTACTATAAAAATCCTTAAATAACTTTAATTCGGTGATCGAAAATATATAAGTTTTAAGTCTCTTTTGTTAGAAGTTTAAGGGTTGCAATTTGTTCTTTTACACAGTAATTCTTTAACATAAAAACCCGTCCCATTTACCCATTTTCTGAAACTGTTAAAGTCTTGTTAAATAGTTCGTAAATAAATTTCATGGTAATGTGTCATGAGGCTACTTGCCACTGGGACTAGAAAATAAAACCAACCAAATCGTTAGTGCTTGAGGACCTTTGGGAGCAGCTGGTCGGCCAACTGTGAACTCCAGTGACCTCCTGTCTGCCCAATGGCTCCTGGAGGATTTCGAACATGTCTCGGACGGCGAAAGGGAGCCAAATGGATTTCTAATTACCCCGGCCACTCCCCAGTCGCATTTTCGCCTGTTGCTGCGCCAGTTGCCCAGCCCCTCGTGGAAAATCGCGCTCTTATTTATCGCTACACCTTCCGTAAGCCGCTTATGGCACGCGATGCCTGGGAAATCTCACACGCCCCCTGAGGTGCGCTGCCATTTATCAAATCAGCTCACATGCTCATCTAAATTAAGTTCAATTTTAATTAAATTTCGCGCATTATGTCGACGCATATCGGCTATCCTTGCTGGCCCAATCCTCTGCCATCCTATCCCCGAAAACTAGCTTAAAACCGATTTTGTGCTACAAACATTGGGGAATTTGTCGAAAAATGCCGAACCGCAAAATGGAAACGTTTTAGCGAGAAGACCGCCTGACTAACTAAGCCGATTTAATTGGATACAAATTGGTGCAGCCAAATGCTCACTGGGTTCACACGGGGGGTGGGGGGTTCACAAGGGGGTGGAGGGGTGGTTCCTGTCCGCGCCAATAGCCAAACAATAACAAATTGGGTCCCCGGGTCCGGCGAAATTCGGTGATGTTTTTCGGGTTCCGAGTTTCTGCTGGCCAAGTGGAAGCCACTCGTGCATAAATTATACAACACCCGTGTATATCCAAATTTACTCTAACCGACAATGAAGTCCATAGGTGGTGGTTCAGACATATTAGTTTGTTATATAATGTTAAAGGGGATACCAAATAATGGTAATTGGATTTACTAACTGGCATTCTATAATTACATAGTTATCTTATTTGGAAATTTACATTTTTAAGGCACGTTTTATATTTTATGATTTTAATTTAATTAATTAATTATAATTTATCGTAAAAATTTAAGCTATTATAATTGTGGCAAACACAATCCTAACAATACACTAAAGTAGGTTAAAAAAAACTAATTTCTGATTTAGTTTTTCTTTGCTATGAAGAAAGACTTATAACAAAATCCATTAGAGAGTTGAAATCTTTGGAATTTATTAGGCACAATCTGCTTTACCAGAGTATTAGGTTAGTTATTGCCAAATAGCTTTCCGTTTGATGGCTACACAATTCGGTCAGAGCTCGCACAAATATTTTCGCCCACAAATCGAGCAACGAAATGTTACCTAGTGCTCGTAACATTTTCGTGTGGCCAAATTGGCTCCTCTGGCCGAAACGTGGCATTAATGGCTTGTTAATTAGTTGGCCATTTTGTCGAGTAAAGCAATTGCAAAACAATTTCACCAGCAATTGTCAGTGGTTGGGTCCTGTCGAAATGCCGAATTCCTTCGATTGCATAATTTATGTGCTGAATCGGTTTTGATGTACGATAGAGAATAACTAAAGCTGAACCATTTTGGCCACATTTATTTGCATATTTGCTATGTTGATGGCTCGTCTCTCTTCTTGCATTTTAATTGCTTTGCCAAATTAATGTCTGGCCTCAAAATAAATGCAAAGCACTTTGCCAGCTAGAGAGAAAGCCACCAATTAGAATGTCCAAATGTGAATATGTTGCCCCATTTGAACCATAACCCTCGACATCTTTTGACTGGGCGAAATGGCACATAAGTAGAGGCAAATAAATCCTTTTGGATAAACCATAAAACAAAAGATGCTTCTACCAGCTGGTAAAACTAATTCCGATGCTCTGCTGGCATCCGCACTCCCACAAGTAATTGGTTAGAGAGAGTGTTCTTGGTTTTTGGCTCTTGTTTTGCCTGAACGAGCACTCTTGGTTTTCGCACGTTACGTATACGCCACAAGTACCTAATGCTCCCCACTCCTCGGCGGTTGTGGCTGCATCCAACCCACTGACACTTGGCAGGAGCATTGCTGATGCGGCTGCCACTGCTCCTCCTGCTGGCAGACAAATGAGCGCGCCCATTAAACGCTTCTGAAATATGCTGGCGAATCATTCACAACCGAAGCTGGAAACTGGAAGATGGAAGCTGAAGCATCCGAGGAAGCTGGGGAGCTACATGCCCCATGCCAATAAATCTGCGAATTTCGCACCCGGAACACAGCTCCTCGTTCTCCGGGGTCCAAAGTGTTAAATCGTATTTAATTCGAGGCTCTTGCGTTATTCAATGCATTAAATACAGTCAGTGTGAAGATGCATTTATTGAAGTACCTACACAGAAAAAAATGTAATCAATAAAATGCCGATTAAATATTTTATCATATGAGTTATTTTAAATCACTTATTTCATAAAACTATAAATATACTTATTCAAAATACCTGATGTAATAGTTTTTTGAACAAGTATTGTGAAATAATATAATTATAATTATTGTTCATATTAAAATTATATGAATACCTTGATCTTTAAAAAATATTAAATATTAAAAACTTGCCTGAGACCTAAAGCATAAATTTAGAAGAATTTAGAAACCTGTAAAAAATGAGAAGACCTATATCCTTGAATCTTAGTAGGAATAGATATAAGTTTCTCATTTATTATTACCCTTTCAGTTGTTCGTTGTAATTGTACAAAAATTATCATGTAGCCACAGAAAAATTCATTTAGAGACTGCCATCAACTCGTGACCAGAGCTTCGCTGCCATTAAATCCTAGTTTCCAGACTCCTTGAATATCCTGAAAAATGGGCAAGAAAGGCAAAAAAGGAAAGAAGGGCAAGAAAAGCGTGCTGAAACCTATAACGACAGTAGAGCCCGAAATCCCGCCTGAACCGGTACTGGCTAAAAATGTGCCCTACTTCTCGTTCGATCTTATTATAACGCGACTGGAGGTCAAGGCCGTTGCTTTGACAGATCCCAGAAAACTACTAGTGAAGGTCGGCTTTGGGGGCAAAGACCTGAGCCTCACAGCCAGTCGAACAAATGTGAGCGAGTTCAAGCCAAATGCCAGCTTAATTTTTCAGGCGGAGCCACCGAATCTTTCACAGAAAGTCGAGGAGAATGGCATGAATTTCGAGGTCATATACGACGATCAATTGGTGGGCTTGGGTAAGCTGAGTCTGCCTAAAAAACTGAGCGAACGGATAAAACTGGACATGAAAGCGTTCTCCTACACGAGCACCTGTACCCTAGAAATGGCGGGAAAACCAGTCGGTGGCCTGGAGTTTCTTTGCAAGCTGTCGATCAGATGCGGCGATTATGCCAGGTTAGCATGGATTGCTTGGTGTATAACAGAAGACATCTAATCGCTTTTTCAAATCCTCAGGGAAGGCGAAACCTGCGCTAATTTGGACAGAAACATTAGCCCAAAGGACATAGTATTCGTGGTCGGTAAATCGCAGGCGAATACCAGCTGCTGTGATCCCTGCCAAGATGCTCTGGCAATCGATGCGAGAAAGCACAAGGACTATAGTATTCAAACAAATTCTATTCCTAAATAGGTGATGCCACTTTCTATACATAAATAAATAAAAAGTTTTAAAAGAAATTAGCTAACAAATATTTTAGCTGACTGGTTTAAATTTCTCTATCTCTATTTATTTTATATAATAGCTCCCAAGACACACTCCTTCTGTCTTTAAATATTTGGAATAATAATGCAAACATTACCCAGTTCAATTCACTCAAATTTACATACTCCTATATCAATATTATAAACTGCATCAACTTCCTCTCACCACCCCTATTGATTTGGCCAAAAATCTTTAAAGGATCCTCTTGGCTTTAAAAATTGCCATCTTTAAATCGTTTTTATGTTTGGCTGTCAAGCCTCGCTCTGCTTGATTAGAATGCGACTTCAATTTGGGGTATTTTTCTGGCTTTTGTAGATAAGCAAATATTTGGGACCGGGATCAGGTTGGATTTTTATTACACATTTTGCTCATTTTAATGTCCTGGCTGCTGCTTGAGTTGTTTGTCAGGTCCTTCTTCCTTCTTCGAGGCACATGTGTGTGTGGGCATAGAGGAAAGTGAGTTCATCTATTTTTTATTTGCCCTCAGCCAGATGCTTCAATATCATTTATATTTACGTTCATGTAAATGGCTGTAGCCCGCCTTTATGCTCAGGGAAATTTCAATATTGACTTCTTCGCGTGTTTGTGTCCCTTTTCATTGTGCCAAGCTCTTAAGCCCGACGAAACTCCCAGCCAAGTAAATAATTGAATATTTATTCGATTTTTGAACTTCATTTGGCTGCTGTGCTTAGCCTCGGCCTTCCAAGAGGCTTCCATTGTTGGGGAAACACTTTTTACAGCATCAAGTTAAATTACATCCGCTGTCTGACATAATATTGCATATTACACCAACAATGTGCGATAATAACATCAAGGAGGCGAGAATCGGAGGTTGGCTTCGGACTTTCAGCTGGCAGCCGCAGGGCGGAAATTAAAACTTCACTCAAAGCAGGAGGAAATGTGTGTGTGTGTGTTTCTGGGTTTATTTAGGTGGACCTCTCAAGTTAGAAAATCATATGGGGAACTATTTAAACCAAAAAGTTAAAGAACTAAATTTAAAAAGAATTTAAAGAAAGAAATTTATTCAATAGCCTATGTCCCTTGTTGCAGACAAGGAATACATAAATAAATGAAATAGCTTGTAAAAAAACTAGTACGACTGCTGTGCCGATGGAATTTTAATGACAAGTTTGGTCTTTTGTTTGCGTCAAATGATTGCAAAAACTTGTCCATCACTGCGTATGCGTGATCAAAATGTTAAAGTTTTTGGCAGCCATTATAGTATTTGATTTATTTTCTTTTGTATGTAATAAAATAAACTACAAGTTTTAGGCTCCACCCTAATTTCCTGGTGATGCTGTGAGTCCTTTCTGTTTGCCATTCAGTGCATCCTTAGAGCCGTTCAGGCAGACAAAAACACCAGACAAATATACGTTTGCGGTTCTGTGCATTGAATTCAATTCCGGCGCACTTTTTTAATGAACTCGAAATTCCCGGCACATGCGAAAGCAGCGAGGCCATCACTATTTTCCCATCTCAGCCCCATGAAAGTGAGACAATCGGCAACGACATGCCGATATTTATTTGCGGGAAATTAAATTTCAAAAAAAAGAAACTAACACTTACCTGTGTGTGCACTTTTCAGAGCTTCTACCACTGCACAAATTGAATCAAATTCTGTTGAAACTCTTCGCAACGTAATACGTTTTTGCAGTCTGCCAATAATAAAGCCTTTCCTGAAATCCCAATCGAAAGCAATCCCAGCTGAAAATGCAATTAACTGAAAGCCAAACACATGCCTCTGCTTATCAATATGCTTCAGTATTTATTTAAGTATTTCTCACTTTGCTTTAGTAGTTTTCTTTTTGAGTAAACTTAGTTGAGAGATTTTCATTTTATACAGAATATAGAAATTATGCTGAAGGTAAGGGAATTGGAAAGGGGACTGGCAATATGGGAAGGTGTTAACTTAGGGTTAGGATTACTCAGGATTATTGATCTAAGCATATACATACAGTGACATATACAGATATACACAGAAACATTTACAGCTAATCTTTAATCTGGGGACTCTCGGCTACATATGCAATGAGAAACGCACACACATTTAACTAGTTACTGATATTGTTTTAATGCATAGTTATTTATCCATTTCCTAGGCGTACTAGACAGCAACAATGAACTATAATTTTCCACTACGGATTTGCTTGACCTATGTATGCCGTTTGAGATTCAATAATTTACAAGTTAATTTGCCTCTATGCGGATTATGTAGTTCATGTTTAGACTATTAAATGCTTTCAGCATAATTGTTGAAATGTGGCTAATGATCCACTGACCACTTCGTTTCGCTACTCATCCATGTATTTGCGCATGTACTTTAGTTTAGTTTTTAGTTTCAATTAATTTAATTTAATTTAATTTACTTAAGGCTAGACAAACGTTTAAGTTTCACTTAGCGCTTTCAAGGGTTCCTTAGTAAATTCGAAAGTGGGAGAGCAAGAGGTACAAAAGAGCCTTACATTACATACAGTGTGTTTGATGTCGATACATGACTTTGCCATTTGGCTTACGACTAAAAACCTGGTAGTTTCTGTTTCCGTTTCCGCCTGATCTTCTTGTCGCTTATATGGTAATACAATATATTTACGGGGTGCTTACTTTCACTTCCCCTTTTTCTGCTTTTTATTTACATAATTTGATTTCGAGGTTACTCGACCTTACTCACTAACATTTGTTATATTGGGTACAGTTTACACAACGCAATCACCTTAAGGTACAAAATAGTAAAGTAAAGGTACAGAATTCCCATGGCTGAGTGTGTGTGTGTGCGTGTCAGTGTCTGAGTGTGCGTGATATGTGGCTGATGTCGGGGAAAATTGCCCCCGACGTTTAGTAATTAATAATTCAGAACTTTTCTGATATGTTCGAGAGACGCTAAACTGTGGTTCGCTTCACCACCGCTAGGTGGGGGTGGTTCGGTTTCGGTTCGACAGTTTCCACACAGCTTGTCATAAAACTGCAGTTGTGCCCGACATTTGATGCGAAAATGCAGCTCAGCCGGCGTCCCCGAGGACGGGATATGGCCACTAATGCTCCGGCATTTCCGACCCACCGACCAAACGACCGAGCGACCGAGCTCCCAACTCGACGACGCAGCTCAGGGCGGCTCAGTGCAGCTCAGTTGAGAGAATGTGTCAACTTCTGTGTCAATTGTATGGCCATTAAACTATGACGCAGCATCAGCAATACCATTGCATACAGCACTTGGAAAAATATCTAAGTTTAACTCTTAAAATAATAATAGACCTTAATATATTAAGCTTGTTTCGTAAAAATAAACTTTATGTTAACATATTGCAAAAAACCAACAAGAGAAAATTGTAAAACTCTGGGGAGTCATTTTTTGATTTTATGATAACAAATAAAAACTGTTTTTTAGATTTTTTTTTTCTGATTTTCTGTTAGAATCGTTAATAACTAAAGTTTCCTTAAGTTTCAAAAAAATTGGATAGTTAATCCTTAAATTTCTTTCACAAACTGATCGACATTTTCTGCGAGTGCTCCGATTTCATATTCGAACATGTCAGGCGTTTTTAGACATTTGGCAATTTCACGTTATCTCTGCCCTGCCAGAGGCAAAGTTTTATATCCACCAAAAAAGAAATGTTGTCACCAGTCAATGTGGGATTCTTCGGGAGTGGAAGTGGGAAATTCGCCCAGACTCTATAGTTTCAGCACTTAATGCTGCTAAGCCAGCTGTCAGTTGCAATAGAAAAAGTGACTGCAATTCACTTTGCTGACCAGGAGGAAAAGGACAAGGGCTCCAAGGATGGCAAAAAGGTCGATTAGATAATTTGTTGATGCCACTCCTGGCCAGGACACTTATCCTCATTGCAATTTTCGAATGGCTCGCCGAACTGTGAAGTGAGCTCTTGAAACATTCGAACAAAAGCTTGAAGGGCTGTTATGAAATAAAATTCAATGGTCTATCTGCGGTTACTTAAATACCAAATACATGGGTTTTTCTTTGATTTTCACAGTTTATTCATGCGAGCCCACGACCAGTTTTTCCCACAAAACATATGCGCCTGAATTTATTTAAGCATGCAAACAAAAGTGTTGAAAATGGCTGCTAGTACACATGGATGGATGGGCAAATGGATGGTTGGATGTCCTGATGGATGGGCGGGCTGGCAGCTGGTGGGCGTGTCGGGCTGAAAATCGCAGCATGTTTCACGGCAATCACTCTGGAGCATTGTTTGCACTGCTCCGCTTTTATTTTTTTTATTTTTGCTGCAACAACAGAATCGCGGGAGAAACTAAAGAAACAAAAAGCAGTAAAACTCGAAAAAAAGAACAGGGCGGCACAAATATTAAGCAAACAAAAGGCGAACGCTAAAGAGGGCGGGAAGAAAAGCCTTTCAGCTTTTCACTTTTCATTGCGTGCCATCGTAAAATGAAAAGTAGTGCGAAATATTTGAGCGGAATCTATGTCAGCAGTTCGCCGCTGACGCAGCTCGTAAAAAGCGCGGAGCCCCGTAATTTTTATGTCCGGAAAAACTGGTCGAATTACAGTCGAGTGCTGAGTTTTCCCTGCCCCTCAAAAAAATAGAGTCTCGAGAACTTCGTTTGCACTTTTGACCACTTCTCTGTTGCAATTCGTTATTGATCTAATTAGGCAACGGAATTGGAAGGAAAACGGTCCGATGAAAGCTTCTAAGAAAACTTTTCGATAATGATTATTGATTCAGGGACAGCCATTGTTGGGTTGAGTTTTATAAACATTCTTTTTAGTTTTTTCTTAGAGCGAAAAGTATAATAAATATATTGTTGGATTTATTTATGTTTATACCCTTGCAGAGGGTATTATAATTTCAGTCAGATGTTTTCAACGCAGTGAAGGAGACGTTTCCGACCATATAAAGTATATATATTCAATAGCCGAGTCCATCTAGCCATGTCCGTCTGTCCGTTTCTATGCGAACTAATGCCTCAGTTTTAAAGCTATTGCGATGAAACTTTCCAAAAAGTCTTCTTTCTATTGCAGGTAGTACATATGTCGGAACGAGCCGGATCGGACCACTATATCTTATGGCTGCCATAGGAATAATAAACAAAATAATAGAAAAAACTTTATAGAAAGTATATATTTTATTT